AAAAGACTTGACTTTGTTCGTGTTTCACTCAAGTAAATTGACGAAGTTTGTAAGCGGCTGGTTTCCGAAGTTATCTGATGTACTCTGTAGTAAATCTTCGTATTTTTCTACAAGTGGTCTTTTTGTAAAAAGAAACGTGCCGCTAAGAATACAGCATCCGTCCCATTTGACAACTTTGCTATTTCGTGCTGCATTTCATGCTGATTCACTATTCTTTGACTATTCCTATTGAGAGTTAATAATCCTTGCGTAAAAGAAGTGATTTCCTAAGACAACGTGAGTCGATTATATTTAGCTGCTCTGCTAAGTTGAGTATTTTTTCATCGGTGCAAATAATTGTCAGTATTTTGAAGCTCACCAAGGAATCGTAAGTCGCCATGGAAGAATGCCAAATTGACAATTTTACCATATCAAAATAATCGTATTTCGCGCCTAAAATAAGTGGAAAAGATAAAAATGAAGATTTCATTGATAGCAACGGGTTTTCCAACCGCTAAAACAACATAAGACTTGTACTAGCCTTTTTATCACGGGTGGAGGTCAAACGCAACTGTCATTTTCACTAGCTGTTTTCTTTTTTAATGGCATTTCTAATGCTGTTGACGCGAGCACTAATTTTTCTAAGTAATTAGCATTTGATTTTAAGAAAATATACTCGAGCAGTGTTCGACTCTCTTGAGTTGTTGTACAACGACATACAAACGCTCACAGGCTTTTTATGCAGCTCTCAGGGATGTACCGTAACACATATTTGTTTATATACGCGCAATTAATTCAGCTAAACCTCGATATGCGAAACATGATTAAGAGCGAATTTCCCCTGCGGCAGGTGCGACGTATAAAAAGGTTCCCATGGTGATGGACCCTGATACGTCATATAATCTTTACACCAAACAAACTTCGTGTATGAAGTCTAAAGATGTACAGAAGTCCCAGAGTCGCTTAACCTGACAGGAAAAAAAGCAAGGGCGAGAAGAAAATATTCTGGTGGCTTTTGGACTCTCTTGGGCACGCCTGCTTCTCGCTGAAACCATAAATTGATAATCAGAGAACGATGCATGTTTAACAGCTCGGTACGACTGTCTAACCATGAAACGTGTTTTAATTTGTTTGCTGAGATGCAGTGGCAGAGGAAAACATTGTTGATGTTGTCATTCTATTGGCCGTCAGCGATAGAAAGGAGAAACGTTCGTTCAAGAAATCATCTCGGTTAAGCATTTAAAAAATGCAAATTCGACATCTTTGCCACGATGAAATCAAGCGCCAGTTTTAGAATAACATCAAAGTCTTCTAATCTAAGCGCGAAAGTAAGTAACAGGAGTTTCAATCGTACCTTGTCGGGGACTTCTTTAAAAGGAATTTCTTTTAACTCAAACTCGAGTGACTCTCAAACATGCACCTTCGTGCCAATACCGCCGGAATATCTGCGTCAGCCACTGGAAGATTTCGATTCCCCGCAAACAAACGTAAGTCAAATAATTTCGTTAAATATTAGTCTAATGCGAAGTTTAAGTTAAATGCTTTCCTGCTTCCTGTATTCAGAAAGTCTGCCGTTGCCACCGATAATACAACACACAATTTCCCAGCCATTACTAATATACCTAAAGCGGGTATGGACAAAATCGGGCATACTGGTTATTTTTTTCAACCGTCAAACGTTGAAAACTTGCCATATAAATCTAGAAATTCCCCAAAATATAAAGTTTGGTGGCGTAAATCTCAGGATTATTTTGTGCTTTAAATTTTGCGACAGATCAGTTGTAAATGGCGAATAAGTGAGACAGAAAAGTTATCTCTTCTGATGATAATTCTTTATGATAGTCGATGGCGCGAACGAACTTGACTCGAGATTGGTTTACGCTTTACTCATTTTTAGCTGATATTAAAACTGTATAAATAGTAGCGCTTTCAATAATCTTATTCCTAGTGTATTTTTATTACCGAAAATAAACACTGTTCTCGAAAAAAAATAATTTAAACAGAAGTGCAGATCACCCGGGAAGAATTTTTTACTTTACATGTGTCATTTAAAATTATTTTCGGTGAGAGCGGAAGAAGATATTTTGTTTTCATGGCTATCAAATGTTAGGAATTAGGACTCTAAGCAAAGCTTGTAAATGCGTTCAACTTTCCTATTANCGTGATTTGTTACCGGAAAGGGAGCTTACTGTACAATTTGTGAGCGACAGACATGGTGGGCGTAAAAAGTAAGTTCAGTGCTGTTATAAAGTCAATTGCGTTTGTCATGAATGGTCATTCATTCAACCCGTTCTTATGCCGCGGAATCGTTAATGGGGCCATATTCATGACATAAACAGGTTTAAAACATCGCCAATCTGCTAATCGTTTACTTTGTAAATTACCTAGTTTCAGGTCTTAATTGCAGTGGGTTCGCGAAAGCCAGAGCGAAAAAGGACTTCATAAAAAGAAATGACATCAATCGATCTTTTACATTATAAATCACCTTACAAGTCTTAATCTTGCGGACAGCTCGTGAATGCTAAGGTCAAAATGGACTCTGAACAAAAATGACGCCAATCAAAGTTTTTACATTATAAATTATCTCAGAGACGGGTTCCTAAAGGAAAGCTCGCGAAAGTGAAGATGAAAATAAACTTTCTGGACAAAGAAAACAGATTTAAGAAATAAAAATATCCGGATTTGTTCTTCAAAAATGGCATATACTCAACCAGTTTGATCGCGAATAGGAAAGGAGTTTAATCACTCCAAAATTTCAGACGAAAATACCATGATCATTGCTGGTTTATACAGAGCGCTAACTGAGAATCTTTGGATTACCACTGGTTTCTTTATCATAGTTACCCAAACTACAGTTGGGTAAGAGGTTTATCCTAAAGCAATATATAGCAAAGTAAAACTGGAAGATGTTCATTTTAAGGTGTGGTCAACAAAAATATTCCTTGTTTATTCACTTTCCTATCTTAGTTTTACGGCTTGAGCTACAACCTCACCCTTGTTCTTCAATACATCAGGATAGAAAGAAGTCAGTATTGAATTTTTTATATAACAGCTAAAGCAATCTTGGTTTAACAAAGGAAGTTGTCTCAGTTGCTGCTGGCATTGTGCTTAAATGTGCCCACCTATATCGGGATATTACAAGCAAGGTCAAGGGTACTAAAACTCTATCTAAACATACTATAGCAAAACAATTGTTCAACTCAGACTAAAATTACAAAGCACCAAAATAACGAATTTCACTCTGTTAAGTATTCATTAACAATTTATGTCTACTAGAATTCGCCAAGATAATTATTTAGAATGGCAAATGTCCTGCTACTCACATTCTTTTAGCTTTAAACTGCTTAATATTGAAGTTACTATAATGTACTAGTAAATAATCTACGTATTATCTGCAAGTAGGTGTTGCATAAGGGGTAATTGTCAGTAAATATATCTCGTTAGACTTTCTCTGTGTATTTCGACTGAACTGTCTAGTAAGAGATTTAATTGTCGCAATGTTTTTCTCTCCCAAAATCTTGACTGTGAACTGTGTTTGTTATACTGTCCCGGTCAAAAATAAATCCGAGATCTACGGAAAACTGGTTTAACCGGTCAACCGGTGAGCAAATACCGTTGTCCTCATGGATATTTGTGCTCGTTTCATGCATTATTTGTACTCTGCTAAATCCAACTGGTTATTAACACTCTTCGCAGGTCTTGACTTGTACCCAGTTGTTCAAAGTCAGAACACATCATCCACTGGATAAACCACTATACAGTGGATAAGTGTTGAATAAAACAATCTGCACTATCCCCTGGATAGTGATTAATTCCGGTGAATACTTTAAAACTGGAGTCTGATGTATAGATGACTTTCTTGTCTCTGCCACTGTCATATTTCTGTTTGGTGTGCATTTCATAACAATTTAGTGGACACTTCTTTCAACTGTTCTCTTTTAATCCTTAGCAATGATTTATCTTTGACTTTTAATATGTAAGGAATTGTGTTCACCGAGTTGTAGCCTCAAATCGAAACTGAACAAAAGAGCTTTTTAATGAACCAACCACGTAATCCGAAACTTACTCTAAACAGCGAATTACAATAGCTGAAAAAGGCGAAGGGCTAGACTCAAAACTCCAAAAACAGCAGCAAGGCTGGACTAAAATCTCAACACGGAAAAAAATAGGCCTTTGCAACAGTTGGTCGCGTGACTGATAATTTCTAAACTTTTTGCTACGGCTAAATGTATTTGAGAACTGGAAATAGCATGTTTTGAAGTAGCCAGAACGAGCCAGAACACCAATTTTCAGACCAGTGCGATGTATATGTGCAAGGTTGAGACTAAATGACGATTTAAATATTGGAAAAATTTGAAGGTTTTGTATGAGGGTTTGTATGACTTTTAGTCCACTGTAATCCATCGAGGAGTTTAAGATCTGTTGGAAAATATCTTTTGGAAGTTCCTAGAGTACGTCTAAAAACTTACGGAGACTGAGCCTTCTCAGTTGCCGCCCCAAACTGTGGAATGATCTGCCTCTTGAAATTAAGTTAAGTCCATCGGTCGCCGTGTTTGAATCGCGTTTAAAAACTCATCTTTTCAGAATTGCTTTTAGATAGTTACGTCTATCTTAAAGTTTATACTTAATTTAGTTTAAATTATTATATTTAGTTTTACTTTCATGACTGTAAAGCGATATAGAGCTTTGTACATACTCGCTATATAAATGAAGTTATTGTATATATTGTATTGTATTGTATTGTTTTGTATTGCATTATTGAAAGCAAGGACGCTTTGCCCTCCAGAAACCTTTTCCGTTGTTAATCACCAATATTTAGATTTAGCCAGGACTTGTTTTTCTTGGATCAGAAACTCAGAAAATGATCAATTATGAGCATGTAATTGCTCAGCGTGTGGTTTCACTATTTTTCCAGTTAAATTTTAACAAACCATACCCAGTAAGCGAAACCATTTTTTTTCCAAGATTGTAGAAATTACGCGGGCAATATATCAGGGATTTTCCAACGCGCCAGGGGTTAATTTTCGCTGAAATTTTGCCCTTGCATGTACTCCCTCCTTCTCCCCCAGAGTAATAACCTGACCTGCGCCGTCACGTCACCGACTGTTGCAAAAGGCCCATTACGACAAAGAATTACGACAACAAAGATTAAAGGTATTCGTACGTGCGAGCACGTTCTGGGCCACGAATGGCCAAAATAAAATGATGTAAAATCATGAGCGCGGACAAAACACATACTAAGGCGAGAGGTGTGAGGTTAGAATTAAAAATTTGAAAGGTTCAAACAAATAACATGCAAATTGAACTGGGCAGGACTTAAGAATTAAGCACATGATCATCAAAGAGAAAAATTATTGACTTAAAAAACGAATTTTAGTGTTGAATTCACTTTTCGTTATCAGTTCGTCATATATTTATATTGTGTGTTTGCCGTCATTCAAAATGGACGAAATCTGCTCTAATTATGACTGGCTCTTAGCAAGTTCGCTTGAAAATCCCGTTAATGTTGCCACAAGTAAAGCAGTGAAACACGACTATTTGATATTTAGGTAATGTTAATTTAAATATATGAAAAAAAAAAAGACTTGACTTTGTTCGTGTTTCACTCAAGTAAATTGACGAAGTTTGTAAGCGGCTGGTTTCCGAAGTTATCTGATGTACTCTGTAGTAAATCTTCGTATTTTTCTACAAGTGGTCTTTTTGTAAAAAGAAACGTGCCGCTAAGAATACAGCATCCGTCCCATTTGACAACTTTGCTATTTCGTGCTGCATTTCATGCTGATTCACTATTCTTTGACTATTCCTATTGAGAGTTAATAATCCTTGCGTAAAAGAAGTGATTTCCTAAGACAACGTGAGTCGATTATATTTAGCTGCTCTGCTAAGTTGAGTATTTTTTCATCGGTGCAAATAATTGTCAGTATTTTGAAGCTCACCAAGGAATCGTAAGTCGCCATGGAAGAATGCCAAATTGACAATTTTACCATATCAAAATAATCGTATTTCGCGCCTAAAATAAGTGGAAAAGATAAAAATGAAGATTTCATTGATAGCAACGGGTTTTCCAACCGCTAAAACAACATAAGACTTGTACTAGCCTTTTTATCACGGGTGGAGGTCAAACGCAACTGTCATTTTCACTAGCTGTTTTCTTTTTTAATGGCATTTCTAATGCTGTTGACGCGAGCACTAATTTTTCTAAGTAATTAGCATTTGATTTTAAGAAAATATACTCGAGCAGTGTTCGACTCTCTTGAGTTGTTGTACAACGACATACAAACGCTCACAGGCTTTTTATGCAGCTCTCAGGGATGTACCGTAACACATATTTGTTTATATACGCGCAATTAATTCAGCTAAACCTCGATATGCGAAACATGATTAAGAGCGAATTTCCCCTGCGGCAGGTGCGACGTATAAAAAGGTTCCCATGGTGATGGACCCTGATACGTCATATAATCTTTACACCAAACAAACTTCGTGTATGAAGTCTAAAGATGTACAGAAGTCCCAGAGTCGCTTAACCTGACAGGAAAAAAAGCAAGGGCGAGAAGAAAATATTCTGGTGGCTTTTGGACTCTCTTGGGCACGCCTGCTTCTCGCTGAAACCATAAATTGATAATCAGAGAACGATGCATGTTTAACAGCTCGGTACGACTGTCTAACCATGAAACGTGTTTTAATTTGTTTGCTGAGATGCAGTGGCAGAGGAAAACATTGTTGATGTTGTCATTCTATTGGCCGTCAGCGATAGAAAGGAGAAACGTTCGTTCAAGAAATCATCTCGGTTAAGCATTTAAAAAATGCAAATTCGACATCTTTGCCACGATGAAATCAAGCGCCAGTTTTAGAATAACATCAAAGTCTTCTAATCTAAGCGCGAAAGTAAGTAACAGGAGTTTCAATCGTACCTTGTCGGGGACTTCTTTAAAAGGAATTTCTTTTAACTCAAACTCGAGTGACTCTCAAACATGCACCTTCGTGCCAATACCGCCGGAATATCTGCGTCAGCCACTGGAAGATTTCGATTCCCCGCAAACAAACGTAAGTCAAATAATTTCGTTAAATATTAGTCTAATGCGAAGTTTAAGTTAAATGCTTTCCTGCTTCCTGTATTCAGAAAGTCTGCCGTTGCCACCGATAATACAACACACAATTTCCCAGCCATTACTAATATACCTAAAGCGGGTATGGACAAAATCGGGCATACTGGTTATTTTTTTCAACCGTCAAACGTTGAAAACTTGCCATATAAATCTAGAAATTCCCCAAAATATAAAGTTTGGTGGCGTAAATCTCAGGATTATTTTGTGCTTTAAATTTTGCGACAGATCAGTTGTAAATGGCGAATAAGTGAGACAGAAAAGTTATCTCTTCTGATGATAATTCTTTATGATAGTCGATGGCGCGAACGAACTTGACTCGAGATTGGTTTACGCTTTACTCATTTTTAGCTGATATTAAAACTGTATAAATAGTAGCGCTTTCAATAATCTTATTCCTAGTGTATTTTTATTACCGAAAATAAACACTGTTCTCGAAAAAAAATAATTTAAACAGAAGTGCAGATCACCCGGGAAGAATTTTTTACTTTACATGTGTCATTTAAAATTATTTTCGGTGAGAGCGGAAGAAGATATTTTGTTTTCATGGCTATCAAATGTTAGGAATTAGGACTCTAAGCAAAGCTTGTAAATGCGTTCAACTTTCCTATTATGCAATATCGCTTAATTCAGACCAATGTGCAAAATTAATTGTAACAAATCTTTGACGCGCGGAAGTTAGTTTATTGGTAAAGAGAGTTTTGGACGCAGAGAACCTCCCTAAAATAAAATCGTTAATATTTATCTATCCAGCCAAATTGAACCAAAACGATTTCGCTTTTCAAGTTAATGTTCTCCGGCTCCAGTGCGTTATCTTAATGTAGAAACTGACTGGTGACGTGAAGTCAATTGTATGAGCTTCAACTTCGACGCAAAAGATAACTGTTAAGCGTTGTTAAGGAAACATTAAACGAATACCGCAATTTCAATATTTAGGTACTTTGCTAGACGTTTCGACGCTCAATCCACGAAACCTTCCTAAAAATTAAATTGATAGTTCGAGTTTGTAAATGTAATCCAGCGTTTATTTTAGTAATATGTGAAGAAAATCTTCTTGAGAACAATGCCACAAAACAACTCATATTTACCTCCGACTGGACTGACAGATAACACAATTAAAGGAATTGATAATTTAGATCGCGAATTCACATGCAAATAAAATACTTCTGTAAATTGTAAAATATTTATAAGCACCGCGTTTGAAAAGATGACCCCTTAGTTTTCATGGATAATGGACATGAAAGCTTGGAATGGAGTATTCAAATTCTCTTTAGAGAAAAAGACATAACTTCGATTTTTAATACCAACACAAATGTTTATTTACAGGAACGTTTTGCAACTAAAAACTGTTGTTAAACCCGATATAACTAGGGATAAAGGGCGACTTCTAAAAATATTCATCGCTAAACTGTTTCATGACATATGTGAAGAACAGTTTGCAATTTATGCCTCGGTCCCGAAGTAAATACAAATTGCAATTTTTACTCTGATATAACTAATATTAAAGCCCAGTCCACTGATATGGTGTGCAAAGAAAAAGTCTCAATTAAGACAGTTTTAGGAAAACAAATGCTTTAGCTTTGCAGAACAGACGGCAGTTTTCATGCGCGCATTGAATCCCTCGCTCGCCGGGAGAAGCCATCTGCGATTCGCGCAATGCCTCCCTGATGATGACTAAGCAGTATAGTGATTGTGGGGGATTAAATGAGTGGGAGAAGTCTTAGTTAATAGAGGAGAAAGGTTATGCAAGCCCGGCAAACATTATGATCGTGCACAATCTTTTAGTTTGCGTTCATACAAAACGCATGAATTAATTAACCGGACCTTTGCTGGTGGTCAGTCTCTCAGTTAGAAGTTAAGTGCTGTTGTGTTTTGTGCACGGTCAAGGCCAAAATAGCCAACAAAGAAATTTGCTGGACTTCATTTTAACCACTCCACCTATTGCAGATGAGAAACGGTTACTTCATTCATGTTCCCGGACAATTTTAACTTTGTTTTAGGGAAACAAGCGAAGCATACATTGCTACCAAGAAGTGCATTTTATTGGCTTCAGTATTTCAGAGGGCAGAAAAATCTAATTGGTACAACAAATATGCTTAACCGGTACCAAGCTTCTCAAGAAAAAATTATTTAAATACAGTGTCAGAAATTTCAAATCTTAATTTAACTTCCTATTGTGAACCCATTATTGGAGCTAATACGTTCATAAACTTCAGCAAGATTATTTTATGCATAAAACAATTTTAAAACCTGTTAAACAAACATATGTTAAGTTAACAAAACCTATTTTTAGGTTTGGCTGATGGGGTAACATTGATTATGTTTATATATACGCGTATCCATCTTGCTCAGAATACAATATGAAATGGTCGGACACACCTTTGTTTTATTGAGATTATTCACTGTACTGCAGATATTCCCGCTTTCCTTTCCTTGCCGCCACTTGCATGCTGAATAGATCGCCTTCAGTTATATCACGGGGTTGACCATAAAATAATTAATGACTGTCAAAAATACGATGACCTTAGAAATGTTCGAGAGTTGAATACTTAAATACTAAGATGGAAGTAACCTTTTGTGTGATTGGACACTAAAAAGCTGAAAATTTAAATTAGAAGCTGTTCATAAAAGATCCAAGACTATTTCATCGCAAGTATTGAACTTATTCCGCTGATGGTCTTAGACGGATTAAATTTGTGGGCCATTTTACGGTTAGCGCTCTCAACAGTCGTTCAATGGTTACTGTGACCACAGTTTTATACAAACATGCACGGTTCAAGCGTTTGAGCAGGACGAAATGACTTAGTCAGCTATAAATAACTTTTCTGTTTAGAATGGCAGAAGGACGGCAAATACTCGGCACGCCCTCAGCTCGCAGACCTTCCTTCTGGTCGTAAGCTAGTTATGTCTGATAATCTGTCCTACCGACAGCAGATGTTCCCACAGGGACGGCGGAGCTGGGGGATGGCTGGGGGGTGTTTTAGCCCCCCCAGTTTCAAGCAAAAAATACATAAAATAATAATTTTACAAATCTCTCCAGATCCCCTACAAGATAACGCCTCTGGCGCTCGCTTGTAAGCCCCCCAATTCAAAATACGCTCCGCCATCCCTGTTTCATATGCCGGAGCAGTATTCCAGCTAAATTTGATAAACTAACTATAGTAAGTCAGCAGTTTGAATACTAAACTTAAGTAAGTAACCATTCGTTTAGCAGGTCATTGGGGAAACCCTCTTTGTGACGGCTCCAATGTCTAAACTTATGAAATTTGTTTCTTTTTCAGACATTTGTGATCGTAGCTTCTCGGCTTGGCAGGCAATACGTATTTAGATTTAGCAAGGAGAAATCATTATATTTATTTGGACCATTAAACGCAGTGCGGAAAGCAATAATTATTCTTATTACAAATCAGTATCCTTTTGAATATTGAATTTAAATTTATCATTGTCTTAGAGTGAGTAATGTAAATGTGATAAATAGACCAATAATCTTTTTCATTACATTAATCCCCTTTCACATTTGTGGATCTCCCTTAAAAGTGATTTTTTTGGGGAGCTATGACAAGACATAATGCAGTCATGGACTACAGTAATGGATCAGAGAAACCCGCCTACTCCAACTGACCAATGAAAATACGGTCTCCTTTTGAGAAGCCATTGAAATGTCGAAATGTGCGTGTTGCCTTTTGCTTCTGTTTCTAAGGGAATTTTTATGCTAAACCATTCAAATGAAAATAAGTTTGATTGACATGAAAATAAACTTACAGGTGAACACATTTTCTATCAATCAGAATGGTCTCGAGCGAATAGTCGTGTTGGCAAAGAGACAACAAGCAACTCGAGTTCGAAAATGGCCATTTTACGTGTTTTCAACAATCGAAAAACTTCACCTCCACTCTATTATTATGTGATCGGCCAAACGAAGTTTTTCTACTTGTAACGACTGTTCGTAGCAGTTAACTTCCTTAACCTAACTGTAGATTTTTTGAATTATTTATACTTCTTACCATAATTGTAAATTGTATTTTTCTTGCCCTAAAAAATGCTCCAGAGGAACCAGAGTAAGTGATAATTAAGTTTAAAAATAATTAAAAATTAATTTATTAATTACGCCATGTTGTCAGGTTTTTTCTGATATTTCATTATATAAATGATTCAGGATCTTTTGATCCCAGGGGAATCGAGAACCTCGACGAAGGCAAAGAAGGCAGATTGAGCACAATGATTTGGTAATCAACTACTTGCTTTCAAGAGAACAAAAATTTGAGAAACTACCCTGAGGGACGTTTTGTACGGTAGGCCAGCGATATCTACCTACCAGGAAACACGCTCAATTATCAGTTGCCTAGACAGGTGCCTTCTGCAAAAGATCTTACAAAAGTGTACCCAACCATTTTTTACCCAACTATTTGTTTCCTTTCAAACCGGTTTGACCAAAATATGATTGTATGCTGTCGCATTTAATTAATGTTTTTTTTCTATCATTAGGTACGTCTTCGCCGCAATATACACGGTTGAAATGATTCTTAAGATTATAGCTAAAGGCTTTTGTATGCACAAATTTGCTTATCTCAGGGATCCATGGAACTGGCTAGATTTTGTTGTTGTAATTTTGGGGTAAGTTTCACGATGCTGTTTTTGTAAAGTAGCCCTTTAGCTGTTGATGTATTTTTAACACTTTTAGAGAGGGAAAGGAAGAGAATAAACGTTCTTATTGTTCTCGAGTAAACCTATAAACGTGTTCAAATATCTATTGATGTTCCGTAGTAGTTTAACCTTTTCTATCTCGACCTGTTCGAAATTTGTGAGGCCCTGCCAGGGGGTTAAGGGAACAAGGGGACACGAACCTTTTTTTTTCAGGGAAAAGGGATAGCTTTGGATTAACCTACAGGAACACGGGATATCTCTACTATAACGGAACGTTTGCGAAAAATTTCAGGAAACGATAAGAACGAAGACGAAAATGCGAAATTAATTTTTTTAAAGGAATCAGAGAGTATTTATTTCAGGGAGGCTTCCATAGGTGTCAGGGTAAGAAAGGATTCACAGTGGTGACTGTCATTTTAGATGTGTTTTTTTTCTTTTTCTTAACAGGTATATTACTCTTATTCCTAACGTCTACAACTTGTCAGGGATTAGAACATTTAGAGTTCTTCGAGCTCTTAGAACTATTTCAGCAGTTGAAGGTGAGAACAGGACAAGGTCTCAATGTCTACTGTGCGGCCGCTGAGTACGGTGAAAGATAGGTTCCTCACAATCGTTCTTAGTCTAAGATTACTTCAATAAAAACGACGAGCTAGAAAGTTTGAAACCTTTCAAACATGTAGTTTTGAAACACTCGACCTAGGATACCCGCTTTTAATGTGTACCCGAAAGTTTGTATTCTCTTTTTAAAAGTGAATATCTACAGTCGTTTGATCTAGCACTCTACATTCAGTATTGAAATTTTGTCAATCTCCTGTTCAAAATATGAATTCCCCTTGCCAGTTTCCTCACATTTCTATGTAATGTTATTTCTGAGAATTTGGTACTATATCATGACTCCTGATGCAAAACATGCACTAGTAGCCTTAACCAGTACTCTTCCTTTTTGATAGGTTTAAAGACAATGGTAAATGCTCTTCTCAAGTCCATGACCATGTTATCAGACGTCTTGATCCTCACACTGTTTTTCCTGTGTATCTTCGCCTTGGTTGGAATGCAGCTCTTTGTTGGACAGCTGAGAAATAAATGCGTTGCCACGCCCACGCCACACAATTCGATTGGCTATGACAAATATATATCCAATCAAAGTAAGTGGCATCTGCCAATCACAATCTATTGCCACATCGTTTCTAAAATTGGAGTTTTTGTAGCGACTGATGACGCGACTTTTTAATCCAAATTGTTTTACATTATTTTAAGCACGGGATAAAAGGACTGTTTAACTCAACAAGTCAGATATCAGCTAGGTTCTTGTCTTGAGTGAGATAGATATTTAGAAGCCTTGAATTTGTATCCCTCTTTTCAGGTGTGTGGCTTAGATGTGACAGCGACGAGCTTGTGGTTTGTGGAAATGCGTCAACTGCAGGGTAACAACAGTAATCAAAACTATAACAAAATTCTCCAACGTGATTGGCTATCAGCAGCCCGATTTGAGCATTAATTGGACAGTTTACGCGTCATGCTTGTAATTGGACAGTACGCGTCACTTTGCGCGCGCTGCTGCGGTGCACTTTGTTGAGTAAACTGCTGTGTTTTTCAGCATTCATAACGACGTTTAATTGTTCAGCACTCAATTGATGCTTTGTTCGTTTCTCGAATTTTGTCATAGTTTTGATTAATTGGTAACAGGACATCGTGTCGTCCAATTCAGTCTGTAATCATACTCGTGATTAACAAATNGACTCCCGCTTCGCGGTCGTCCGATTTTGTTAATCACTCGTATGATTACAGACCGAATTGGACTCCACTCAGTCCTATTACCATTATTAATTCTTACCTTTATGTTTACCGAGCTCAAATTTCATTTGTAATTACCATCTCTTTGACGTGGGGTTGCTCGCACGTTGATTGGCTAAGACGTTTGGAAAACAAACAGAAAGATTTCAAACTTTTCTATAGCAACACCACTGACCTAGACGCAACAATTGGATCATTGGATCGTCATTTTCGCTCTAAAAGCGAACCATGTTATCTTCATGTTACATCAAATAACTAATTAAACGGGAACGCTGTAAAACTCCTGTTTTCATTCACGAAATCCATTCAGTAATCTGCAAATAACAAATGGAGCGGGAAACGATCAGAAATATCAAAAACACCGTTTTAACAGTCTTCTTCCTCCTTACAGAAGTTTAAAGACTCTGAATACCTCACTTTGGACAGGAAAAGCGTTCGATACCAATAAATCTCCTAGAAAACATTTCAGCGTATAATTTTGCTGTACTGTTTTCCTCTCCTTTACTATTTTAATCCGCTCCAAGACCAGTAGAGATGCTCCGTTTGATGCGTAGTTTCTTGCTTAAACAATTTTAATTGTTAAAAATGCCTGATAGGATGAATTTATTTCAGGACCTGTCCTGCGAACTACACGTGTTTGTCAGTCGGTGATAACCCCAACTATGGTTACACTAACTTTGACAACTTCGCCTGGTCTTTGGTAACTGCTTTTCAACTAATTACAATGGACTTTTGGGAAAATGTCTTTAACTATGTGAGTATTCACCTTTTTCAATTTGTTTTTTGTAAGACGCTTTTTTCTTTTCCGCGTTGGCATATTTTTTCTAATCAAAGTATTTCTTAATATGGCTAATTAAACTGGAACTGAAAATAACTGTGATTTCAGTAGTTAGTCCAAGTGGTTTCGTGGCCTTTACATCACTTCAGCCAGGGTCCCTCTTTCAAAAGGGACCCTGGCTGGACATCAGGTTCGTTTGCACACTTTCTCATATGTCCTATCGTAAGATTTCTATCTTATTGCTTAATAGAACTATTTTATCCTGTTTTACAGGTTCTTGCCTCCATGGGTTCTTGGTACGTGTTCTATTTTATGTTCGTGGTGTTTTTTGGATCTTTCTATCTCATTAATCTGGTGCTTGCGGTGGTTGCGGTTTCATATCAACAAGAAGTAGTGGCGATGCAAGAAAGGGTAAGAGATGTGTTACCAGGCAAAAACATTAAGCTGATATGTACTATTGGGATTATGTTCTGGTAGCTGCAAGCTACCAAGAGAGGATGGGTAAGAGAGTTAATCCTCTATGTAGACCTTATTCCCAAGGTGATCCCTCCCCTAGTGATGGTATACGTTCTTCCCACGGACAATTTTACCACACGCGTTGCGTAGATGTTTTTGTGGAGGATGAAAATGCAAGTAAAGCCGCTTGGACTGTCCACGTGAGCAAAATCTGTGTCACAGGGTTGAGTATATGTAGACTCCCTGGGATTTTTTAAATAACTTGAGAGGGGTATAGAGAATAATACACGGCGGCGCAAAGATATGAATTTTATTTTTGAACATTGAAAACAATATTTTACGAACGAACGAGAGCAGCGAGTGAGTAAAATATTGTTTTTAACATGAGGAAGCCAACGTGTAATTTTCTTATTCTACAGACAAACTGACTGTTTGCATAAACAGCCGCGAGAAAGCGGGAAATGACGTCATAAGTATCCATGGAAAATACGCCATTTTTGCTGTGTGCATAAGATATATGGGTTATTGACCAAGCGTGAGGTCAAGATGGCTGGACATTGGTCAAGTTCCCTTTTTGCATGTTTATGGGCCCAGACGGAGACGAGGTCCATAAACTCGCAAAAAAAGAACTAGGCGAATATCAAGCCATCTTGGCCGAACAAGCTTGGTCAATAAAGGATTTGTTATATGGCTTTCGGGAAAATTTTTCTTGCGGGTAACGGCGGGTAGTCCCGAGCGGGCAAGATAGCTCCATCTTGCCAGCTCGGGTAGCCAATCACAGCGCAGGATTTGATTCATCTTGCCCTTTCACGGAGCTAGCCATATAATAATGTTCCTTATTCAGAAGTCTCTCGCGAAGCAATGTAGACCCTTCGCATTAATAGCTCCGATATTTCAATAACAATACTTATACACCCTAAGCCTACCATTCAGGTGATAAATCCTTTGTCTGGAAACATAAACTCGAGGCTTAGGATGCATTTGTTATTCATCAAATTTAGGCGCCATTTATGCAAAACTAGGTCTATTTGTTTCCAAATCAAAGGCCAGTTTAGTCTCCTCCGCAGCCTTCATTAGGGTCGTCACGCAACGCTTCTCCCGTGACGACCCTAATAACGGCTGCGGAGGAGACTAAGGCCAGTTAGAGTGTGAACATTAGTTTTACTTCCAGTATAACTTCTATAAGCCTGCCGAGTTTCCCTTGCTTGAAGTGTATTTAAAACTGTTCAACTTTTTTCAATTTACAGGATAAAAACTATGAAGAGCTCAAAACTGTTGTATCGTCGTACTCATTTCACGGGCGTGCTGTGCCAAAACTTCTTACTGAAAGTGGGAAATCAAAACAAGAAGCCCTGGTAACAAAATGCAAGCTTTCACTGTGTCTTCCTTGCTTTAAAAACTCTGCAAGCTCAAAACCTCACGAAACTAACAACGCTACTAACACAGGAGAAATTGAAGGAAGTCACGCGAGTTTGCGTTACTCGCCGTGTGGTTCTCATGTGATGGAAATGAACAATGTAACGGGGGAGTATTCTACGGTCAAGGATAAGAACGAAAACGTGGCCGGCGAGAAAGCATCGAATGGAAAAGACGTGCAAATACGATTAACTCCGATTATTTCTACACCCAGTCAATGTCAACCTGTTAGGACGTCATTAGTACATGATTCTATTTCAGAAACTAGTAGAAATTCAAATGCGAAATTTTTAGAAGTGAAGCCAACTTGGGCAAGAACGTTAACCGTAATAAGTGAACAGGAATCAACAGACCCTGATAACCACTCTGTAAATTCAGATGACTGTAACGCAATTAAGCAAGTCAAATTCCCTGGGGTATCTCCGATTTCATCACCCGTGGGAAGTCCTCGGGGATCCACGGGGTGGGAACCCCAAGGAAAAGACGCTAAACACCGGAAGGAAGAGTTATCGAGGCGGAAATGTATTCGGAAACGCATTTCTAAACTGACGATGGATCCGTTGTTTGATATGTTCATTACATTTTGTATTCTTGTTAACACTGTGTTTTTGGCCTTGGAGTATCATGGAATGAACGAGAATTTCAGAATGGCCTTGGATGTTGGAAATATGGTAGGTAATAATAAATAAACTAATTTAGCGCTCCACCAGGAGATGCTGGTCAGTGCCGAGTGTCCTCCGGTGGTGGTGGGAGCCATGAGGATACCTTGACCCATCGGGAGACAAGGTTTTTCCCGGTGGGGCCGTGTGAATGCTATGACCTTGGTTAAAACTTGGAATTCCCGGTGGGAACGAGGATTTGCCAGGTCTGGCCTGGTGTTTGAAGGTCGGATAACGCTATCCACCAGATAAATCGCTATCCAGTGGATAAATGTTAACAAAACAAAGCGTTCTATCCACTGGATAGTAATTTATCCGGGGAATTCCGTTATCAACCTTTCGAGCAACCCGGGCCTAGTGACTTGTTCTCACCATTAAAGAAATAACGTTATTCAAGTAAAATTGAAAGTAGGGATTAACGTTCCTGATCAACTGTTTTTAGGTTTTCACATTCGTGTTCCTGCTGGAGATGGTGTTGAAAGTGACTGCGTTTGGTCCTTGTGGTTACGTGAAGAGTCGATGGAATATATTTGATGGCTTCATTGTAGTGATAAGCATCGTAGACCTCATTATCGAGCGAGTTGTTAAAGTTGGTAGTGGCGCTGGACTCAGCGTCCTTCGGACGTTCAGACTGGTAAGTGATTTGCAGTGGAACTAAGCTGACTTGTTTCTCAGTGGAGTAAGAGAGCGCGTCACGCCAAAGCTATTACACCGTACTCGGGTAAATTCTGTCCCATTTATATCAGTAAGTGGAACGTGGAAGATTGAGGAGTACTGGCCGCCATCTTGGTTGTAATCGAACGTCTTACTACTAGTAACAAACATTCAGACCTGCTGGAAATTCTCCGTGATGCGTTGAAAAAAAAAAAAACGTTAATATAGTAGCTACGTGCTTGTAAAACAGCCATGAACTTAGTGTGGTTGGTGGAGAGAAGTGATGGTCTGTTTGTAACACACTCCATTACCACAGTATTTTTTGTATGCAGTATCCAACTTGGAGAGGATCTGTTAGTGATCCCAAAGATGGGAGGATAACCTAAGAGAGTGATTCCCGGTTCCCTAACTGTTTTACATTTGTAACACATGGAACTTGTTATCTTTACCATGTTGTCGTGAGCTTCAAGCTCACGGCGACATCCAGATTTCTCTCGTTTTGTTGTACAGCCACCACCAAGTTAAAACAATGAGCAAAAACAGGATGCTGTCACAATCTGTGGAAATCCGTGACAATGTTTAACTAATCAGGTGTCTTTCTTAAGATGGCCATTGTCTTTAAATATTGCTGTTACTGATTTTATCACTGGCCGAGAAGATAAGCCCTGGGAACTAGATCCAAATGTCAATATTTCGTTTCTTTTCCAGTCTTCATTCTCTGCTCGATATCTCATGTGCACATTCTTGTATTTCAGCTGCGTGTTTTCAAGCTTGCGCAGTCATGGCAGACGATGAACATGCTGCTACGAACAATCGCCAGCAGCATCGGCCAGCTTGGTAACCTCACCTTGGTTTTGGGGATCATTGTTTACATGTTGGCAGTGGTCGGAATGCAACTGTTTGGGAGGTAATCATGTAAAACAAATGTTGTTTACTTGACTAAATAATCAATAAACTCAACAGACACATATTTTTTTTTCCTTTTCGCTAGTGTCTACACAGAAGAAAAATTTGGTGGCGACATTCCTCGCTGGAATTTTAATGATTTTGGTCAGGCGTGCATGATGATATTCAGAGTACTATGTGGAGAGTGGATTGAACCGCTGTATGACAGCATGCGGGCGACGGGTCCTGAGTCCGTCCTGTTTTTCCTCACGGCTTTAGTCATTGGAAACTTTCTGGTGAGTCACGTGACAGATTTGCAGTACTGAAGGATTTATCCTCCATAAACCTTATTCCCGAGGTAATCCTTCTCAAGCTATTTTTAAATCACTCCAGGCTTCAGAAATCCCAGGAAGGTCTAGAAATAACCAATCCTGTAGCGCAAATTTTGCTCACGTGGACAGCCCAAGCTGCGTCACACGTAATTTTCGAACTCCACGAAAACACCCACGCAACGTGCGTGGCAACATAATCCACCGGGGATCTGGGTACCATTTCTAAAAATAGCTTGAGAGGGTGTACCTTAGGAGTACCGTTCATCCTCTCTTGTTTTGTTTCTAAGCCCGATTATTCAAGGAAATTGGTAGATTTTGGCATATTTTCCTACTTAGACACCAATTAAATTGTTGCATACTAGCCAAGGATGACGTGATATTGTTTTTGCTATCGCTAGTAAGTAACAGTAGAAAAAGAAAAATCTTCTCGTGAAGCATTTAGTTTTTTTATCTATTTGTCCACGTTCAACGTATTCTGTAGTTATCATGTTACGAAAAGACATTTAAGTTTAGTTTTTAGTCCTTATCAGTTTAACTTAAAAACAAAATTGAATTGAAAAAAAAACATGCATGTACAGAGAACGTCACGAAAAGTTATTCTATAGCAGAGAAGATTGTCTTGGAAATGTTGCCAATGGGTTAATGGCTAACTGACTGTTTTTTTACAAGGTGACGCACGGTGATAAAATCATTTTCCCCACTTATATCTCAGGTTTTGAATTTGTTTCTTGCTTTACTGCTTAACGCCTTCGCTCGTGAGTCTTTGCAAGATGAAGCAGAGAAAAGAGGGGAAAAACAGCCAAGCAAGTTTTATCAGGGGGTCCAGCGACTGAGTAGAGTTCTGCGTCTGAATAGTGTGATACCACGCCGAACACAGGTCAAGCCTACACAGCCTCCTGCAGACGACAGACCCGGATCAGTGAAAAGTTCAGATAGCAAAGGTGATTTTGTGTAATTCTATAACTCGATATAACACAGATCCAACACGAGAACCAGCTCGATAGAGCCATAGAAACACTCACCTGTGGCTCGTGTTTCTTTAACTTAATTATATCTAGACCTTGGAGTGGAATGCTTGTAAACTCGCTGATTAACTACGTGCATTGAAAACAAAGTATTTTTAGAGCGTTTCAGCCAATCAACTTTAGGACGAGTAAATATGCTTTCGACGATTAAGTTAAAATTACTTTCTTTATTTTCTTTAACAGATGCTCTTAATAGTACCCCGGCACTGATGAACGCAGTAACAGCTTTTCAAAAGAAAGGAAAACTCAACAGAGACACAGTCAAAAGGGTAAGAGCTTAACGAGCACTTAGTCGATAATAACATGTTATGCAACATAGCTTTATTCCCTGTGTTACTTATCCTCTTTTACCTTTGCCATGTCCTCAGCTTTCGATCGCAATCGAAGCTGCGAAAAAGGACTCTACAGCATCCAGCGCCGTTCTCAGTTTAGCTCGTTCGTCGGCAACAATCACCAGCCCGCGGGAAAGTGTCCAGATGAATCGGGGTGAATCCTCGGGCGATCCCGCCATGACAGAGGTGCAGGAGTGCTGCCCGTGCTGGATGAAGCGCTGCACGTGTGACTGCATTGCTATGTGGAAAGAGTCCAGCGGTTATCGTGTTTGGAGAAGCATGCGCCATAAAATCAAGAAGTTGGTCGAGCACCGGTATTTTGAATGGGCGATTCTGCTGATTATTGTGGCCAGCAGTGTTACTCTGGTAAGTTGCCGCTATGGGTAACGGCATTACACCAAACTGAATACCTTATAGACTCTATGGTGCCTTCATTAAAACTTTCCTTCAATAAAGAATTGTTTTGTATATTTTTCAGGTTTTTGAGGACGTTCATCTTAACAATCGCCCAACACTAAAGAAAGTCTTGGATTATCTAAACATCGTATTTGCTGTGGTGTTTACTCTGGAGTTTCTCCTTAAAACAATCGGCTTGGGTTTTGTAACGTACTTCAAGAATGCCTGGAACTGCCTGGACGTGGTTATTGTTGCTGTAAGTAAAATGATCTGAACTGAACTCAACAGAATAGTCTACACGGTTGAAATGTCTCAAAACGTTCGGCTGTGAGATTAAGAGTACGGCTCGATCGTGTAATATCCATAGATTTGTCGCGTGGGCGTGCTTGGGAAGTTGGGTGAGCATTCAAGAAGCGAGGGGTATTCTCGACTCTCCTTTGAGCAAACCGTACGCTTTTGTTTCTTGTGCTTGAAAAAGAGCCTTCAAAGATTTCCGAGAAGCGCGCTGACATAATTATATTGCAAAGGCGATATAACGAGCACAATTCGTGCTAACGTGCCAACATGTTGGCTTGTCAGATCCGAGGTTCCTTATGCGCCCAAGAAAAATCAGTGTCATGTCTGATGGAGGGTACATTATATCTTGTGTGCACCCTTAACTTTTGGCCATACGTTCTTGGGGTATGGGACAATGATGGAATTACAATATTTTGCTTCTTGTTTCGAAGAAGTAACCATTTTCTCAAGTTTGATGTCACAGTATTTTGACTCTGCTCTGCTTGTTTAGGTTTGTTTAGCAGACATGGGTTGCAGAATGTTCGCTAAAAATGTTTTGCTTATTTCACAAATGACGTTTACGTTATTTCTCAATTTTCTGCTCAAAGTTCTTAAGCAACAGTTGTCATTCATTAACATTCTTTATTTTCAGATATCCATTCTCACGGCTGTTGAGTCTATTGAAGAACTAAACTCGGTAAGAATACTAAACAAATAATCGTAAACTGATCTTGTTGAAATAGGTATAAATATTCATTGAATGCTCTAGAGTGATCAACATCGATTTTCTCTTTAAAATATTAATAAGTCGTCAAGCAGACAGGTGATGAGAATAAAGAAAATAATCATCTAGGAGATATTATTTGATGTACCACCAAATTCTCAAAAGTAGCATTTAAAGAATGCGCAATTATAAAAAAAAGGAGAATTAATTTTTCGATCGTAGGACCATTTGAAACGCACTTAGGAATGCTGTAGGTACTTCACGTGTAAAAGTGACTTAAAAGTACTTTAATGAAGTTATGAAGGAAAAGGAGCACTTTTTAACGCATGGGATGCCTAATTCAAAAATGTCGCGCTATAAAGATTATTTCTATTTCATCTAACTTGTGAAATTAAAATGTAACAACTTTAACCATTTTGGCAATATAAAATTATTGAGTCCGGAAAATATAGCAAGAGATTAGGCGTTCTTTTAGTAAACCTTTTTCTTCATATAATATTTAAAATAACAAAAAAGAAGAGAGTGAAAGGGAATATCATTCTGATAATTATTTTGTAAAGAATGAGTAATAGGCCGCAATAATAATGAATCACATTATAATTATCCATGGTGACAAATGTTATAATTTGTTATTTGTATTTTTCTTGCAGATTTCTGTCGCCACAGTGAAAAATCAGACCACAGATAACGACAGTAGCCTAGCTTCATTTCGTTCCCTGCGTACATTACGGGCGCTAAGACCTCTGAGAGCGATCTCACGCTGGGAGGGTATGAAGGTAAACAACTCTTCAACAAGAAAACTAACAATCCAATTTTCTGCATCTCATGAATATAAACTGCTTCTCAATATTAAGGTTGCGTTCGTTCGGGAACCAAACATGTTAACTAAGGCGCTTTCCATTCAACCAAAAATTCAGGAACTTTCGAAACAGGCAAACGTATACTACCGGAATTTTTTTTTTCAAAATTTAATCCGAAAATTGTTAAATTTCCAAAATGCAAATTATTCAACCCCAATTTCCCGGGGAATATCAAATGGAACGGGAATTCTCGGTAAGAAATTTGCGTACATTTGGGTATAACCCCCGATGAAAAAAGCCCCTAGTTAAAGTTTGTTTGGAGTATACAAGGAAAATTTATTTGTCTCACAATTTCCAGCTGATTACTGCCGGGTTCAGTTTCTGCAAATTTCTTATAATAACACGAAATAACGAAAACAGCAACAACAAAGATCAAGAACAACAAGTAAACATAGAAACAAACCCTACCTGGTGGGCACAGTACAGGCATTTAGTTTCGTTTCGTATGTATATTGCCCATTTTGAATTACATAATCCCCAGATAGTTGTTCGTTTATCAAAAGCATAAGGATTCTTAGGCACACAAAATATGATTTAATCTGAAAGAAACAGATCTATTGCATTCTGTAACCTGAGGTGCAGCAACAAATAAACAAAGGTAAATGGCCTTATAATCTTCTTAAATCCCTTCAACTGTTTCTTCCAAGGTTGTGGTGAATTCATTGCTGTTTGCAATCCCGGGGATCGGCAATGTGCTGTTGGTGTGTATGGTATTCTGGCTCATCTTCAGCATCGTCGGAGTTCAATTTTTTGGAGGACGATTTTACAAATGCGTCGACAGTCAAGGGGAACGCCTGCCGATCAGCATCGTGCAGAACAGATCGGATTGTGATAGGCTGGGATATCGGTGGATAAATTCTAATATCAACTTCGACAATGCTGGTAACGGATTTATCGCTCTTTTCCAAGTGGTGAGTCAACTGTTTCTTCCAAGGTTGTGGTGAATTCATTGCTGTTTGCAATCCCGGGCATCGGCAATGTGCTTTTTTTTCCTTGAAAGTTTTGTAGGTGTACGGGCATCCCAGTCCCCGTGAGAAGTACCCAAGAACCACCTCAATTAACCCTCGGGGCTCTCACATTGACCTAGTTCCCAGACGATTTGCTTAAGGATCACCCTATCCTTTTCGGCTTTTCATGGACAACCCCGTTTCTGTGAGGTTTATCCAAAGATCACTGTAATGCTCCAGGTAGCGTGGGCGACTATGCCTCATGCCTGGGAGATCTACGCAAGGGTCACCCTATCCTGCCGGGATTTTCCTTCGTACTAACACAGGGAACCCAGTTCACGGAAGATTTACCCAAGGATCACCTCATGCCTCGGAGCTTTTCCAAAAGATTAACCAATCCCAGGGGTAGAAGCTATCCTCAAATGGACTGACTCCGTGTTGTGTTCTTTGTTTAGGCGACGTTTGAAGGATGGATGGAGATCATGAGGGATGCTGTTGATGCTAGAGAGGTAGGACTAGTTTATATGCACAAATAACAAGATAAACGTCGACCATTGAAAATGTTATCGGTGTTTGATTTGTTAATACAACAGCAGTGGCGGACGAACATTTCACCCGTATAGTTGGGTATTGGTATTGTCATTGTTATTATTAGTAGACAAAGAAGCAAAGCCCTTGCCATTTTTGAAACTGAAGTAACTTTTGTTTAATTTATTTGATTAAAATGATTCATTTCTTTATTCTGGAAAAATAACCGACCTTACATTTTTCACTTTTTAGAGAATGCAGAAGATAATATCTCAACCTCCCATCAGAAGGCACCTCTTTCAAAGCGGACAGTCAGTCTTGCTTAGCTTTATATTTATGCGGATTTTTCTCTTTTTTTTCAGATTGATGATCAACCGGAAAGCCAACACAGTTTTATTCCTTATTTCTATTTCGTCGTGTTCATAATTGTCGGTTCTTTCTTCACCTTGAACCTGTTTATTGGAGTCATCATTGATAACTTCAATCGATTGAAGAAACAGGTAAAAACTCATCAGTTTTGAAACATTTCGACTAGAGGTTTGCGACGCGCAATGCGTGAATTTTGTAAACTCTCGAGCACTCTTCCTGTCGTTTGGGCACAGTTGAATGGAATTCTATGAGAGTTCAGCTCTCTTGAACATTGGGACGGGTTTGGCAATCAACTTAAAATCACACTTTTTGTAGAACAGAAATAGGAATGTATAACAACATAGTAATACTACTAACTATGATAACAGGAAAAGGAATGCAACACAGACATCTCCTTTACCCCTTTGGCGTCTTCTTTTGTCTGCCTGCAGATGACAGCTTTCATTTCTTACGCCTTTCCCTTGTATTTACGTTCGGTTCCAGTATCAAGCATTTTGTGGTGGTGTAAACTCCCGTTTGTAGAAGAGTTTCAAGTCACTTTCGCATATCTAAGTAGTGGCAGACGGTAAAGTCGCCCATGTTCGTCTCATAGACTCCACTTTGACCTTTTGTGAATTTTTTTAGTACGAGGACAGTGGAGCACTAGACATTTTCCTGACGCCGTCACAGAAGGCTTGGTTCAACACTCTGAAAAAAGCTGCTAACAAGAAACCAAAGAAAATGATCAGTAGGCCTCAGGTGAGTACTCAATGCAAGCCTTGCAAAAGGAAACTGGGGTCGATGCCAGCTTTCACTCCCAAAGAATCAAGATACCGAACAAATAAATAACCTTTAAGAATTCTAAAATCTCTCACTGGATTATTTTTGTATTAAAATTTGTAATTATCGATTATGGCTCTATCGCTCGCTCTATCGTTCCAACCGGAAAGGCTGTATCCGCAAAACCGCCAGTAACACTGATATATCTGCAACAACAACAACACTAAATGTCCTAAATGTTTCACGCCAAGACTGAGGCTACTAATTTTATTAAAGGCTTACGAAACAAGATATTAGTGATTATTAGTCAATCTTTGTAAGCTTTTCTTATATCCTTATATGAAAATTTGACTAACTTTATTTGGGGTTTTAGGTTAAATGGCAAGCGAGGTTGTTCGATGTAATTCATAGCTCAAAGTTCGAGACATTGATAATGGCGATGATATGTCTCAACATGTTGGTTATGATGATTCAACACCACGGACAGAGTGACGAAGTCGTCCTCACAATGAATATCCTTTTTTAAAACTGCTGCTGTGTGATTATGTACAAAAATATCAAGACCAAGTGAGTTGTCATTCATAAGAGTTAGAAACAACGGAAAAACACAGAGTACCAGAAAGCCAAAGAGAAGCCGTGTGATAGGTAAAGACGGGGGCGCAATTGGAAAAAATTCGAAAAGGATCACTGACATAATTTATTTCTTCTTTTTTGGTCAGTTCAAAATATTTCTATCACAGAAACACAGAAATGGATGGCTTTTTAAGGTAATAGAAAACACTTTCCCTATTCAGTTGTAGAGTTAATTATATAGAGACCTGGTGAAGGTTTAAGGGAAATTGTAAAAACCTCTTATACACGTACGGTTTTTCTTCATCTTAGACTTCCATTTGATTTCCCAGCTCAGTAGCAAGAAGCAAACATGATATGATGGTGTTGTTTATCATAACCGCTGTCATTTCAAATCCTAAATCTATAAATATTGTTTTCTGAAAATGTGTATTCCTTAACTACGATCCCGACCTCTCTCGGGTCATCACATATAATAAACCTCGTATTCACTGCTATATTTACCCTGGAGGCTGTGGTCAGGATTGTTGCCCTCCGTCTACATTATTTCACGCAGCCGTGGAATATCTTCGACTTTACCATCGTGATATTATCAATCATAGGTAAGTGGTACAAAGTAAAAGCAGGAAATAAACGATCTGATTGGCTACTGTAGGTCCTGTAGGAGTAGCGAACGTGCGTGTAACTAGAACTGAATCGGCCTTATTAACGCCATAGCCGCCATAATGGTTTTAATGTTATAACTCGAATTAGACAAGCAGACAGCCCAAGGCAAACATTGACAAGAAGGTAATTTTAAACAAAGTAAGTGCGAAAGTGTTTCGACTACACCTGTCATTCACACTGTGCTCTGTACGTGGCTTCTGATTACACGAACTAAAGAAATAAAAGAGTGGTTTGACAGGCAAACATTTTTTTGACGTATGTCAAATGTAACGTGCAAGAAACCATGCACGCCCACATGGTGATATGCTGGACTAGCATGCTGTAGTGCATGACTTTTAAAATGCGGTGTCAAAAGCGAAGATTGAACGATGAATCAGCACTGCATGAGTTCGATGGGAAAGGAAGGCCTAAAAATATGACTTACACTTCATGTCCTTCATCTGTCACTTGCTATCGCAAGTCACTTCATATTTCTGCCCTTAATGCAGATTTTGCAGAAAAGAGATCGGGTCCATATTTTTGGTGTCCTGTTGCCCCGAGCTAAACTTCCCGGCATCTTCTTCCATCTCATTGTGCCCTAGGGTCTTTCTGTTCCCCCACCCTTAATGTCCCCAATCCCTAATCATCATGCTCCTCTAGCATGCAGAAGTTTCGTGTGATTACTGATTATTCAGCTTAAGGTAGGCGAATAGCTGGTGACTTCCATTTAAGATTTGACCCAGCAGTGCATTTTGTCTGACGACGAACTATGAACTAATGAAGGAGAGTTAGTGTCGTGTTTTTTCGTAAGCCAGGTTGTCGGCCGGACTGTAGGCTTGAATAGATTCGGCTGTGATATTGGCCTGTTTTACTACCTGCCGTCACTACTTTTTAAAATTGGCCCAGACATCGCTTTTGTGCTCGCTTTTGTCTTGTATTTACTCTTGCTAGGTAATGTCATTAGCAGAGGTTCTTTCACTCTGCTTTTTATGACGACATGTTGTCTTCGTGAGTATTTTGAAAGTAATACTGCTAAATATAGTAACAATTTTGTAAGTTCTTTGTCACTGGTGGACCTGGAAATGGATTTTCTTTTTGTCTTTTTTTTGCATAACAGCGACATAAACGAGGCAAACTAAAAAATAGCTCATCTCACACCAGGTTTTTAAAATAAGCTGCGCCTTTTATTTGTGGTTTCCAGTTAATAAGAACTTCCTAGTCAAACTTTTTTAACCATGCAGCCAAGACTGAGAACACTTCTAAGCCAAGACAAGACAACTATAGCATGAATTTTTGTAGTTTTACTAGTCAAGTTGAATTATAATTTTGGGTCGTGTTACAATATAACTATAACGGCAAAATTCACTCTCCCATGTTTCACTTGAAATCACTTTCGAGTACATCTGAAGTATTGACGTATTTTTTAAGTATTTCTGTGCCTCGAGACAGGAAATAATTTTGCCGTTTTTAGTGGTAAATTAGCTTTCAAGTGCTTTAAAAGCACTTCAAGATATTAGTGCCGTCTGTTGCGGTGAGACTTTGAGCACAAAATTTATCATAACATCAAGTCTTTGCCGTCATGCTTATTGCTAGCAATTATTTCATACAGCACGCGAGCTCCAAATTTGACCCTGTTTTTATTTGTTTACAGTGTGATATTGGTAACGTGGTCGGGTTTTAAAAAGTCTCTTACGTAATCCCGAGGAAGGACTACATTTTCCCGTTGTCACTAGGACATCTTGTTTTTGACTCTTAAAACCCACTGAAATTTAGTTGCCTTTCACTTGCAGAAATTGAAATATTTGGTTTAGTATTGGATAAGAACGATAACCACTATAAAATTGTTTAAAATGGATTCCGCTCAAAGTTCAAGCAATAAGTGCAAAAATTATTTACTAAAAATCTTCTCATAGCACGGCAACTTTTGGAATACAATTTAAATCAACTCACTTTAGTTAATTTCTCTTAGTGACCCCGCGATTAAACTCTCAAGCATTCTCGAGAAAGTTAATGTCAAACCTCGTAAGAATGCTTAAAGCTTGTGTTATTGTGTTTTTAACTAACGCGAAACGCCTCTTTTAATTGAAATATGGATAACTTCAAGTTCAATTTTCTTTCGCGGGGTCAGCTTGGGAACTTAAGTCTGGATAAGTTCTTAACTGTATTCAAAATATTACCATGCCATGAGGTTTTTTTGGTAACTTAATTTTTGCCATTATTGCTCGAATGTTCTGCGGAAATCTTCTTAATGTAGCTCTTTTGTGCGCAAAAATATATCAAGTAAATGAAGTTTCGCTTGTTGCGATTTCTCAGTTGATACCGTTGTACGAATTTCAATCAAAGCCAGTTTTCAGTCATCTTGTTCTGAAATTAAACTTAATGTCGTTTCGGGTACAAACATTGCCAAGATATAGTGTAGACCCTTTTTCACGCCACTTGAATTTGGCCCTCCTCTCCAGTTTTTTCGTGGTTCTCGCCTGGCTCATATTCGCAGTGCATTTTGCATAGATCATTTTGAACAGTGGATTATATTTTTAGACTTATTGTTCCTTGTTCATTTTCCCTCCATCACTACTGACAATACTTGCTAGCTCACCCTTCTCTAAAGCGAGCTAAGGCACAAGCGCAATTCCTGTTAAACTAACCAAACAGAACAAAAACAGATGTGTGCATTTATTTGTAAGGAAGGCATGTAAAAGGAAAAAAAAAACACACCATTAGCATTTCTGATCCATCGAAAAATACCGGCGCATTTTGATATGCGCTAATGGCGCGATCATGGCGGAACAATATTTGCGGTCAATTTATAAGTTTGGAACTGACTTTTCAGGTTCCAGAACTCGGTCACGGCGGGAGTCAGGCGGGAGTATAATCTGCTTGCGTCATCAGGTCTTTTGATATTATGGCTCTCTTGGTGATTTACGAGTGAAAATTTCTGCTCTTAGCGGATTCATTGAGCCCGCCCAAATTCGTCGCCTACAATATTGCAGAGTAATGTCAGAATTAAGCGAATGATTAAGTTTCATTTTGTACATTTGGTTAATAGTTCACCTGAGCAGAGATGAAAGATGTTTGGAAATATCTTTGAACTATCTTCTCAGCGGTAAATTAGCGAAGCGAGGCAAGCGGCAGCTGTAATTTACTTGTCACTGCTAGCTGCCTTCAAAGCCCCAATTAACTCCCCTCCTCCACCCACTTCTCCGCCCCTTTCGAGAGCTCCCACCTCTTTCCACGACACGAAAGGCAAAACAAATTAACTCATAAACCAGAATCCTATTTAGTATATTTTTACGAGTTTGTTTATTTTAAACTTCTTCCTACCCCTCAAAACGTCTTGAAAAGAAAATGTTGCTAACGGTTGTTAGCAGAAAGATTGACAGCGCAGCTGAAGCGGAAATTAGAAAACCAAAATTGAGAGTCGGAAACTGGAAACATATTTTTTTACTTCTGTCGTCATAAGTTCAAATAGTTCTCCAATGCACAAACTTGAACGAAAATCGAATTCTCCTTACTGAATTCCATACATTTCCATACATGTGAGTTCTGAGAATTTAGTGTTACATCAAGACAATATCGCTTAGCTGACGAGTTTCTTTATTCTTGTAACCTGTCCGCCTTTACAGTGCAAGTAAGGAGAACTTAATGTTTCACCTGATAGGACTTGACACTAACTTGCAGATCCGGGCAGATACGGTGCTTATCATCAGCAAGAACTGAAAGAGAACGATAGACTATTAGGTTTCCATTCTGTTGGTCTAAATTTTAAATCAACATTCCAAGTATTCGTTGATCGCTAACCTACAGGCTGAAATTTGGCATTTAAATAACCAAAAATATAAGAACCTGTTCAGCCTGGCAAAGAAAATTAGGTTCTTATACAAAAAAATCACTCCAATTTTGATGGTCTAAATTCTGGATTTTAATTGTGCGAGAATTAAAATTAAACGTGTGATTTACAAATTTACTTGTGCTTGCTGTAATTCTTGCTATATCGGCGAAACTGGTCGTCATTTTTCCACGCGCGTCCGTGAACATTTCTCTTCAGACAAGTTCTCACACGTCTTCAAACACTTGCAAAGCTCAGAACGTTGTCGTCAATCTTGCTCTGCGGATTGTTTCGAAATCCTTGATTTAGCTCCTACTAAATTTCAACTTAAACTTAAGGAGGCTATGTATATAAATAGCTGTTATTGCAGTTGAGTCTGCGGTCAAAAATTCTTTTGTTTTAAAAGGCATGCAAACGAGGCGAAAGGGTCAATACAATGCAGAATAGCTGTTGTTGCAGTTATCAGTGGCTTGACACACAAACGAGGCGAAAGGGTCAATTCTGCATTGTATTGATCCTTTCGCCTCGTTTGCATGCCTTTTAAAACAAAAGAATTTTTGACCGCAGACTCAGCTGCAATAACAGCTATTGACCCTTTCGCCTCGTTTGTGTGTCAAGCCGCTGATAACTGCAATAACAGCTATTGGGAAAAGCTCAATTTAAATCAACAAGTTCATCACGTCAACTTGACACTTATGCTTGAGGCTTTATATTCTTTCAAACACTTTGTAACTCACTCAAATTTGCAATCTATTTTTGTCACTTAATCATAATTAATTATGCATGTTTCGCCTAGTTGTTATATGGTCCTAACGGTTTTTCAACGGTTATTCTGTAACTGACGATGATGTTAGTAACATCGAAACATGTCTTATAAATTAAAAAATGTCGTAATCTTCTTAAAACTTGTGAGAAACTTCTGACAAAAAATTGTTGTGTTTGTGTATATGTTTTCTTTGGTTTACATTGTTTGGATTTTCATTAGAAATGTTTTCAATAAAGCTACAGTGTGATACAGACAATTTAAAATCTAAATATCTTATGAAATAAAATATAGAAATGTATTGATGTTACTCTGAAAATAAGAACCTGTTAAGAACCTAATCAGCCTGAATTGTGAAAAACTACCCTAAAAATATAAGAACCTGTTCAGTCTGAACTCGAAAATTCTAGGTTCTTAAATGCAGGTTTTTACTGTATACCTTCCGGTGGTTACAGCAGAAGTAGCCTAAGAGTTGAACTCGGAATTACTGGTAAGAATTAAATTTGTTGTTGTTGTTTTCTTTGTAGGAATTATCCTTGAGTATCTTGACTACAGTTTCATTGTCACCCCAAGTTTATTCCGCGTGGCTCGGGTATTTAGAATTGGTAGACTGTTACGCTTCTACAAAGGCGCCCGCGGTATCCGCAGGCTTCTCTTCGCTCTGGTCATCTCTCTTCCAGCGCTGTTCAACATTGGCGCGTTGTTGTTTCTTGTAATGTTCATATACGCGATTATAGGGATGTCATCGTTCGGTTATGTTAAGAAGACTGGCGCACTGAACGATGTAGTGAATTTTGAAACGTTTGGCAGCAGTATGTTGCTGTTATTCAGACTGTCTACTTCAGCAGGTTGGAATGACGTGCTTGAACCGCTATTGATAAAAACGCCTGACTGCGATGAAAATTATTTAGGACAGCCATACGGTAACTGTGGAATACCATGGCTTGCTATTCTTTACTTCATCACGTTCATACTTTCGACTTTTCTTATTATCATCAACATGTACATAGCCATTATTTTGGAGAATCTAAGCCAAGCCCACCAACAAGACGAAGTCGGGATTACAGACGATGATTTGGAAATGTTTTATGCCCATTGGGAACGTTATGACCCCGATGCTAGCCAATACATTCTTCATTCGCAACTGTCAGACTTCGTAGATGGACTTGAACAGCCATTGAGAATTCCGCATCCCAATAAATTTGCGTGCATTAATCTGAATATTCCCATTAAACAAGGCGATAGGATTCACTGTTTTGACGTGATGCAAGCTTTAGTGCGCAGGGTTATAGGAGATGTTGAAGAAGAAGACGGCTCTGTAGCATTTGCTCTCATGAAGTCCCGAATGGAACATCATTTTGTCAGCGCTTTCCCAAAGCGCGCAAAAACTCAAACGGAAAGTACAACATTGAAAAGAATTCAGGAAATTCGAGCCGCTACCATCATTCAACGATCGTACAGACAATACCGCTTCCAATTGGAACTTCGGCGATTTAGGCTTCAAAGAAGTCAACAGTTTCATGAGCATGGACAGAGTTCGTCTTCGTTAAGAGAGGAAGGACCCTCAGGGAGCGTTCAGGTTTTGGTGCAAGAAAGGGAACCTAGAAACGAGCCTCGAAATACGATTGTTACGATTGCAGATAACGGCTTGCCGTGATAAAATGTTTGTAAGTTACGATAGTCAGCTACAAATGACAAGCACGCTTCATTTCATATCAACAATCTTTAATGCATCAAGGTTTGTGATTCTTGACCAGAGCTTATAAAAACGTCCCTCATAAAACTCGCTACCAATCAAAACGTAGCTACCGTGACATTGAACTAACGGTTTTCAAGCAGCCCTGATCAACCTCATACATCTGAAATCAGTTAAGTTTGACTTTTTTAAAATTTTCTTTCGCTGATATCAACTTGATACAATTAGCAAAAATATTTGAATTTTAAAGATACATGTAAACCAAGATTTTAAATTGCTTTACAAAATTTACAACGCACTGGGATATGGGATGGAATAGTACTATTTTATAAAGCGGTGCAATTGACTGCCTTCCAATGATAGCTTTTTTTATAAAGACACTGTGTGTGCACATCACAATTTGTGAATAAAAGATGTAGATTTTTTTTATATCGTTTGCTGTGTTCTTGCTTTTCGCGAATCGAGAGAGTTCGTATTGAAAGGGGGTGTGTTGGGTTATGGTGTAAAATATGGCCTGTATTTTTAAGTTACTCACACGTAGCATGATAAACATAAACCGCTTATAGACTGTTTTGGTTCGGTCGGAAGGGAAAATATTTCTCCTTGATGAAAACTCAGACACTGACGGTTTGTGGACCATGACCTCGAACCAAATATTTTCTTCTTCGGGACTTGCGTGTGTGATTAATTCGCTTTCTTTGACGAGCCCGCCGCATCTTAATTCCACAGGAAAAATACGCCGCAAGAGTGTTAATTGTGCAAGTTGGGTATAAAGTTCAAGAGCAAACGACAGACGCTTGGCTTTTAATTCCACTTACTGAGCGGAACTCGTGGAAAGTTGCTATGCCTTGCGGTAACGGCTTGTTAATGGCATTTTTTGAGATTCTTAACGCTCGAGCTTACATAATTGCATAACCCAAATTTCACTCGAATCGCGGTCACGAATCAGCTAGCCCCATCGGATCTCTTTCACTTCATTCCCCTGTGTCACTCTCATTTTCCCGTCGCCCTAATTCTCCTAAGTCCATCGGATCCTTTTCCCCTCCATTCCCCTTCTTCAGATTTCCGTCCCCTCCATTGTTCCTATCCCCATCTTTTAACAATGTCTGTCATCCCTCCTTTTCCTGCTCGATTCTTTAAAGCGACTATCGTTCTCAAACCTCAAAGCGGCGACACTTGATAATTGCCCGAAACCAAAATAGTTCAGCCTTCCACAAATATTTATGGAAGAAAGCTTAGGCGATGAGATTAATGTACTATTTTAAGCATGGTTTGCGTTGCTCATCAAATGACTTCAGATTCATCATAAAAATAAAGCTAGTTTTCCATTTATACCTGCGACCAATCGAAAGGTTCCAAAATGTATTAAAAAGAGTCTTTTCTAGGTCATGTTTATTTAGTATTCGGTTTATCCACGGCGTGGGAGGTAACTTGTTTTGATCATTACATTAGTAATTTATTTACGTTAAGACTAATAAACTGTAGCAGGCAGATACAAGCAGAATGTCGCCTTTTAGATTCACGTACTCTTCGAGAGCGGAAACACATTTTGGCCCATAGAATTGCTATTCTTTCTAGTGTTTTCTCAGGGACGTTTTTATATATGTTAACCTGTCGAACCTGAAATGTGGAAGGTTGTAATTTATCTTTGACGAAGGAGGAAATTGTCTCGATGGTCTCCTGTCTCGTTTAGAATATCTTTCTTGCGTGTCTGCCCTTTGGAACGTGCTTAAAAAGACAATGAAAAAGAAATACAATTCAAACTTTGTCGCGATTTAAAGATAAAGGAATTTTGCGTAGGTTTGTTTCGTAGCCAAGCGAGTCTTTTACTAACTTTGTTCAGTTCTTGAAGACTGGAATAAAAAAGTAACCTAGTGTTTTAACCACAATTCAGTTTTTTAATTTAAAATGTGTTACAAGAGTGGAGGCTTTTCTGCTGGTTTCACATGTGCGAAGCAGCAACTTAAAAAACACTGAAGATAATCGGAGATGAGGCCACCTTAACGCTACCTTACGGTCATATCTGTGGCACCGTGCCGCGAAACGAGATAAATGTCGCACATGACTATTGGTACAGTTGGTAAAATAAGAGCTATACACTACAAGACACTGTTTGCATTGGAGGTGAGATGATAAATAGCTACTGAGTTATTTACTTTCTACAACTTCTACCTTTCATCAAACGTGAGCCCGTAAAAGCTGAATTACCCTAACCGGCCCCGCCCGTTAGATTATACACCACAACCGCCGAATAACAAAAAGTGTTAATGTCTTTTGCATCGAAAAGGATTTGAAAAGCATCCAGATTTAGGCTGACAAGTTTATTCGGCAGGCGTTAGAGCGGTGTCTTTTACGCTTTGATGAGTCTTTGAGTGAGAGCACCACTCGACACGACATGAAAATGATGTCGGCAGTTTCAGACATTAAACGACGTTAATTGCCCCGTTTGTTGTGTTCACTCAGACAGAGATATTCAAGGTATGCTTTCCGTGACGTCAATTTTAATACCAAGTAAAAAGCAAAGCAGGATAATACTGCGAGTCAGTCGTTTGGTTTGTTATAACGGAACACAGTGGAGTGCTCGTTGCTAAACATATGTAAGTGAAGCAAACTGAAGAAAACTGAAGTCAATTTTACTGGTAAGTGAGCAGTTAGTGTTTATCGATGTTTATGTTGACTTCAGGGGATTTCACTAACAAATCACTTACTTCAGAAAGTTTATTTTATTGTATACGATATGCAACGTAAAACTGACTATGAGCCCGTAACTTGGAGATACAGAAGGGATTTCGTCATTGTCTAGGCAGTCTGCGTGGGTTTTCAGGTACCTCAGTAGAAACATCAAGTCATGGAAGCTAATGAAGTCGTCATGTTTTCTTTGATTGTAACAACAAAATCACATTTTTGCTTCAATGCCACCGCTTGTTGTTGACATTAACCAGTTAATTTGATCAGGTCAGTTTCACATTCATGTGTTACATTTTCGCAGGTTGTTTTAGAATTGAAGAGGTTTTACAGAGTTGTCTTTTAACTAATTGTGATCTGCTTTCAACAAAGTCTTTCTCGTTTACATATGAACAAGTTTTAGTCAACTAAAATCATCAAACTGCAAACAGAACTTTTCTGATAGAATAAAAACAACTGCTGCAGGCTCGGAAAAGAATAAGCATAATGATATTCTTTTGTTTGTTGAAACAATGGGGGCTAATGTTGGCCGCCAGTTTGTTATTTGTTTTCTTTCCACTGTTGATTTACTTCACTGTTCATCGGTAGAATTTTTTCACGTGTCCGAGACTTTTTCAAAAACGTGCAACAGAGAATCCTTTTCCATCGAACTTCGTCTTGGCGTGTTGAGGATAAATGTGTGCTTCAGCAGTTGAGATAACATAGCTCAATTCTATCGGTGATCTTTATCAAGAGTATTACTGACGAGAGGTCACAACATCTTTTGTAAGAGAGCCCATTATATTAACAAGAGCTTGTTCGTTTTCATTGCTCGTCGTGCTGCAAAAACGGGAACAGATTTTCTTACAAACGGGATTGTCCTGGCTCAGAAAATTTGTTTCCTGAAGTTTTGGTTTATTGGCTTCCGCAAACTGAAAAAAAAAAATCAGTTTAAGTCCGCATGGATTTACTTAAACGAAAATGTCAGGCATTCACTAAGCCTCAATACGATACCGTATTTTGTAAAATGGCGTCATTTATCACTCTGATATGCTGACTGACCATTCTTGTAATTAAGTCCATTACGGGCTTGGATGGAGGTCAAGAACAACAAAAAAAAATAAGCAAATAAAGACATCCAGTCTCTGAGACTAGCCAAAGCTTGACAATATTCTGGAAACTATTGGCTGACAAAGAAGGACGAATAAGCCATATACGCTATGGGGCATCCCAGCAGCAGCAAAACACAGCAAAGTAATTCAGTCAGAGGTCCATCCGGCATAGACTTATTGACGACTCAGTGAGTACGCGAGTCGATTCACCGCACGATGTGGCGCAGTTTGCTTCACACAGTCTAAATCCGTAGGGTGTATTTCGAGTTTATCTCCCGAAAAACATTTTAGTCTCGAGTTGCTCTTTGAGAAATATCTAAAAAGACAAGTCCCAATTAGGCTAATCTGCAAAGATCTACAAAAAATGCGTTATATTAAGAGCTTCTTAAAAGAGGAAACAAAGAATCAGGTGAAAGTTGGAGAGAAACATATAGAAGTCTAGTTATAAACAGAACAAAACCCCAACGGACGTGTTGCAGTCGAGGTGATGTATCTGTCCATTTGATCAGGGTTGGGTCTACACTCGATAACATCAAGCTCCGCCGCAAAAACAATGAAAGATACAGTATCGGCCCGGCTTAGCGGTCCACACGACATCAGATCAACAACATGGATGGATGGCTTTCCACTAAAAAAAACGTTGAATGCTTCAACAGGTTTACATCAGAGAAATTAAATTTAATTGTTATGTAATGTTATGTAAGGGATGGTAACTTGGTTATTAAATACCCTGGTGCGAAGAAATCAAAATGGCCGCTTGCTACCGCGTTTATAAACTTGCGTATTAGTTACATTCTCGATAATTCTTTCCAAATCGTGCACCACAAAACATTTTGTTCTGTTTTTGCCCTAGGCTATCGAGCATTTAACTGAAGCATGAAATTACATTACAATTTCAGGCTTACAGACCATAGATAACCCTGGGTCAAATCACCAACAATAGTGTAAGAAAGGGCATTCTTGACCTTTGCTTAACGTTTAGCTTAGGATAGTTGCATTACGCGGATTTGGTTACCCACTAACACCAGACTCCTACCAGGCATTCGTTATTTTAGCCTCAAATTATATAAAAAAAATTGAAGTATGATGTTGCTCACTTGTCGGCAAAGGCAAACGTTGTGCGTGCATGTGCGATGGTCTTGCTCGCAGGATAAACTCAATAAAATTGGCCTTTCAGTCCACCCAGTCATGTTTTGGCTAGTAGATATTAAAATTTCCGCCGTTAATAATCATAGAAAGACAAAGACGCGCTCAAAATTAATTGGACGGGGGATGGTAAGCGGGGACATTTTTTTGGCGGCATTTCCCGAATGACTCGGGGCGGAGATGTATTGAGTCTCCCCAGGAGCCATAATCGGTTATGACTCCTGGTCTCCCTTAATCCACTGACACAGGGACGATCGACGAGGGAATGTGGACATTTCGCTTTTATCTAAATGAAGTGATGTTATGAAAAGGCGGCAAAATTGTTGGCGTGGGGTGGCACGGTCTGAAGGACACACGATACAAGTTTTCTTCCGAAATATTCCTCGTATACAATCTCGTCTATAGTGCATATTCTGGAAGATATTAATCTCGACGAACTGAGGAAAGTTTACGAAAAAAACTCGAAATAATAGCTTTGCTGAAAATTATACACCTTTTGCAACTGAAGTCCAATGAAGCAAGAGTTACTTGCTCACGTGGCTGTTTGAAATATCACCAAGTTCGGTATCGCTCAAGTTCATTGAAGCCAAGAGATTTTGGAAGTATAAAAGAACAAGACCCAAATGTAAGGTAACAAACTCAGTGCTGAAGTGCTGAGCTTATTTTATTCCGAAAATCTGTTTTTACTTTTTAGAGGAGGTTGCGGTGCTGCTTTATATTTTCCTTCATTCAGTCGTTTTTGTTGAAAGACATTCTGTGGCCTTTCGTAGTTTCCGGGATCGCATTTTTCCCAAGAAGTCTTAACGTAGTTGTTTTTGTCGTCAAGCCTCTTATGTTTCGTTCCTAAGTTACTCTTCGTGCCTATTATTCGCGACGCTGGTTATATTTCATGGTAGTTGTCGTTGTCAGGTTGTCAAAGGTGTTTTGTATTTTGTAGTCGACTCGTCGCAGTCCCGGCACAAATATTTTAGGTTTCGTTATTTCCCCGTTATTGTTTGCTCGCTTCACTGATATTTCGTCTAGTTTCTTGCTCTGTTTTAGTTTCAGCGAATCGCTTGAAAAAAAAGGGTGCATTCACTTCATTTCTTGTATTTTCACAGTCGAAAGTTCGCCAACCTGCTGTTTTAGCCAAATATTTTCTAAGGGAACTTTTGTCCAGGACCAAAAAGGTTTTAATACGCTGCTCGACACTTGCCGTACTCCTGAGTCAAACTCAGGAAATATTTTTAACAATGAGTAAAATATCGCGATTTGTCAGTGGCGGGGAGACAATTATAATTGATCTGCTCTCGAGCTCCACTCACAAATCACGATATTCTGCGATAACCAAGTTCAATAATTGTTTTATCTTTGATCACCAAGTTTTTTTACAGTTCGGGAAAGCGATCTGCCATACTTCTCAAAAGAATGTGGTCACAATCACGCATGAACAGAATACCATTTGCAGCAAAACACATTTAGACGGAATTACGCATGAGAAGTCCATTATTTGAAGGCAGTTATTTCCAGGTCACATGGTGGGCTCTCGGCCAATGAAAAGGAAGAAAATATGCTTTGAATTATGGATAGGTTTTACCGTTTAGCGGAGTTCCCATAAAATAACTAATTATTTACTAAAAACAGTAACCTTTAAAGATATTCACAAATAAGCATTTCACCAAACCAACTGGATAGGACAAAAAAGACGAGGAAATCTCCATAAACACAATATACAAATCACCACGTGCGTGTATCATAAGGAAAATCCTGTCAGCTTTAAAGCATAAAATTCTCAGCGAAAGGTGGCCGAACGAGAGAAATGAGCAGAAAAGCAGAAAATCGTGATTGAACAAATCGGACAGTCAAGTATTGAAAATCAGTCGTATGATTGACGCACTCAGTACCACTCAGTCCTATCACTATTGCCTACATTGTAGATGGGATTTGGTAAGTTGCAGGTATCTTATATGTCGAGTAAGAGTTCGTAGACCTTGTATTTTAACCGATTGACTGCTATCCTGAAGAAATCTTGGCCGAGTGGTCTGGGTTCATGTTCAACTTTTGACTTCGTCACTTTTTATGGTAACATGTAATTTCTTTTGCATAGCTTTAAAAAGATTTTTTCTGTGCAGTTCAAAGCCACCTTAAATTTTCGGCGAACATTGAAGGTGGCTCTGAACTCCCTAGACTGAATAAAGAAACTAGACGGCTTTGGAAACTATACCGCATAGCCTTTGAACAAAATTAATAGCCTTTCCATGTTCGTGAGAAACCGTTTCTTCACAAAAAGTCGTTGTTTTCGTAAAGGATTTACGTACTTCCACAAACTAAATTGTTCACTACATCGGAAGAGGCTATGATCTGTAGATCATGGTCTCTTGTTGCATAACTAACATAGTTTGTAACAACTAGCGGCTTTAAAGAAATTTGTTATCAAGCAATCCTATATGGGTTACAAAGGAGATCAAAGTACCAAGTTAGCGAAATATTTTCTTGGCTCAATGCGTTATAAGTCAACCAAACATTGCTCACATTCTTAGACTGTGTTATATTTTAGTCGTAATGTAATCAATGTCATTTGAAAACATGCCTTTGGGCGGTTTTCGTCTCTTTGACAATCGTGGTAGGACAGTACACAGCTAATGTTCTGAGCAAATGCTCCAAGCACTACAAAGACGTTTTTCACCAGGAGGTGTTTTTCTGCAGCAAATAGAGGTGGCCGGAAATGGTTGTTTCCATTTGCAGACCCTCTTTGTAGTTTCAGCGCTGAGAACACAGCTGAGATAAGCTGAAAATATCAGTTACGGCTACAACATCGACGGTTGACGGGCGATGGTCTCGAGCCATGGTTCCTTTAGGTTTTGAGCCAAGTTGAAAAAAAACGTCCCGGTTTCTTTGAAGTTTGAATAACCTTCTCAGTTTGCGAATGTGTGGAAATTAGAATTCATTGAGATTTTAAAACTGGGCCAGAAAATGGAAAGTACTGTCGAGTGCTGCCGACAGATCACTACAGCAGCTTGAACTCCACGGAAATCCAATATTACATTGCCAAACAACATCATTCAAAGCGACGGGTAGTAGGGCTGTTCTTCCTGAAAACCACTGGTACAGGTCCTCGCCTGAATGGAGTTTATGTCATCGGGGATTACCATGTCACCCGAACACGGTATGGCAGCTGGGTCAGGCAATATGCCGCGTGAATTTCTTTCCTTAAACGTTCACATCTGTTGCATATTTTCATTTATTTCTTATGTTGTTTTCGACGGAGGAACCACCCTGAAATAGACGCACGTACTTTTACTTCACATGACTTACAAGTTACAACACTTTTCAGAACGTTTTTGAAATTCTATTACACCACTTTAATATTGTAGAGAGAACATATGCATTGGTCCCAGCAAAACCGCTTACTGTCGCTCTCGTGCTATAGCACCCATAAGGTCTTGTTTCAGCCTGGTCTTATTCAACTGTACAGTAACGTCCGCTTGTTATTAGCGGTTTTTATACGTCTAGTATTAAATCTCTTGCCGACATCCTTTTATAGAAGTAAAGATGATTGAAAAGGAAGGTGGCATAGTTGATTACAGTGTGGAACGCGAGGTTAAATTGCTACTGCGTTAGAATTGGCTTAATTTGGAATCCATTACTGCAAATCTAATTACACGCTAGACGAATGTCTGTAACAGTTTTAAAATTTTGCTTATCTGCTATTAACCTCAAATATTTAAAGCGGCAGAATCGTCTTTGTAGCTTGCGAAACAGAAGGAATTGTAAGGTAAAGTTTCACTTTTGCAGAAAACAATGGTTGATATTACTGGAACCTGTCTTGATATTGAAGGGCTACAGAGACAAATCAGATTTAAGGGGTGTGTTGATTTAACTCTTCATAAGTTTACGCCTTGTCAAGTGTTCTCTCCATCAGAAGAAGCCAGTGCTTAAAAGTTGGAAGTTCTTTGAGTTTTACGCCTTCTCAACAAGTTTGTACCTTTGGGTATATTTCTAATTATGAATTTTGCTGGCTGTGATTGTGTGTCCTTTTTAACTAAACTGGTTAATCAGCAAGCAGGCGCTGTTACTAAAATACGTTATAATCGTTCCACGACATAAACTGCTGTATAGGAGTCTAGGCGTTGCATGACAAAATTTCTACAGAGAAGAGAATTTGTAGAATTTGCAGCCGGTTTGTAAAGGTCTCCTGATGAAATGCACTTTGAATTCACAGCCGTAACAGTTAACATTGAAGTTCAAGAATCTACATTCTCGGTCTGAAATAATCTAAATATCACTGAAGCAATCTGCATTAGTTATCATTATTATGTTATAACCGGAAAAGTTGCTTCTTCGCATTTTTCTTTACACTGAATTGCATAATGCCTCTAACTTCGTTATCTTCGGTTTAAAACAAAAAAAAAAGCAAAAGTGATGGCATAAAACACAACGAACAAATTAAGACAAGTTCTAAGCACGAGCCAGAGGCGTGTGTTCTCATCATTTTGCCACGTGTTACTGGAGAGCGATGCACAACGTCTTTAATGCCTATTCACGAGCAATAAATAACAATAAAACACGAGTTCTCAGATAGACCAATCAGAGAGCGTAGAATCCAGTCTATTATATAAATGTTGTTGTTTACTATGCCTGTATTAACTTACAGTTACAGCCTACTTTGAGGACAAAGTCCGCTAATGTTGTGCGTTTTGTATCAACTAATTGCAGTGATGAGAGTGAAGCCAACAAGTCAAACAAACATGCTCCCGAGGTCTTTAGGAACGAACAGTCCTGTTACTTTAATAGTGATTTATGCCATATTGATTTGGCCGTCGATAGAAGGTAGGAAATACAATTATATCTGTATGTATTTTTCTTCTATGAATTGCAAGTTAAATTGTTATACTACTGACACACAGCTGATAAGAAATGCTATGGAAATTGAATGATTCTGTTCTATATATCTACAATGCCGGTGTTAACGAAGAAAGGACCGATATGTGTCTTATCATTTTTGGAGTTTTATCCTAACTCCTAGATGTTTACGAAAAATTGAATAAATCAGTAAGAGAATTTATCCTGTACTATCCAAAGTTAACTCAAATTAACGGACTTTTAATCTCGGACTTAAAACCGAATTGTGGAGAGCATGTTTTTTGTTTCCGTGACCTTTACGTTTCTCAGTTCGTCGACTAAAAGCCGATTGGATGAAAAGAACAAATCTGATTGTTGATGTGAAATTGACGATCAGACAAGAAAGCTGATGTATGGAATTAGAAAAGCATTTAATTTGAGAGAAACAACCATTCCTACTCCAATCGAAAGAGGTCCCGGACATAAGCCCCAAGGGAGGCGTTGTCCTGGAATTTGTCACGAGTACCACCCTCAATATCTTCAATTTTCTGACTGACCCCCGGGGGAGTACTCTGTAGATCTTTGGGTAGGGGTGCTCCACTGGGACACTGAAACCTTTACCCCATACTAGACCACGATCAGCTTGATTTTGCAACACTATTCTATACACCCCTATACCCTATCCCAAGACGACATATTCTCCATGCAGAAGCTTAATCAGTATCGTAGTCCAACATAGCAAAACTCAGGGCTTAGTTGCTTAGGCAGAACAAAAAAGGCATACCACTGGAGGGAAAGCAACCTCGTCACCCGTCTCCTAAATTCGCAAAAACCATCCTTAAGGATAAACCTTCCAGTTGCTAAGCAAGCAAATCTCCCTTCTATTTATGCTTGCTTTGCACCATGTGAATTCCGTGCCGCATCTTAGTGCCCGGGTCTGCGTGTCGCAGAAATCCGATTTTCTTCTAGCGAAGGCTGCTTTCTGCGTAGGGGAAATGACCGGGCCTCCAAGCAGACAACTTCAACATAGGCGTATTTTATGTATCGAGTCGTAACAACAACTAACCACACATCCATTTTGACACGAATGACGATGGTACTCGTAATTCCTATAATTAACAATACTCAGTGAGAGAATTCCCATATAAAGCTATATAAATGTAAGCAAGCAAGTTAGGAAATACATCGAATGAATACTTGTCAGTCTGCCAACAGGAAGTTTCCCAAGCTAATTAATATCTCTAATATATCATCACTCCCAAATACTGATATGAAGTTGATGGTCCCTACCCTGTAGATGCTCCGGTGGAGGAGGAAAAGGGATACCCTCCGAAGATTTTGGTTGGGTGTGCGAAACCTGTACCCTATTACAGACCAAAATCTGTGATTTTCCATACTCTATTTCTGAGCTGAGCGAAAATCAATACCCCATTTCAGAACTTCAAAATCAGTACACGGCTCTTATATATATGATTTCAGCTAACCAGAAATGGCTTCCATTTAGGTAAACATTAGAGAAGGGCTAAAAATTTGCCAATGTCAATGCGGCTAGAAAATTCAAAATACCCATGCCAAGGCTGAGTGAAAAACATGCCCTATTTCAGAGCAGAATGGTTAAAATTTATACCCTTATTTAGGCCAAAACCGCTCAAAAACTATGCCCTATGCAGTAGTACATAGCACACATACTTAACTAGCTCATTTAAGGTAGTCCCCCCTCCCCAAACGATCAGATGCTATACCATGACAGCGCAACCTTTAAAACGGAGAGATCGAAAGAAAGCGAAGGAGAAGACTGCCGGGGAAGTCAGTGCTCCTGCTAGCCGGTTGCTGATCGGCATAGGTGTAAAGGGAGCGTGATCGGATACAATCGACCTTCTTTGACGCAGTCATGTCGACCAAACCTCCATACTGAAGCAGGACGTGATGTGTTAACAGGTATTTGAGGAGAGCGGAAGTTATTTCACTCTACAACAGAGAGCGAAAAGACACAAAGCGTGAGCGATTCCTTCTTAAATTGGCCTCCTTTCGGAAAACGATTTTTAATTAAGGGCGGAAAACTTGGCGAGACTTCAAACATGCTAAATCATCCAAAATGACCTTGACTGTTAGATCTGTGACCTTCTGGGTTGCGATGCAAGGATTTTAGAGCTTGACTCAGTACTTTCATATAGTGATCAACTTCACTCAGCTTGTGAAAGACGTTCTATCTCTGAATCTTGTTAGTTTCTCTTCAGTGACAGTTAGATAGAGCTTCCAGGGTTTACATAAAACCTCTCTGCTTTTGTCCGATTAAGGCGGCTTTTTAATGGCGTGATACTGTGAAAGTGATGAGTTGCATTAAGCGCGTGCTTGGAAAACTATTACCCACGTTCAGGAATTTACCCGATATAATATTAGATGACGAAAGATCAATTTTTTTCATTTTTTTTTTTTTTTTTTTCATGTTCGTTGCTAGTTGCTTTAGTAATTTGTTCATCGTTGGCCGCACGAATGTTTTAAAAAAAATCTTCATATCTTACGTAATCTAGACTAACTCAAGTGCCCTTTTAGCAGGCTGTAAATTGATTTTTATTTTAAGTTGAAGTTTACGTGAGCGCGCTGATCTTTGTCAGCTTGCAAAATTAATGATAATAGTAATGGTAGTAAAATTTGTCATTTCACATTGTTTCTTCTTCTCCTGTATGACATATAATAGCCGTAGTGTGGATCACGTTCGAGATCATTCTCTCCTCTCCATCTGTCTGTCTCTTTGCTAGTAAAACAGTGAGAAGGCGTAGACAAACATAGCTTCAATTTTCAGTGTGACACCAAGGCGCCTTTCAATTGACCCAAACGCACATTGCTCTGTATGGATTTTGTTTCATAAATGTTTACAAGACCTCGAGTGATAAATTACAATGTTTTTTTTTCAGTTTTCTTTTTGGATAAAAATCTTAATCTCTCCTAATTGCAGACATGTTGCTTATTGTTCATAGTAAAGAACCTTCCATTGAGTAATGACCTAAATCTGCTAATCTGTTCCTAGGCTTAGTCAAGGAAATTATGTTGTGTATCGGGCCATATTATGCCAAGTTTTTTGGGCTTTATTTACCGTTACAAGGATTATTCAGCAAAACATTGACCTCGCTATCCAAACTGCACACGTACTTGAAATTTCACAAACCGTAGCAAAAATACTCACCACAAAGACAAGCAACAACACTGTAAAGAGTCTGTAAACTCATATTTTGTGCCGAATTTTACCTAGGCCTTGACGTATTTGCCTGGTTTGCCTGGTTCATTGGTATTTTTTCTGGGGTGGTGATTTCATGTTATATAATGTATCTACACACCAGCCTTTCAGTTATAAAAATATGTTTGATTGGCATTGCTTCCTCGGTTCGTTACAATCTTACAAATGACGTGAATTGATAAATTGGATACGAGAAGAAATTAAAGAATAACAAAAAAACAAGACAGCAAAGTGACATAAATATTATCGCCCGGTCAATATTGATTTCAAACATTTCATACTTGCGTGTTTATAATTGGAGACCTCAGTGCTTTGTCAACAGTGCAAAAGATGTTCCTCTCTTGTACTCACTCTATCGCACGACTTGTGATCACAAGTTTTGACGTGACGTCTCTAAATCAGTTGGAATCGGAAGTGGTCATCATTTCCGAATTCCCGGTAATTTCCTGTCTGCTTGTCAGATCAAGCGGACCTGGACAGCTATATAAATTCTAAATCCCTGTAAGCGGTTCATTTTTATACTCGTCCTACGCTCGATCTCAAATCTGCTCGGTGGCTTGTGGACTTTTTTTTTTAAGTGGTCAGCGATGGAAACGAAATCTATACAGGTGGTTACCTGTTTTGCGGGCCTCGTGCTGTTCGCTTGTGTCCGTGTATCAAAAGGTATGCTTTTTCACGCTGTTTCTTGTCAGTATAGGTGTATAAATGTGTACGTATGTGGACTCCAAATATTTGCTTCATTTTGCACCATTGCTTCGTTCTACATCATGGTTTTATCCTCTGCTACGCGTCTTCTTTTTCAAATTGTTCGCTCACATCACAACAAATGAAAAAACGCTCTTCCTTTTGATAGCACAGATGATGAAGAGAAGAAGTTGTTAATCGATTTGATCCTCTTTAGTTCGTCTTGTTTTCAAAGTGTTGAGCAGAATTTGGGTGTTAACATCGCAACAAATGAAAGAAAATCTCTTTTTCTTTCAAAAGCATTGACGATGACAAAAAAAAACCTGTTAATGGACTTTCTGGGTGAAGACAGAGATTAATTTTAGGTCATAAGTCCTATTGTTATTATTCAGTGGTGCCGGCCGACAGCCGCTTTCTTAACTTTCCCTAGAACGGCTAGAATGATAACTCAGTTTTGACAAAGATAATTCTTATGTCTGCTCTGAGGATCAATAAGAGACATGAGATTTGAAACTAGACTAGGATTGTAAGCTAAGGCTTCAGTTTACTTGAGTGACTGTGTCGAGCAAAAGCTTGGCTACCAGGGACTTTCCTTGTTTCCCGGCTCGTTTATGGACAGGAGTGAAGAGGTAGAAGAACACTAACACTGATTGACACGTGTCTGTACACGTGATAGCGGTAAGATCAAAGTGCGGTAAATCACAGAAACATTTCTAGGCCTAAATTACACTAGGACAGCCAAAATAGCGATATATATTACGAGTCCTCGACCTATATCTATGTCTTTTAGAGAAAAGACCTCCCAAGATCTATATATTCGCATTCGCGAGGGATAAATGATTCATCTTTTGCAGACGTGACCCTTACGCGTTTACGAAGGCATGGTCATTTGCCCGCGGTTCATTTGTAATGCTACTGTGATTTCTTTTGCTCCCTACAGCAACCCAATTTTTCACGTTAACCACATTTCAAAGCGTTTAGAAGACACAGGATAGCTATGCCTCTTATTTCGGTTTTAGGCCTTTAAGCCATCGAAAAAGAAATAGGGGACAAGTATTTCTTTTTTCCCATTACCGTTAACAAATTAAGAAAACTTTGTTATAGACTTGCCAGACCACTGTGTCAAGAAAAAGGTCAAATGCTGATTTCACGGGTTTGAGAAAACTCATTGTAAATCGACTTGTTTCGCCTTTACAAAGGTTCCCTGTGGTGGCAGCAAAGAAACATCTTTGTGTCTATGTTATTGTTAAGGTATCCCCGACGATTTCGTGTACATGCCGTGAGGTTCAAGAACGAAGACTATACACTGTCTATAAAATCGTGATGTCTTTCTTGGGCCAATGGGCGTGGCTTCGTGAAATCGTGGGATTTTTCACGACCCGTTAAGCACAGGTCAGCGCAGCTTAGGCGACTTGTACGCAGCAAATGGGCATTTCTTAGCCTGTCTCTTTTCAACTTAAGAGCACGTATGAGAAAGAACCCCGAACAAAGCGTGAAGGTGACAATACCGCCGCAAGCGTCTGGGCGGGGCGAGCGAAAATGTCGATAGACGGATTAACGGAGCTTGGTCGTGGGGTTACGAAATCCCTGCAGAGAATCGCGACTCAGCAACAGAAAGCCACTTCGCTCTTTTATATATTTAGAAAAATCCTGTTAGACGCCTACCTGGTATTAGTTACAATAACAAGTTAAACAAATAGCATTATTTTTCTGCTCTTTCGCTCTTAAGAAGCTCAATCATGTAACTAGCTAAAGCACAGAACAATGGGTTTGTAATTACAGAGAATGACAGTAATGTGTTTGCTCTTATTAACAGGCCCTGGCGCTTCCCAGTTATTTATTGCCTGTATCTCACTCACTTCTTTCGCGTTACGTTTGGCAGCGCAGGGTATTTAATGATCATCAAGCTGTACTAAATATTAAAAAAAGTATCGAATATATGAAAAATGACAGAAATAATGAAACAGAAATCCTTACCCATCGAGCGGTTCTAAGCCACAGTTCTGCATTTATATAAAATTTAACAGAAAAAAAAAAGACGAAAGGCAATCGACTGTTGGTTGTTTCCCTTAGGAAAGAGTCATAAGCGAAGTGTTTAAAAATAACAAGTTATGTTATGTCTAGCAAAACAAGTGGCGGATACAGCTGGGTGGCAAAGCCGTACAAGGTTAACAGAAACTGCCCTTTCTCACTCAAAACACTAAACGGCAAAACAAAATTTGATGCCGCATATCTATCATTATGCTTGGGTTAAGTGCAGTCTCTATTGCAAGGTCTCTTGTTTGTTAACTCGCTTCTCGCTCGTGACGTTGTACCTCGAACTTCTTCTTTTTAACGTGTTAAGAGGGCTCGATACCTCTTTNCTGGAGGGAAAGCAACCTCGTCACCCGTCTCCTAAATTCGCAAAAACCATCCTTAAGGATAAACCTTCCAGTTGCTAAGCAAGCAAATCTCCCTTCTATTTATGCTTGCTTTGCACCATGTGAATTCCGTGCCGCATCTTAGTGCCCGGGTCTGCGTGTCGCAGAAATCCGATTTTCTTCTAGCGAAGGCTGCTTTCTGCGTAGGGGAAATGACCGGGCCTCCAAGCAGACAACTTCAACATAGGCGTATTTTATGTATCGAGTCGTAACAACAACTAACCACACATCCATTTTGACACGAATGACGATGGTACTCGTAATTCCTATAATTAACAATACTCAGTGAGAGAATTCCCATATAAAGCTATATAAATGTAAGCAAGCAAGTTAGGAAATACATCGAATGAATACTTGTCAGTCTGCCAACAGGAAGTTTCCCAAGCTAATTAATATCTCTAATATATCATCACTCCCAAATACTGATATGAAGTTGATGGTCCCTACCCTGTAGATGCTCCGGTGGAGGAGGAAAAGGGATACCCTCCGAAGATTTTGGTTGGGTGTGCGAAACCTGTACCCTATTACAGACCAAAATCTGTGATTTTCCATACTCTATTTCTGAGCTGAGCGAAAATCAATACCCCATTTCAGAACTTCAAAATCAGTACACGGCTCTTATATATATGATTTCAGCTAACCAGAAATGGCTTCCATTTAGGTAAACATTAGAGAAGGGCTAAAAATTTGCCAATGTCAATGCGGCTAGAAAATTCAAAATACCCATGCCAAGGCTGAGTGAAAAACATGCCCTATTTCAGAGCAGAATGGTTAAAATTTATACCCTTATTTAGGCCAAAACCGCTCAAAAACTATGCCCTATGCAGTAGTACATAGCACACATACTTAACTAGCTCATTTAAGGTAGTCCCCCCTCCCCAAACGATCAGATGCTATACCATGACAGCGCAACCTTTAAAACGGAGAGATCGAAAGAAAGCGAAGGAGAAGACTGCCGGGGAAGTCAGTGCTCCTGCTAGCCGGTTGCTGATCGGCATAGGTGTAAAGGGAGCGTGATCGGATACAATCGACCTTCTTTGACGCAGTCATGTCGACCAAACCTCCATACTGAAGCAGGACGTGATGTGTTAACAGGTATTTGAGGAGAGCGGAAGTTATTTCACTCTACAACAGAGAGCGAAAAGACACAAAGCGTGAGCGATTCCTTCTTAAATTGGCCTCCTTTCGGAAAACGATTTTTAATTAAGGGCGGAAAACTTGGCGAGACTTCAAACATGCTAAATCATCCAAAATGACCTTGACTGTTAGATCTGTGACCTTCTGGGTTGCGATGCAAGGATTTTAGAGCTTGACTCAGTACTTTCATATAGTGATCAACTTCACTCAGCTTGTGAAAGACGTTCTATCTCTGAATCTTGTTAGTTTCTCTTCAGTGACAGTTAGATAGAGCTTCCAGGGTTTACATAAAACCTCTCTGCTTTTGTCCGATTAAGGCGGCTTTTTAATGGCGTGATACTGTGAAAGTGATGAGTTGCATTAAGCGCGTGCTTGGAAAACTATTACCCACGTTCAGGAATTTACCCGATATAATATTAGATGACGAAAGATCAATTTTTTTTTTTTTTTTTTTTTTCATGTTCGTTGCTAGTTGCTTTAGTAATTTGTTCATCGTTGGCCGCACGAATGTTTTAAAAAAAATCTTCATATCTTACGTAATCTAGACTAACTCAAGTGCCCTTTTAGCAGGCTGTAAATTGATTTTTATTTTAAGTTGAAGTTTACGTGAGCGCGCTGATCTTTGTCAGCTTGCAAAATTAATGATAATAGTAATGGTAGTAAAATTTGTCATTTCACATTGTTTCTTCTTCTCCTGTATGACATATAATAGCCGTAGTGTGGATCACGTTCGAGATCATTCTCTCCTCTCCATCTGTCTGTCTCTTTGCTAGTAAAACAGTGAGAAGGCGTAGACAAACATAGCTTCAATTTTCAGTGTGACACCAAGGCGCCTTTCAATTGACCCAAACGCACATTGCTCTGTATGGATTTTGTTTCATAAATGTTTACAAGACCTCGAGTGATAAATTACAATGTTTTTTTTTCAGTTTTCTTTTTGGATAAAAATCTTAATCTCTCCTAATTGCAGACATGTTGCTTATTGTTCATAGTAAAGAACCTTCCATTGAGTAATGACCTAAATCTGCTAATCTGTTCCTAGGCTTAGTCAAGGAAATTATGTTGTGTATCGGGCCATATTATGCCAAGTTTTTTGGGCTTTATTTACCGTTACAAGGATTATTCAGCAAAACATTGACCTCGCTATCCAAACTGCACACGTACTTGAAATTTCACAAACCGTAGCAAAAATACTCACCACAAAGACAAGCAACAACACTGTAAAGAGTCTGTAAACTCATATTTTGTGCCGAATTTTACCTAGGCCTTGACGTATTTGCCTGGTTTGCCTGGTTCATTGGTATTTTTTCTGGGGTGGTGATTTCATGTTATATAATGTATCTACACACCAGCCTTTCAGTTATAAAAATATGTTTGATTGGCATTGCTTCCTCGGTTCGTTACAATCTTACAAATGACGTGAATTGATAAATTGGATACGAGAAGAAATTAAAGAATAACAAAAAAACAAGACAGCAAAGTGACATAAATATTATCGCCCGGTCAATATTGATTTCAAACATTTCATACTTGCGTGTTTATAATTGGAGACCTCAGTGCTTTGTCAACAGTGCAAAAGATGTTCCTCTCTTGTACTCACTCTATCGCGCGACTTGTGATCACAAGTTTTGACGTGACGTCTCTAAATCAGTTGGAATCGGAAGTGGTCATCATTTCCGAATTCCCGGTAATTTCCTGTCTGCTTGTCAGATCAAGCGGACCTGGACAGCTATATAAATTCTAAATCCCTGTAAGCGGTTCATTTTTATACTCGTCCTACGCTCGATCTCAAATCTGCTCGGTGGCTTGTGGACTTTTTTTTTTAAGTGGTCAGCGATGGAAACGAAATCTATACAGGTGGTTACCTGTTTTGCGGGCCTCGTGCTGTTCGCTTGTGTCCGTGTATCAAAAGGTATGCTTTTTCACGCTGTTTCTTGTCAGTATAGGTGTATAAATGTGTACGTATGTGGACTCCAAATATTTGCTTCATTTTGCACCATTGCTTCGTTCTACATCATGGTTTTATCCTCTGCTACGCGTCTTCTTTTTCAAATTGTTCGCTCACATCACAACAAATGAAAAAACGCTCTTCCTTTTGATAGCACAGATGATGAAGAGAAGAAGTTGTTAATCGATTTGATCCTCTTTAGTTCGTCTTGTTTTCAAAGTGTTGAGCAGAATTTGGGTGTTAACATCGCAACAAATGAAAGAAAATCTCTTTTTCTTTCAAAAGCATTGACGATGACAAAAAAAAACCTGTTAATGGACTTTCTGGGTGAAGACAGAGATTAATTTTAGGTCATAAGTCCTATTGTTATTATTCAGTGGTGCCGGCCGACAGCCGCTTTCTTAACTTTCCCTAGAACGGCTAGAATGATAACTCAGTTTTGACAAAGATAATTCTTATGTCTGCTCTGAGGATCAATAAGAGACATGAGATTTGAAACTAGACTAGGATTGTAAGCTAAGGCTTCAGTTTACTTGAGTGACTGTGTCGAGCAAAAGCTTGGCTACCAGGGACTTTCCTTGTTTCCCGGCTCGTTTATGGACAGGAGTGAAGAGGTAGAAGAACACTAACACTGATTGACACGTGTCTGTACACGTGATAGCGGTAAGATCAAAGTGCGGTAAATCACAGAAACATTTCTAGGCCTAAATTACACTAGGACAGCCAAAATAGCGATATATATTACGAGTCCTCGACCTATATCTATGTCTTTTAGAGAAAAGACCTCCCAAGATCTATATATTCGCATTCGCGAGGGATAAATGATTCATCTTTTGCAGACGTGACCCTTACGCGTTTACGAAGGCATGGTCATTTGCCCGCGGTTCATTTGTAATGCTACTGTGATTTCTTTTGCTCCCTACAGCAACCCAATTTTTCACGTTAACCACATTTCAAAGCGTTTAGAAGACACAGGATAGCTATGCCTCTTATTTCGGTTTTAGGCCTTTAAGCCATCGAAAAAGAAATAGGGGACAAGTATTTCTTTTTTCCCATTACCGTTAACAAATTAAGAAAACTTTGTTATAGACTTGCCAGACCACTGTGTCAAGAAAAAGGTCAAATGCTGATTTCACGGGTTTGAGAAAACTCATTGTAAATCGACTTGTTTCGCCTTTACAAAGGTTCCCTGTGGTGGCAGCAAAGAAACATCTTTGTGTCTATGTTATTGTTAAGGTATCCCCGACGATTTCGTGTACATGCCGTGAGGTTCAAGAACGAAGACTATACACTGTCTATAAAATCGTGATGTCTTTCTTGGGCCAATGGGCGTGGCTTCGTGAAATCGTGGGATTTTTCACGACCCGTTAAGCACAGGTCAGCGCAGCTTAGGCGACTTGTACGCAGCAAATGGGCATTTCTTAGCCTGTCTCTTTTCAACTTAAGAGCACGTATGAGAAAGAACCCCGAACAAAGCGTGAAGGTGACAATACCGCCGCAAGCGTCTGGGCGGGGCGAGCGAAAATGTCGATAGACGGATTAACGGAGCTTGGTCGTGGGGTTACGAAATCCCTGCAGAGAATCGCGACTCAGCAACAGAAAGCCACTTCGCTCTTTTATATATTTAGAAAAATCCTGTTAGACGCCTACCTGGTATTAGTTACAATAACAAGTTAAACAAATAGCATTATTTTTCTGCTCTTTCGCTCTTAAGAAGCTCAATCATGTAACTAGCTAAAGCACAGAACAATGGGTTTGTAATTACAGAGAATGACAGTAATGTGTTTGCTCTTATTAACAGGCCCTGGCGCTTCCCAGTTATTTATTGCCTGTATCTCACTCACTTCTTTCGCGTTACGTTTGGCAGCGCAGGGTATTTAATGATCATCAAGCTGTACTAAATATTAAAAAAAGTATCGAATATATGAAAAATGACAGAAATAATGAAACAGAAATCCTTACCCATCGAGCGGTTCTAAGCCACAGTTCTGCATTTATATAAAATTTAACAGAAAAAAAAAAGACGAAAGGCAATCGACTGTTGGTTGTTTCCCTTAGGAAAGAGTCATAAGCGAAGTGTTTAAAAATAACAAGTTATGTTATGTCTAGCAAAACAAGTGGCGGATACAGCTGGGTGGCAAAGCCGTACAAGGTTAACAGAAACTGCCCTTTCTCACTCAAAACACTAAACGGCAAAACAAAATTTGATGCCGCATATCTATCATTATGCTTGGGTTAAGTGCAGTCTCTATTGCAAGGTCTCTTGTTTGTTAACTCGCTTCTCGCTCGTGACGTTGTACCTCGAACTTCTTCTTTTTAACGTGTTAAGAGGGCTCGATACCTCTTTTGCGTTGGAAACTTAATGAATCATTGTTGGGCAATAAATTCAAAGAAGATTAAGAAGCTTAGTTCATCATGTGCGATTGTGATCAAGTTAGCAAATGCACGTCGCGCACTGAAGAGATTCACGGAAAAAGAAATTAAACACATATACAAATCTTCACTGGGAGAGAGAAGAAAAAGTTCGAATGTGGCCAGTGAATAACGCGCTCGATTTTTTCCTCACCAATTTGGTGGCATAAAGCAACGAACAAGCGCGAGCTGAGCGAATAGTTTCTCTGCGCGAGTTGAAGTCCTACAAATCCTGACGATGTGATATGTTTACCCATCCGGTACTATTTTTAGCGTGATGAAATCAACAAACGGAAGTGAGGGGAGCCGTGATTTACTTTTTTATCGAAAAATGATTAATTACCTTGAACTTTAAGAAGATAAAAAATAAAAAAAGTGTAGGTATCCATTGGTTCTTATGGCCACCCTTGGTGCCATCTGAGATGGTAAATGGAGTAGATGTAAACACTACTCATTACATGGTTATTAACGGGATTCGTTCGGTTTTGCGTTTATCAGCTGGCGACCCGGCCAGGAAACTGGGCTACATCGGCTTCGGTATCTTAACCTTATAAAGTCGGCCTACCCGCTGACAAGAGGAATAAAGATAGACATGTCTTTTCAGTAATGCAAAGCGAAATGATTGCTTCTGTCAATGAAACAGTTCGTTCGTAGTTATCTCGTCGCTAATGCTTGGCATTTAAATTAAATTTTAGGTGGCAAGACCTGTTTCCTGAACCACGAGTGTAAAAGAACGGACCGGGTCTATCATGTGAGCCCCATTAACGATTGCTGTCAGTCTCCACAAAACGCAGGCGGAAACTTGTACTACCGCAGTTCCAACACCTCAATCCCTTTCTTCTTGCAATTTTTTCAAGCCTGTTTACCGTGTGGCCCGCGAACAGTTAACACAAACGGTAGGTTCATGTCAAAGCAGTAACACTTTAACCTTAAATTACTCGTAATAGCAGTAAATGGTGTCATAAATAGAGGGTGGGTTTTCAAAGAAGGCATCGCTGGTAATATGGACCCCACAAATAAAAATTATACAAAACTTCGACACTTAAGGAAATTTTTTAATCAAAAAAATTTTTAAACAAAACGTGGAAGTGAAATCAAATGTTGTCCTCAAATATTAAATTCAAAATGATCCAAAACAACTGGAAGAATAGGATCACAATCTAACAAAATACCAGACTATGAACATTTGTAACCGGCAAGGGTGCTAATAAGGATAATGACCTTTACAATATTCTGTTTCGAGTTGTGTAATTGAGAAATCTGATTGTCTGAAACTTTTCGTTGTGACGATAGACTGAACACTTCTCCAATCATATTAGTATCATTTGTGTGAAAGCCAGCCAGATGATTGGTGTCATAATGAGGCTGAGGAATTTAGAAGGCAAAGCTACTACTCCATTCTTCCCTATCTAACATACTGCCACTTAGTCTGGCAAATTTGTAACCAAAATTTGACCCAGTGATACTAGGAAGCTGGAAGGTTACAAGAGAGGGTACTCAGAGCGGTTAACATTCAAGCTATCCACAGTTATTGATACGTGCCAGCCTACCTACTCGCATAGAAGACTTCAGGGTATATGTATTTTAATGTACAAAGTCAAGAACAATTTATGCCCCGAGAGAATTTCCCAATTACAATTTACGCAATTCTGACTGGCAAACACTTACTTACATATCTGTGTCCAAAATTATGGAACAGGCTCCCCCGGCCAGCAAATTAAGGTTGGCTAACAGTATTAATGTTTTCAAAACGAACATACGTAAGATGAACCTGGAAACTCTACTGGATGAGGGATACGTAATTTGATTGAGATCACGTGGGTGTCCAATTAAAGGTATCCAATTACCACTTTTTTGTAAGTGGATACCTACGCCATTCGCGCGTCAGCTACACGCGTTATAATGGCGTGCTTCTTAATGTTTCCTACAGTTTTTTAACTTATGGGAAGCGCTACTGACTTTTTCGCTCAAAAGAAGCTCCCAAAAGACTTTTGTTATAAAAACGATTGATCAGTAATTGGACCTCGTGCCGTACAATTCAGGAAGTAATCGTGGTCATAATTTCAAATCGGCTTCGCGCCGGTCCGGTTTAGTTAATTACTTAATTAATTAGTTTATGAATTGATATAAATCAGTTATAAAACAAACATTAAAGCGTATACTCTACTCTACCGCTTTAGCGAACAGCAGCCCCCTAAGCCTTCCTCCCCNCCCCCCCTCTATAGCGCACTCTGCGCTAACTTAGTGTTTAGAAACATCAGTTCTAACCTCTTGTACAATTTGCTTTGTGCAGCATCTGAGAGCAAGGTAGAACGTCCTCCCGATAAAGTCTGTACGGCAAGGGCCAGGATGATGCCGAACGGACAGTTGAAATGTTTTTGTAGTGGCTGCAGTCGCAGACAATACCAGCCAGTGTGTGGCAATGATGGCGGTAACTACAGCAGTGAGTGCGAACTTCGAAAGAAAGCTTGCCGTCATCGTAGATCTGACATGGAGGTGGCTTATGAGGGAACATGCCAATGTAAGTAACACTGATCTCTCCTTAAATCGTCCTCGCTTTCTTGTCGAATTATTCTCTCAAAGCACTGAGCGTGTTCCTGTGTTCAAACTTTAAAAAGGTTCTCATGGGAACAATACCACATGGAAGATCTGTCGCTTGCTTTTATTGAGTAATTACACCCTAATGATAAATCAGCAAAATGTTCTGGATTCCACTTAGGGGGCTATAAAAAAATTGAACCATATTAATGAACTGCAAGCTAGATACCTGTTTGTGTTAGTGCCGCGCAGCACATAAGCGTTTGAGTTCACATTAATGTGCTCATGATTATCTGAAGATTTCCTGTGTATCGCTTGTTCCAGACGGATGCGATAAGGTGGTGTGCCGTAACAATGGCACTTGTATGGTTGATCAGTACAAGCGTGCCTCCTGTGTTCAAAGCTGTGACTCCCTCTGCCCCAAACGTGCGAAAAAAGATGGGCCCCTGTGTGGTGCTGATGGCGTTCAGTATGAAAGCAGTTGTCATCTCAGGAAAGAGACCTGCAAACAAGGAAAAGCTATTGGCATGGCTTACAGAGGCAAATGTATTGGTGAGTAAGAGCTCTTTTAAGATCGATCTTCCTAGTCAACAATAATGTCATTTTACGTGTATATATGTTAGATTGCAGGCGATCAGGCGCCCTTTTTTGTTGGTGCCAGACAGAGATCTTATCTTATCGTAAAAGCCTCAAAATGCTATCTTGTTTTCACGAGGGAACATGTAACAAGGGCAAAATTAGAACCAAGAAATTCTATCGCTACTTTCGGGGAGTTTTCAGTTAAGGAACACAATATCTTTTGAAGCCAACCAAAACCTCGTACTGTATAATAATAAGCTTTGTCTTTTTTCAATCAGTAAACGCGTCATGTGACAATATAAACTGTGGTAACAAACTGTGTGTTGCGGATGCTTCCGGGAGACCTCGGTGTGTCACGTGCTCCTGTAACATGTCCGACCCAAGAAAGGCTGAGCGTGGGTGTTCGAAAAACCTCCAACCCATGACTCTGTGTGGCACTGACCGAAAGACTTACCAGGACTACAGCAGTTTGCGCAAGGAAATGTGCAAAATCAAGACATTTATTGATGTGGATCATCTTGGAGCTTGTAAAGGTAACAGACACAACACAATATCAATTTAACAGACGTCAGTTTTATCATGCGTCTGTCCTGTTATTGATCATGAATTTCGTCATAACATTGTCAAAGTAGTTGTGGATCCACGAGGCGACAACCGAGTGGATCCGCAGACTACTTACGACAATGTTATGATGAAATTCATTGTCAATAATAGGACAGACTCATGAAAAACTAACGTCAATTTGTCTTTTACGACAACAAATTGTCAAATTGTCCACTCACGCTCTTTGACGCATCGCATAAATCATAAATTCATTTTTTGTCCGCTTATTGTCAAAGAACATTAGCCAATGAGCGCGCGAGAATTTCTGCAGTTATCGTAAAAAGAGGTTTTGCAAGGCAGCCATGTTGCATGGCAGGAACAATGAAAATGTTTTGCATTAGAAAGAACATTCTTTTCCCATAGAAAGAAGAATCTATTGTTCCTGCCATGCAACATGGCTGCCGTGCAAAAGCGCTTTGATCGGTTCGTTAATACCGACATGGCACTCAGATAATAAGCAGTGAAGTGAACCTTTTCAAAACCTCTCCTGTTATAATTTTCTTGTCCACCAACGGAGTTTGCTTCCAGGCTAGTCTTTGTTGCTTGCATTCCTTGTGCAGAGAGCTTAATGCAAATGGTTTTCCTACGCAGTAAAACATCAAGCTACAACAAGATTTTCATTCCATTTCTCCACATCTTGTGTTCTCCAAAAACCATTCACGTATTCATTTGTCCTTTGATGTTAGCGGTACATGCTAGGGGCCTCATCATCGACTTTAACATTTTAAATGTTATTTGGAACTTTACCAGGTGACAAGGCAGTCCAAGGTGAGAGGCCTGGGGACGAACCGCCAGATGAAAGTTCAACTTCCGGTGAATCGATGACTACGGACGACATAGGCCAGTACTACATCTCCCTCAAACATTTTGTGAACATTTTGAAAAAGAAGTATGGACTGGATATTGCAGCACCCAAGTACAAAAAAATGGACCGTAGGGATAAAATAGTATTAATGAGTACACTCATAAAAGCATTGAAAAAGAACTGGCGAAAGGTGAAGCCTTACCAGTAAGTCCGTGATTTCAATGGTTTCTGGGTGAATCGGTCGATTAAGTCAGAGATCCATGTGGTTTGGAGACGAACGTAGGACTAGGGTAATTTGTGTTTAATTTACAAATTGGAGTGTATGAAACTTTTTTGCTAAGATATTGCTTTGATGAGAGAAAACAATCATGATGCGATCAGGCGGATCCAGGAATTCCTGAAAGGAGAGGGAGGGGGTTGTCCACCTTAATAACTTTCGACGCCATCGGCTGGATGGGAAGCGCCGAAGGCGCGAGATTCTAGAGGTGGGGAGCAGGGCAGAGCCATGCCTCCCCGGAAGATTCTTCCGAATTTTACCCTCTAAAACGCCATTTTCAGCATTCCTGACGCTTGAAAAGGGTTTTTGAAGGCATGATATAAAATCTAGAGGTTACCTCACTTCTCAACCAGAAAACCCAATTACGGGTAGCAACCGTTCCCATACCAATCAGAGTATCTTCGTTTTCTCTCCCTACAATTTTCGCGCGCCATGAATGCGAAAAAGAAGACTACAACTCAGAGCGATTTCTAAAGAAGAACATTTAACTTTTAAGTTCGTATGACGTTTGTATGAGACGCCATGTTAATCAAATGGTAGAATTTGAACAACTTAGTCGTTGTGCGTGGAAAATATATTCATCGTCAGGGATGATTTATTCCAGTGCGCTGTGTAATTTGTAGTTAACTCAATATAGCCTATTTATAGTCAGAAGTGGTCAATTTGTAATAATTTGTGATTTAGCTTACAGGAGTTTACGCTACAGCGTCATTTATGGTCTTCCACGATCTCTGTCATTCTTCTTCTTTTGATGGCTTATTGGAAACTCTTTAGGTTTTTTGGCTTAAGTGAACTAAAATTTTGCAAATCTTTCCTTCAATTTGAAGAAAATTCTGTACATTGAAACAATGGCTTAAGATAGCTGTATTGTTTTGTCAGCATTTAGTATTTACAATAGTAATTGGACTGAGTGGAGTGCAATTCAGGGAGTAATCGTGTGCGTAAATTTAAAATCGGACGAGCGCGCAGCGTGAAGCCCATTTTGAATTACGAGCACGATTACTCCCTGAATATTGCACGACACGAGGTCCAATTACTAATTAATCGTATCTATAAAAAAGATGTCTTTTGAGAACTTCTTTCAAGAATTTTGTTACAGATACGATTACTCAGCACATTGTAGCCAGGCTTTTCATTCCCAAGATTGATGCATAATTAATTATTACTACTTGATTAGCGGTCCGTCTCTTATGCTAGGTATTGACTTGCAGGCCTATATCTAGGAACCTCAGATTTTATAAATGCATTGGACAACTACTAATATCTTCTATTTAAAATAAAGAAAAACGCACCCTTATTTAGATAACCCGATAATGACAGCGAGTGCCGCTTAAAGAGACTTGTAATTCATCTCGTTACCAGTCTTACCCCTGCAGATCATCAAAAGCGAAGGCTCTGAGAACGAGTTTGACAAACTCGTGTCAAGTCCCGGCGGCAACGGCTCACTCTCGTGTTCGTTTAAATATGAAAAATATTACTTCTTTATCACGAAGCTACGAAATGTGGTGTGATGTGATTATCTTGTAAAGTGGCTCCTTACGAGAGTGCATGTCATATACTCAAAGTTTTATAAAAAAATTATTTTCCTACTTGAATGTCGTGTACATGTAATTTATTGTATTTAGCATTTTTAAGGTGTAAATTTATTGCAGTATGTACCTTTGTAAACCTTACCTTTTAGCAAGAAACGCACTTTACTGCTATTTTTGATGATTTTTCCACAATTTTGTATTTAGTAAACTAAGAAGAGCCATAAAATATATGTAATATAATATTATTAAAATTTGCCGTTTGTTTGTATTCGTGGAAGGCGGTTAGTTTTCTTTTTACCATACATGCCATGTATCTTCTGTGGGCTTGACTGCGAGTCAGATATGGCCCGGCTTCGAGTCCTGGCTGAGCTGGCCACAGCGATTTTTTCTTAGAAAATTGCAAGATAGAAATTGTCCCTGTTTCGTAATTTCGAATTTTTTTGTTGATTGAATGGTTATGGCCGACCATTCAAGATCTCCTGCTATTCTGTCACATTCCTCACGGATGGTTTGCCACTTGAGCCTTCACATTTCAAAACTTACAATCCCCAAGAGACAACTGCTCTGTGACGAATGTGATGGAAGCCACACAGATCTTGAATATATTATGAGATCCTATCAAGCACGAGGATTTTCATTTTACTCTTAAAAAACATGGTTAGGGAACTTGACTTCGTGCCTTTTCTCGCTCCTCAAAAGGGAACCTATGGTGCTGAAAACTGGTAAGGGTTCTCCCTAGATCCTGTAGTTTGCCATGTTAAGATATTATTGGAGACATAAAGAGACTAAGAGGCTGGACAAGTCGGATTACAAGCAAAAACAAAGCAATTTTGAATAACCGAGACACAAAAGAATATATCATTAGAGGCAAAAAAAAAAACGTAACAAATATACGTTTATAAGATCATAAGGTAATACATAAACTGTAGGTCAAGAGGAAGGAATGCACCCCTCAAATGTCGGTCTTAAGTCGTTTAAAAATAAAATAAAAGACTTTATTTAACCTGAAAGGCCAATCAGTGATCACTGGATCACTGGTATGAACTATATACTAAACATTTACATTGAAAATTACAACCATTCTGGAGATTATGTAAAAACAAGCATTTGAAAAGAAGAGCAACAACAACAACAAACAAACAAGCAAAAAATTGAACCTAATTTACGGTACATACATTATTGATACGGTCTTGATCCATAAAATGCTTAAAAATATGTTTTAAACTTAGAAAGTGTGTTTAATTCTCTGATCTCTCTTGGTAATCCGTTCCATTCTCGTGCAGCGTCACGCTTGAAAGTAGACTGACCCATTTTCGTTTTAGTTGGCGTGACGTTTAAAAGTGTTGAGTCTTGGAGTGTTCTTCCATGCAGATCAGACCTCTTAACAAGATATCCCTCTAACTGGTGCGGACAGTGAACATTGCGTACGATCTTAAACGCTGATTGTAGCTTCAAAAACCACCGTCTACTATCTAAGGATAGCACATATGGCCTGTTACGTATATCCTGTGAGCACGTTCTGCGATTCGCAGCAAGAATGATACGCATGGCCTGATTCTGTAATCTCTCTAATCGTCGTGAATTACTTTTTCCACAGACACCCCATATGATACACCCGTAATCTAGGATGGGTAATATAGTTTGTTTATATATGTTCAGTAGAACTCTTTGGCTAAGAAAGGGCGCGATCATGTTTAACATTTTGAGTTTAGGATAAACTCTGGATGTAATATACGTAATGTGCTATATACGTAATCTCACCTATATAGTTATAAATAAATGTTACGGAGTTTCAAGGCAGTGAATTCAAGGTTCGTATAAACCCTGATTTGTTTTTTATTTTTAAAGATAAGAGAGAAAATTGAGAGCTACAAACATAACCTTTAATGTTCTTTATTACTAAGACATTACTTTACAACTGAAAGTTTTAACTTTCCGCAAGACAAAAATGATCTATATTTTCTTACAACATGGAACAACAATATGCACTGCTTTGAACTCTTTATAGCCTTCCGTAATTAAATACCTCTTTTCATTAAATATACTACTTTTTCCTGTTTAATCCATGGTCTAATTTAAAAGCCTGCCTGGGGCACGGGTTAGACTTACAAGGAAAGGGAGGGAACTCTAAAACGTGTAGATATCAGTGTTATCAGCTTTTCCCTCAAAATATAAGAATCTCTAATACTCGCCAAATGCATGTCAATAGAATTTATCTAATAGCATTTATCGAAGTTAGACCATTTCAATAATAGGTTATTCGTCTTGTGTAGGAATTCGGGAGATAACCTGGCTGGGCTGCAAAGCTAGCTAAAGCTTTCCTGTTTAAACGAACTTCGTCACAGTGGAACAACTACAAAGAATTAACCAATTTTTTCAATTTTGTCTCTGCCGATTTATTCTTAATTCTTTGGTGTTTTTCTTCAGTACCTTACCAAAATATTACGGCATTTTTAGGTTTTCTTCAATGTGAACGTACTTTTCACACCAAAAAATGACTTAAAATATTGTAACACGGCTCCTTTGTCCTGAATGCCTACGCAGCAACTAAGTAAGAGGCTATCACAGTTCCATATGGTTGTGATCTGTGTTATCAGTTTTTCCCTCAGTGCTGTGTTCTGATGTTTCTTCAGGCTGTGTGTCTTGTTCCTCTGTTCCATCCACGTTATCTTCCTCGTCTTGTTCTTCGTCTTCCTCTACGTAGCCGAGCAGTCGTTCAAGCTCATCATATTTGACGTCGTAAATCTCCTCTGAAGACACGAAACCATCTTTGTTGCTATCGATTTCGTGGAAATTCTTCCAGAAAAAGAAACAGAGCAACAAGTAAACAAATAGAAAACAACAACAACAACAACAAAACAAAAGGCAGAAGTCAGAGTGAAGCAAAACGGAATAATCTACCTCCAAAAGCTGTTGTTTCTAAAGACTTCTATGCAAACTAACTGTCTCGCGTGTTCAGCTGTTTTGGAACGACAAAACAGCAAAAAAGCCAACATGGCTGTAACGGGTTTTTCTCGCGCGTTTTTGTTGGTCTGTCGACCCTGGCCTGTCCACTTGGCGAAATTGCACATCAAAATATAAGAATCATCAGAACACAGCACTGAGGACCCTTCTGTAAACCACTCTACTGTGATGTTGGTATCCTCATTAAAGATTTCTACTACTACTACTGCTACTCAAGAGAAACCTTCAGACTTGTCCACAAGGTCGAGCTGCGTAAGCCGAGCATGGAAAGCGAAAAATTTCTGCAACGCACTAAACTTGAGTGCGAAGAGCACGAGGCAGAGGAGTGAAAAAGAAAAAGTCTGGAGGAGCTTCTTACGCAAAGGATGGCATAGCTTGCGAATACCTCCCCTCCNCCCCCACAAAAAAATGCACGCCCTCAATAGTGACATCCTACTAAGGAAGTAATGGATCATTTCTATGGTCATAAATCAAGATTTTTGATGGAAAACTTTTCAAAACATAATTCCTTCCACAGAAATATTTCCTTCTTCGGAAATTGGTTTAGTTCAGATGTTCAGCAACATTATGGGCGTCAAAATCAGAATTCATTACCTGTTCTAATACATCCCTTGGAATCAGTGAAAGCTCCTCCTCACGACCAGATGCTTCCGCCTAAAAACAACAACAATGCATGAACCCTTCATGACCAGTTTTTAAAACCATTTAACAACAACTGCAAAAGTTCTGCAATTTGGTCACGACAGAACATAGTGGCTGTGTCCATGGCGAAAGAAGATATAAGAAGGAGGATGTAAGGAGTCGGACAACTCTCTTTAATGGACAGTTCCCGTAGTCCCGGCAACTTGTCTATTAAAAAAAAAGATTAATAAATGAACTCCAAAGACGTGCTTGGTTCAGTTTTGACTTGAAGGGCACTTTATACTATATATTATAGAGTGGAGCCTATTAAACCTCTTTGCCTCTTCCAGGCGTTCAGTTAATTGGGGCACAGCGCGAAAATATGGCGTACGAAAAAATAGGGGAGAAGCGTGGCGCAAAGAGCAAGCCTCAAGCCGCACCAAGTCGCTCTCTCCTTTTTTTGCTCTACCGTGTTTTAGCGCTGAGCCCCAACTAACTGATTGTGAGGCTGCTTCTGAAGTGAAGTCATATAATTCATGTGACCTCTGTAAAGTGGACAACTTTCGAATACGGACACTTTCTTTCGTCCGTATGGTGTCTGTATTGAAGAAGTTCTACTGCACATGTATGAAATAAATAAACCGGGGTTATACAACTTATTTATCATTATTAGTTACGAAGCAATATGTAAGGAAGCAATATGAGCAAGTAGCACACAGCATTGAAATTTTGAAGCTACACATTGTTGTGAGAAGAAATGACGACAAGAACATTAATTGGGAGTCACGGCGGCCTCATGACATGGTTAGTGTGCTCATCTCCAGATCGAACGGTACGGGTTTGGGCGGACATTATGTTGTGTTCTTGGGCAAGACACTTTACTCTCAAAGTGCTTCTCTCCACCATAAATGGGTATCAGCAAACTTAATGTTGGGGGGGGGGGTGCACTTGGCTCATATCAAGCCTTTACCTACCTTACCTACATTATTAATTTCCCCGGGTAATTACTGATCTGAACATTGCAAAATTTCCCCCACAAAAATAATCAGTTAATTTTGTCAAATCTTACCTGGATTAATTCTAGCCACTGCTCTAAATTGACTGGTTTTTCACCCATGGTTTGCAGAGTCCCTTGCCTGATAAAAATACCAGGCATATCAAGAGAATATTTTAATAATTATCTACTGCAGTTTGTGTCAAATTTGCAAGAATTGATTGCTGTCATTAGGGTTACCACTAGAAATGAAATAGCCTCAGCTGTTAATTTCAAGGTCTGCTCATAAACTTGTCTAGTTCCTGTTCGGCTTTCATTGGCAATTCATTTTGGTGATGTAATTGCAATGAACGGCCATGCACATGACCCAAAAAGGACTCACTATAGTGAAATACTGAGGCCAGGGAACTAGGTAAATCAAAAACTAAGCTCTCTATACAATTTCACATTGATTTAAATTCAAGTGATAAGAATCAATAAGGAACATCTTCTAAAATGTCATCTCCCTTGAGAACTGCCTTGACCACACACTTCTCTGTATAGTAACATCAAATGCAGAGGATTTTAAAAAGCTTTAGTGATATTTGTTGACATTGCCAATGATTAGGATGTCAAAAATTGCCAGGCAAGTAGATTTTTGAAATACTTCAAATAGGGATTAAGGGAGACTGCGCAATGTTACATAATTTCTCATTCATCTATGATGTCCTAAGCTATCACTGGCAACAAAATTATTTGCTATCTTGCACCTGTTTTAATGTAAAAAGAAAGAAGTGTGACAAAACGTCTTCCAACATACATAAACATGGCTAAATCCCTGGGGATGGGGGAACTCCCATATGAAAAGGTCGGAGATGCTCATTGAAAAATTTGAACTAAACCCCTGAAGGAGACCAATCTGGGTGTGGCTCGAGCTTTGTTAGACCCCTAAAAGATACCACTTAAAACAGTATAGGTTTGATTACTAGCTGCTGTTTGGGAAAGGAACCCACGCTAACAGATCGGACTAAAGAGACCGGCAGAAATTGAGCCTAAATTTAAGAGTATTTCTTTTATTATTATTTCTTTGAGTGCACCCTAAAGGATACTTTGACAGCTAAAAATAGTGGTATTTTGCCATCAACACCCTAAGTGAGACCACAATCCTTGATTTATCTCTCTAAGCAAGATGACAAGCATCCCTGACCTTTTCATATGAGAGTCTCCCCCAGGTCTAAAATCGCTTTTAATTAGCAAAACATTTATCAAAATCCATACCTACCTTATTGCCTCTTGCGGATGAAAGTCAAACTGACTTAGTGGAATTAAGTCTTTGTCTTTGTAAGGGCTACTTTCACAGTCTGATTGGTTGAACTTCACAAAATGCGCCCACCAAATATTCACAGCTAGGTTGCGTTGTCCATAAGAACGTACTTGGTGAACCCACCTAAAAACCACAGCATTTTTAGCAACTCACATTATTTCGAATAAATATGTCCAGCAAGAAACAGTCAAGTCCTCAGGGACTAATAAAACTTGCTTTGAAGAAATAGTGATTTAGTGACCATCCTCCTTGGAAAGATGTCTATCATAGAGGGAGGTGAAGAAATGGACTGCAAACACAGTCCTGAGTTATTTGGTATATATCTAAGTATGTATAAGTCATTTCCAGACCTGGAGATAGGGAGAAAATAACAAAAGAGAGTATGCCAAAAGGTAATAAAGGGAAACAAATATGAGATGTTTCACTGTTCCCTCACCACTGTTCTGACACTGTCCCCTTATCTGGGGTAGATACAAGATTTTAGAGAAGGGGGGGTTTGAGAGACGGACCGCCGAAGGCGGTTGCCTGTAGGGAGTGTCTGAGGGCATCATCCCATGGAAAAGTTTTAAAATTGAGGTCCTTGGAAATGGGATTTCCCGCATTTTGAGACCAAGTCAAAGGGTTCTTACTAATGTCTAATTATTTTAAATCTAGGGGGTTAAACTGAATCCCCCCTAGATCTGCACCAGCCTTATCCCTTGCAATGAACCAAAGAGCTTGGAACATGCAGGGCCCACTTCAGCAAGGTGTCTGGTTAAGAGAGGTTAACATGGTCTACACTTGGTTTAGAGACATAAATGCTCAAGGCAAGACAGACAAGATGCTCTATAATATCTACTCCACCAATAAATTACTACTATTACCACATGGTTAAAATATGTTGTAAAATGAAACAAGGTTAACTCACCGTGCAGGAATGAACAAACAGTCGCCTGGTTCCATGAGAACCTTGTAATAAGGGATAGTCTGTAACCCTGGAAACTTGTACATATCAACTTTATCCACATCAACACTGGAGAATGCTCCATTTACCTTGTCAATATGTGCTTGCAGAAGATGAGACTGAAATGATTACAACAATAACCATAACACTGAGCCTCCAAAAGAAGTCACAAATTCATTTGTTAAATACAACATTTGCAAGAACTCTAACTCTGTAATTTGAGGGATTGGGGGAATCAGATGGTCTATCAGCTCCAACAGTTAGTTCCTCACCAACCAATTTTTCCAAAGCCTCCAAACCACACAAAAGTGAAGGAATTAAAAATACATTGGAAACCAAAGATCTCTTGAAGCCTGGGGCACAAGGTAAAACCCCATTCCCCCTATGAGATGCACACGCAGGGAATCATGGTAGTTGTATGCAATATCTCAAAGATGTCATGTGCGTGATTAATACAACTATTATGATTCCCTGTGCGCAAGTGTCATAGGAAGAATGGCCCACAGACTCACAGCATTTCTTTTCACCAAGATTATTTTGCAGGATAATTTGTAATGAATACCATTACTGTTGTTCAGCCTTGTCATCTAACCTTGAGCAACACTTGGTTTCAGATCTGGCTCTGTCATCAAATGACCTGTACAATAAATCTACCTTGTTAATCATAAGTAACTCTTTTGTTCCATCAAACAGGCAGTTGATGTTATCCACAGCGTCATAGTGAAGAACTGACTTGGTTCCTCCACTGCTGAACCAAACTACAGCATCTTGGAGCATATTGGTAAATCCCCCGCAACCAATGCTCTTTAATAGTGCATATTCCTCTAACACAAACATTGTTGGTGAAATCATTAGTTAAATTTGTAAATTAATTGATTCAAGTTGATATTTAACATTAGAAAACAGCCCTAAGAAAATATGTGCACTGATTGGTTGAAAATTGTGTTTCTATAACCTAATAGAAACACAGAACTAGCACAAACTGTTGACATAATGATGGCTTGTGTAAAGAGAATTTACATTTTGATGATCAAAGTAAACAAGTTGTTTTCCTTTTTTTTTCGCGGTTTTTGTTTCTATCAAGTTATAGAAACACTCATGAAAGTTTGGGAGAACTCAAAAAAGCTGTGAAAAGTCACTCGCCTGTCGGCTCGTGTTCCCACAGCATTTCTCGTTCTCCCAAACTTCCACTTGTGTTTCTATTAAACAATTAGATCATGAGCTCAAGATTTCTATCACGCATAGAAATCAAGAGTGAATAATCTAATTGTTTTAGTATAAATCTACTAGTCATTCAAAACTTTATCTAAATCCAATTCATAGACACTTCAAAAACGCCAAGAAGCAGCTGTCATTTTGTTAACAAGGGTACACTACTATGCTACTCACTATCTATCACAGAATAGATAGTGAATAGCGTGGCCAATCAGAGAACAGCATTTGTGATAGATTGCTTATAGATTTATACTAAAACTCGATAGAAACAAGGTACATGTTTTCTATTTCTTAAATATTGGGCTGCAATCTCAAGTCTTCCACCATCAAATGGCCAATGAAGTAAACTCCGCTTGTTTATAAGTAACACAAAATTCCTGAAAATTTCATTTGAAGTTTCTCTGATCAATGCAGTGTCCATTTCGGTTGAGATGTTAAGGTGAGGCTGTAAAAGTCAAAATGCTTGAAACTTAAGCACACTTAAAGATCACTCTCGCACTCACCCAAAAAGGTAAACAGAACATGAATCTCAAATCAGAGAAGCATTATTTATGGAAAAACAGGACTACCTTTCCAGAAGCTAAATCATTTCTTCGTGAACTTTTCCAGTGGACTGAACTGAAAAGTCAGGTCTCCTTTAAATTCCAACCAAAATTTGTACAAATGTTTTGCAAATGGAAACAGCCTCAGGTTCATTTTTGTAATATTTTATAAGCTTTGACTGGAAATGTTTACTGCTCTATGTAATCATGGAACGATCACTGTACAATTTACCATAAAATTCCAAATGTAATGTTTAGGATCCATTCATATTGGGATTTAGCAAGGGCTGCTACTTCTGGGTAGGATACTTTTGGATGATTAAAAGCATTTTTTTTGTAATATCATCAGCAGCCATCTCACACAAAAAGGTATCTAATGTGACATGAAAAGTTCAGTATATGTCTCTTGCCTGGCACAATACAGTACATATCATTTACGTTTTTGAAGGGACTGATAGTTAAATTTTGAAGGCCTTTTAATTTTTAGGATTTAGAATGCAATTGGAGTGTAAAAAGGAAATGTGCTCAATTTTACTTCAATTCATGAAAGCATCACTTTTGAGGGGGAGGGGCATTACTTTCAGAATTCTACTGTTTTTTTTTCTCATTACTAATTACAAAATCAACACTCCTCTGATCTGTTTAAATCCTGACTACATGCAGGATCAGATTTTAGCTCAAGAACTGAGTGCTGACTTTATCATGTGCAAAATACTGAACATTATAATTTCATTTGTATTCACTAATTAAAAAATCTTTAGTGTTTGAAGTGCTAGTCCTATCTCAGTATTTCTTTCAATTTTATTTTTTCCAAGAAAATCATGTGTCCCACATGAAGCCAAGTGATAAATTTGATTTCTTAAAGGGGAACACCATTGGTGACACCGCAATTAGTAAATTGTCGCGAAATGAAAGAAGTTATAATATTCATGTAATGTGTAATGCATTGTAAGCTCAGTAAACTTAAGGAGTCATTTGATTAATTAATAATATAATATATTGTTAGTACCTCTCATTTTTACTGGAAGAGATTCAACCATGTAAATATCCTCATTCTTATAACGCATGATAAAGTCTTTCAACTTGAAATTAAATGTAGCAAGGGATCTGTTCTCTTTTTTACCTTCTTCAACATCAATAGCCTCTTGTCCAAAATTCTCACTAAAAGAAGGAGAGTCCATTAAGAATTAATTGAAAAGTGTAATATTTTCAATTTAAGAATGTATGGAAAAGGTGGTCCCAGTTATGGAAGATTCAAACCTAAAATTTTAATTATTTTACATGGTGAAATGCCATTAATTATGCTGGTTTAATGAGGGTCTTAATTGAAACTCTGTGGAAATTCTTTCCTTGAAGTATGTAGCTACACTGAAAATTTCAAATGGGTTGGTGTTGCTGAGCCAATTGACTTTCTGTAAGGTGAAGAAAATAATTTCAAACTTCTTTTTAATTAGTGTTTTACATTGTATTATTTTCAAGTGATATTTTTGCTTAAACTGAGACTGGCAGCCATTGGATTTTAGTGACGGTTACTGAGCAACATGGCATGTAGGATGATATGCATTCTTTGTGACATGAAGTGATGATCAGATATTATTGTATCTGGGACAATGGCTAAACAATAATTAATATAGCAGACATCTTTCCAAATCATACGTTGTAAATTTCAGGTTATAGACCCCCCCTGTTTATACGTCCCCCATATAATCCCCCAGAAATAAGCCATCCTTTAATTTGTGTACGTCATGCCACAGATCAGTGGTCAGTATTTGCCATTACGAGGAAGCTTCATACAACAACATCTGTGCTTGTTTGCAAGAACACAAAACTTCTTTTTATACTGCTGACTGGATGTTGGTGTCAACAGCTTACTTCACTTTTCTAGACTGTTTCCAAGCCCTTCCCCGATACCCCCCTCCCCTTCCATTCATAAAGCCCATACAAAACCTCTTATGAAGTTGTATAAACCTGGCCACGGCTCATAACCGGAATTTTTTGCTATATTACACTTCATAATAAAAACGTAAGTAAGTAAGTAAGTAATTTTACTTAAGTGTCAGACTAAAACAGCAGTATCAAAACCACTAAATGGGGACACTATAACATAAAAGATTAGAATCTATAAGCTAATCAAAGATATTTACAATATAAAAATATAAATAAGATAAAAATGCATAAGATATATAAGACAGAAATACATAATTTAAAAAGACAGCATATAAAGTGCAAATTACTACCACAACTATCAGTCAAAACATCCAGGTCAAGTTTGCAAATGTTTCTCTTAAAAAGTGACAATGTAGGTGAAATATTATATAATATAAAAACTCTCATATTTACACACTAAAGATTCCACTTTGTATCTTTTATACATTCCTTCTCTTAATATGTTTTGAAATTTAAATTTGATCTCTTTCTTACCAATTAAAAGTTTTTGTTAAAATCAAGAATTAACCTTAATTCTTAGTTCTGTTAAAAATGATTCAGAATAAATTAAAGTGAAATCTATAAAAATACTCTGCAGAACACACTGTTACCTAGGTAACTAATGAATATGTTATTTTGTGACTGTTGTCAGTTGTTCGACAAAATGATTGTGAATAATAGATGAGCTGAAATAGAGAATTTCCTATTGGCTTGTGCGTGAATGCATATCAATTTTCAATATTCTTTACAGGTACTTCAATCTAAATTTCAGTTCATTAATTTCTTGAACAAATAATAATAATCTCTCTTGCTCAAAAGTTCCATCATACATTCAAGACATTTCCTGTAAACTTTGAAGAACACAATATTAAACCAAACAATCTGTATGTTCCCTATAGCCTTTTAGACGAAATTTAACCTCAATGTAAAAACTCACGGCTCCTATTCAACATGAAAACAAGTAAAAACCTGTCGAACAAATATCGAACAAATAAAATATGTCTTTCGTGTATGTAGGAATTTCTAAAAACCAACAGGTACAAGTAGCCAAAGATCAGGGGAAGGAACTCAAGCTAAATAAAATTGAGTTAATTAACTTTCAGTCTGGAAGTCAGAAACAAATTCCAAAAAAAGTCAGTAGACTTTTCAATTTTATCGTCCATCAATTCAGAAATTAGCGAGTCAGATAAAAACATCAGGTGTTTTTTATCATACCTTAAATATTCATCTGTCCATTTAGAAAAAGCGGGCATCTTTTTCGCTGCTCCCTTGAAAAGCACAGGTTCACCTGGAAGAGCATATTGTTCGAAGAAATCTTGAGATGACGGAACGAAGTCAGTGATCTCTATCGAACCTAGCGGCGGCTGATGAGATCCTAAAGGTTCCAAATGACCGGGTGGATGCTTAGACTCAAGAGGAGAAAAGATCCAAATAAAATTTAAAATTAATAAGGCTCTCATGGTCCTTTCAAAACAACGAACTACAAAGTTATGATTCACTGAGAGGTTGTTACGACTATTTACCGAGCGTTCTCCGAGTGATCCCCGTGATATTTTTCTCAACGAGTGTTGACCGATGAGTTATCGATTACCCTGCGCTTGACGTCACGCAGTAAACATGGACGCAGTTCTATAGCAACTCAGAGCCTAACATTTTCCTTCATTATCTTGACAATAGCATTGACCATAACCTCTAGAACTCAAAATGGCTGATTATATTTTATAATTTTTTGATGGGATTCAAATATTGGTCGAATTAAGGATTTTGTTTCGTTGCCTCGCGCGAACCTGGAATTTCGATGGAATTGCATTGACCCATGATTCGTATTTTGTGATTTCCAACGGATTGTGGTTCGTATTTCACCAAGTGTTTATTTATCTTGGAGTTATTGGAATTCAACAGTGGATGAAGCAAGAGAACTGAGGCCTCCCTTCTCACAAAGACGACAAAATGATGGCAACACGAAATCCGAAGGTCGGTCCTAAGCGAAAACCTTCGAAGCCGCAAGCAAGGGCCTCCACGTTATCCAAGGAACAAGGTGTGTATTTATTTCAGAAGTTAGTTGACATTTTGTGAATTAAACCTTACCTTCCCGGGCGTGTGGTGACTGTCAAAGTGTGATCTTGTAGCTCTCTGCTCAATCATCGCAAGAATCGAATCTTATGTTAAGTTCGAACCAGTTTTATTATAGGGCCTTATTTCTTTTCGAAAGCTGTACTACGCGGTGCCTGATCGAATGGCCTTTGTGGTCGACTTGTTCAAGCCTTCCACGTACATGTATCTTTATTTTGCTCAGTAAGTTGCACAACTGCAGGAAATACAATGTGGTACCACAGCTGACAGGTCAATACAAGTCCATGGCTAAAATTTAGTTTTGTCATTTATGTGTAGTAAGTAAGTCCACCACACATAGCTTTTTATTAAATGGAAGATGTGTTACTAATTTTTCATGCCCTTCACCATCGTTTTGTACTCTGTATATCCAAATACTACAGTCCCGTTTTTCTCTACCCATGAAATCATGTGTAGTAAAGGCATCCCCAGTTGAGTGTTGATTGACCCTCGATTGCCTCTTGATTGACATCTTGATTGACACTTGATGGACATCTCAGCTAAACTCCAGAATACCCGGCCACTTATTAGCATCTCATTGAATAAGAATAGCAACTATTGTTATATACCTCGTTCTTCAAATCCCACCGACACATGTAAATAAAGTGGCCGGGTATTCTGAAGTTGCTCCGACATCTCAATGGATACGTATCTTGATCGATACTTGTTGACACTCGATCAATATTTCAATCCACACCTGATCAACACTTAATGAACAGTCTGTCGATAGTCGGCCGAGTGTGGACCAACTCGTATGTATCGATGGACACTCAATGGCGTGTCTGTGAAAACTGGTCGCCTCTCGACTAACTTTTAACCCAAGATGTTGATAGAGTGTCAATTGTGTGTCAACAGAGGTATCCACTGAGCGTCAATCGAGTATCGATCAAGTGTCGATCGAGGGTATCAATCAACATTTAACTGCTGATGCCTTTACTACACATGATCCAACCCGCCTTGTGAAAATAGAGCATGATCAATCAATTATTGATTGTGAGCAATCACCCTCTTGTCATAGAAGTGGTGTGTGTACATGTTTTATAGCACATGGTGGCACTCACTGCTCCTACATACCGTGAGTGGTGGTAGCGTTCTTATATGTTCATAAATATGGGACTGAGCATTAACAAATTAAAGGGCAGTCTTAAAGACATTTTCAAAAATTAAAATGATTTTATTTGATACCTGCACCTGATCTGAAAGAAAGTTACATTGTCATTAGTGGCTGGTTCCAGTTAGTCTACATGGTAACTATTATATTATCCCCCCTCCTCACCGTTTTGAGGAAACCCTCGCTCTTGCTTTTCTTTGGGAGGAGTTGGGGACAACTTCATGTGTATGTGCATGTAGAATATTTCTTACTGTAGGCTACAGGAGAATTCAGTCTCACACCACCTTCTTCACTGGAGTTAACTACACGTAATTCTGACTAATAAGAAACAGGACTCTGGACCTTACTGCCTGCTACTTCTGTTATCCTGCCTGCTGTTACAAAGCAATTTGACATGGCTGAGCAATAAATGTTTTCAGTGATACAACTGTCTCATCTCAAGAGATGTATCTCATTTCTATTGCTCAGGCACTTCTTGTTTCTCGTAAGAAGCCTCTTTTTTTCTCTTGGGTGCACTATAAGTAAAAATGCTTTGCCTTCTGGTGATATTCAAAACAGAGTTGCTTATAGCAGGTTTGTTTTAAATATCATTATCAAAGGTTGATTTACATGTTTCTTGTAGCCTGTACCAAATGTATAAAATCTTTCCATGATTCTTTATATGTTTTGATAATTATGTGAATTGAATTAGAACTTGATCAAACTTTTGGTTGACACCTTGGGTGCCATTGATTTGGCAATGAATTGTAGAGCAGAAATCTTTGAAACATGCACACTTTCTTGAGAGGGTGTGTGCAGTGATTTTTTAAGAGAATGAGATGCTTCTTGAGAGATACAAGATCTAGATATGTCTTGATAGAAATAAGACAAGAGGTGGTAACTTGTGGTATTGTATTGTTTTTTAATGTAGTTATTCTCTGTTTTATCAAGTGATACAAAAATTTTACTGTACTACAGTACTGTAACAAAGTTTTCTTTGAATATATCAGCATGGACAGACACAGATGACACAGAGGGAACTAAGGAATCTGGAGAGTCTTCAGATCAAACCAAAGACACAACTCCAGGAGAACTACAGAAAGGAAGCTTGATATCTGTCAGGGAAGCAGATGAAGCTAACAAGGGCGATGAGGCCAATGATGAAATTAATCAGTCAGAAATGAATGGTGTTCATGAGGCGCCACAGACAACTGACACAGAGGTTCCTCAAACAACGGACACTGAAGGAGTAAATGGAACTGAGACAGATTCTCTTGGAAGTATGGAAAGCGGTGCAAGACGGAGAGTTAAAAGAAACGCAGTTGTACCTACAGATGGTGAAGACAGTGGTCGGCAAACCCCTGATGTTGAATCTAGAAAAGGTACTGTCAAATGTTAATTAATAAGTTATTATTTTAATACATGTAATATTGAAGATTACGGGACTGAAGGTAACTATTTTTTTTCCATACAAATTCAACATAGTTTACATCAATCCAACAGCATTTAGGTTTCTTATGAGAACAGAGAGTGTGATCATACAAATGACATCTGTTGCACTTTCTTGTATGAATTCCAATATACATACTGAATTTGCTGATTATGATTTCGATAGAAATCAGCGTCATTTTCAGCATGTAATCGCATAATATTAATTAAACCTTTCAATTATCCTAAGATGCATGGAGTATTGCTGAAACTGATGCTGATGTTGAATCCAATGCTGCTTCAAGCCGACCAAGCTCAGCTCACCACAGGGCAAGACAGCGTCCTGCTACTGCAGTGGCAAGACAACCAATCCCTGTTGCATCTGTAGAGAGACCAATGACAGCACCACCCATTGATTACCGTTCTCCAGCAAGACCTGGGACAAGTGGAAGCTCACGACCTAAATCAACAGGTTCCCGCCCAAGATCAAGAGCTGAAGAAGGACTAAATCGCCCTGCATCCTCAACTTCAGGAGCATTGGCAATAACTGATGGGGTGAGTTCTGTTAATTGTTTCAGTAAATACAGTAGATGTCTTTGAGGTGTTGGACTGTGGTTTACTTGGACACAAAGATTTGCCTAGAGAAATTAGTATGTAACTTGAGGAACTCTCGAACCAAAGCTGTTTGCAATACCAAAATCATTAGCCCTGGCCTCTGTGTTTCCCTCTTAAAATTTTCTCAAGACCCGTAGAATCTGAGAATAATTGTAGAAGTGCAAATTAAATTAAATAATGAGAATTTTATTTAAATGTATTAAAAGTTTTTAAGGCCATAGGTTTTTGTAACCACACATGCACACAGGCAAAGTTTTTAGGTTATTTTATAAGTCTTTAATTTTGTAATGTCTTGATCACAGGGAATTATGGCCTGGGAAGAACCATCGCCAGATTCTAGTGAAGGGATTAGAGATAGAGGTGAGCTGAGGACTTGAAATTAGATTAAGGTGTTTCTGTGGAACTTCTTCATATACATGTACCTGTAATAATGTGTATTTTTATTAATGTATTGAGCATAGGTTTGGTAGGTTACATGAACATGTACATGTATCACTTGAAGTTAAAACTGTTAGTTGATCATAGCAAGAACATGTGAGGCAAACAGACAATCAACTATAACAGGGTGTAGAACATTGCATGGTTGGTCTTCAAACTGTTATCCTTAAATAAAGGACAAGTTATATAATGAATGTTTGATGGCTCAAGTCAAACTAGGCTTTAATAACTTATTATAACTGTTGTTTATAACCTCTGGCTGTGACTGATAAGTGTTTCTATGATGAACCTTTTTAATGACTTGCAAATAAATGCCTCAAAAATATTTGTTTAAAATTTTTTGAAACTTAGTCTACAATTTCGGACCACCTGCAGGCCAAAAATGTCCCATTTTAGCCACTTTGCTGATGCAATAAGTTTTTACTTTTTGCAGAAAGCTCCTCAAGTCGAAGCAGTGATCTTCTAGCACCTCCTCAGTTACAAGGAGAACAGAATGCTTATATTCCTTACATCTATGCAAAAGACTGTATTCAAAGGGTAGGTTACATGTACATTCTTCAGCTGTATTTAAATACATGTTGAGCATGTTTTCTCGTACAATAAAACCTGCATGATCATATTTAGTAACCTTATCTTTTAGGGCATTAGTCAAAAGAGAGTTTAAAGTCAGTCTGTTTTCCTCTGATCTTCTGCATAAGCAGAAATGTAATACTTAAGCAAATGAGGGCATAGATTATGAATGGTGGGTTGAGGGAGGAATCTTCTCTTGTAGCTTTCCATTTAGTGCTTGATCCATTGCTTTGGTTTTGCATTGAGCTAGAAAAAGGAAAATACTGCTTGCAGTGTATTACAGCAGGGGTTTCATCAAGGGCCAGACACTTGGCGCATTGACTGGCTGTGAGGATGATTTTACCAGCCTGGTTCAATTCAAAACGTTTTGCCCACCTGATAAAACCAACCAGTAATGAAACCCCTGTTACAGAACATGTAGATGAACATGGCTTTGTGTGCTTAAGATAACTAAGTGGCACGCTGGCCGCTGTTTGGCAAGGTGTTTCATCAATGTTAGCTTGTCTGCTTATACTTATACTCTTTGTGTCAATTACAAATGAATTCTAGGTAATGGATGATATGAAGAAGATGAAAAGCAGTCATGTGAAGGTTGTTGATCAGATTCAAGATCAATACAAATCACTTGAGGATGATATCCAGGTACATTAACTGTCATAGTTAGTGCAAAGCTAGTTTTTGACAAGTGAAAGTGTAGCTAGTGGGAGTTATTAAATAGCAGTTAGTTGGGGAAAAATCACTCGCTTGGTCAGTCAGTCAGTCCGTCCGTCAGTCTGTCCGTCTGTCCATCCGTCCATCAGTCAGTCAGTCATTAGGCTGTAAACTTTTTTGTGGTGATTCCGCTGACCAGTATAGTCCATGAGAGGGGCGACATTTGCCTGACCATTGTAAGCAAAATGGCTGTTAAGGTGACAATCTGGTCTTTGGCATTTGGAGTTCAACGAGTGCTCCCAAATTGATGGACTATTTTGTATGGTAAGGCTCTGCCCGGAAGGGGTTAATTTTTTCAGACTAGATAGATGAAAGGGTGGGGCTGTCATGACCTAAAGAATAGAGAAGGTAGGGAGAAACTGTTGTTTTTGAGAGACTTTCGTTAAGTAAATTCAACAGGTATAGGAAGGTGTAGAAAAGTGATGGATTAGGTACATAGGTATGTGAACGAAGTTCATGTACTATTTTCTAAGATAGGTTTGTGTATATGAGAGGGTAACTATTTCAGTCTCTAGAAAAATGTTATTTAAATGGATAAGGGTTTGGACCTCAGGGTAGAGCCAAGTTCTGGTGTAAAACTGATTGTAACCATAGTGTAACAGTTATATATAGTAAGTATTAACTTCATGAATTAATTGATGAGTTAATAATAAAGAGTCTGATCTCTGAACAGGCTAAATTCAACACTTTTGTTCTTAACTTGCGCAATGAATACTCCAACAAAGTCACCACTTTCCGACAAGTTATAACCATTCATCGCGAGGATTCATTCCGTACTAACACTTATTGGCAAGACACAGTGAAGGTAAAGCTCTCTTGTTGTTTAGAGATAAAGTTATGTGCACATACATTCCATACACCACATACAGTCTATGCGTAAATACAATAGTCATGTATTTAACACGTGAATGTTCAAGGCTATGAGCTAGATGTAGTTACTGGCAATAGCTGTTCATTCTGTAGCAATTTTTAGATTGTAACAGCAACACATTTTGTCAGAAACCTTTGGTCAAAGATGTTCAAATTATTGTTAGTAGTTGTTTTCCATAAATAAGTAGACTGTATCGATAAGATTGGGAAATTGTTGCTATTGAGAAATCTTAGAAAACTAGCAAATCAGAAACAATGAAAACAAAGAAGTGTCAATTTAACAACATTAGGATGCAAAAAACACTGTAATGCAATACTTGTGAATTGCCTGAAGTGCCTGGCTGTTACTCATTTATAATGCACCTGGGAGAAGAAAGTCACCATGAGAATACAGTCTTACCCAGGAACACTTGACAATATTACCCGGGATAGCACTCCAGCTTGAACTACTCTATCCAGAGTCTATTGTATCAACAGTTAATTACATTACCTCATTTCCCTTGATCGCATAACTTGATGTTGATCTGACTAGTAGGCTAAAATAGTTATGTGCAATTTCAATATTTTCAGAGCCTCCAAAACAAGAACCAGGTTCTGCTAAATGAAAAGCGACAACTTCTTATTAAAAACAGGGAAGAATTTGCCAAGCTTGAACAAGACAAGGTAAGTGCTTCCTTCATTTGAACTTTTTGGTGTCCACTTTTATGTTATAAATTTTGACACAAGAAATGATGTTGAAGGCTCAGTTGCCAAGATTACTTGATGTAAAGACACTCGCGCTCACTTGGGCTCACGGTTGGCTCAGGTAACGCTACAACTCAATAGTTGTTGATCAATTTCTCACACTTTTGACTCAAAAATGTCTTTTAATGTATGCAGCTACAGTACCATTCAATATCATTAAACCCCTTATCTCATTTCTTGCAAGACATGTCTGGTCTCTGAGCTCTCAAGATGGTTCTCATTTCTCTTGAGATGCAACTAGTTTCTGTCTAGAGTCATTGAAGTGTTTAGTATTGAATATATTACTCCAAGAAGCTAGGACATCTCAAAGACAACACTGCTACATGTACGTATCAACAAGAAGTCATCACCATTGAGAGTTGGCCAAGTGTGATCAGGACATCATGAAATGAATAGGCACAAAATTTGAGAGAACTGAAGAATTTAGTTTGTTAATGAGTATTTTTCCAATCTGTCACTGACGTTGCAGGTAACAGCCATGAGAGATTTAACCAGGATGCTGGATGAACGACATGCTAAATACACCTTGTGTAAGTCATATTTGATATATTGCTGTCTTCATAACATTATGTGATAAACACTAGACATCTACCAACATGTATTTTACAAATAATTAAATTGTCACAATTATATCAAATAAGAATTTTAGTTAATGCATATTGTGTTGTTTATTTTGTTTATATTTTGTTATATTAATTTTGTGTAATAATGTTGATGTAATTAAAATGTGCTTGGTTGCAGTGTTGGCAGATTTTAAAGGTGAACAAGAAAAAGTGAGAGAACTTGAGGAAAAGTTGAAAGCTTTAGAGAAACAAGGTTTGAAACAACAGGAACAGAATCAAACTTCCCATGAAGAAGAAATCCGAGCGTTAAAAGCAAAACATGAAGAGGAAGTTAATGAGTTAAAACAAAAGTTAGAACTTGTTGAAAAAGAAAAACAGGAGAAAGATGAAGTACATCAGAAGGAGTTAAAAGAAAAAGAAGAAGAGGAAACAAAGAAAATAAATGAGTTAACAGAGAAACACACAAGTGAAGTAAATACACTGAAGGCTGAAATTCAGAAACTTCAAGAAGAGATTGATGCTCTAAAGGCAGGGTAAGTTTATATGTTGTTTTGCAACCTTCAATCTACAGGAACCTGGCCTCAAGAGTCCTCGTGGGCCCGATGAGGATGAGTGAGTGAGTGAATCTACAGGAACAGTTTTTCAAAAAGTATGGATTTCTAGCTGACATCAATCATTTCATTGGAAAGCTATCAAAATGATGAAGTGTTCAAAATTCATTCTGTTAAACATGCACATGAATCCCGTGTGGGGGGTACTCTCAGAAAAATCGGGTGGTGGTGAGCGGCCCGTTTCCCAAAACCCTTACCCTATTTATGACCAAAATCGGTGATTTTCCCTACCCTATTTATGACCTGACCAAAAATATGATACCCTATATATGACCGTTGAGGCTGGCAAAGTTGCCCTAAACATAGTCTATGAAGGGCTTTTGTTGATGGTCTTATCATTATAGATGAAAAAAGTAGCTTTTTCTAGTAAAAACATACCCAATTCAAGACAGGAGTGCAATAACAATACCCTATTTATGACCAAAATGGCCAAAATCGATGCCTTATATATGACCAAAATGGCTGGAAAACCATACCCTTTTGGGGCCACACATACCTATGTAGCCCATACATTATAAGGGAGTACCCCTAGCCTGCGAGCAGGCTCACATTGGAGAAGCCGTGAGACGAGAAAGGGAGCCTGCTCTGATCTCTGCATATTTTTCATTTCCACCCCGGAAAACCGCAGAAAAAATAAGCCAACTAATTTTCACCAGAAGTATGAACTTTGGCAGCTCAGATTTCACTGGAAAATTGTAAATCTTGATTCATTTTAAACCTCCTTTCAAGTGTTATTTCCTGCTTGCTCTATAATTTGAAATTTAACCAGAAATAGACTGGAACTTTGTTAAAACACCAGTAATGTGCACACTCAACTCTTCCTCTGACTCCAAATTTATTATTGTGAGAATGTGCAGTAAATTACTGACTCCATGGGGCTCTTATTGCTCCTCATCAAACATAGTAGATTGACAGTTTTCTCACCTTTCCCACTTTTCGGCCAATGGTATTTTACTTCGCTCAGGCAAAGCAGAAATGAAAAAATTACAGAGATCAAGGCAGGCTCACTTTCTTGGCACCTCTTCACCAGACTCCTTCCCGCTGGATCGCTAAAAGCTTTTTATCGCTCGAGTGCGTGACTCAAAGGTGAGCCTGCTCACAGGCTAGAGTACCCCCTGGGACATGAATACACTGTTTCACCATTTTTGTCCAATTAACTTTATAAAGATATATGATGTCATCTGTATTTTTAGGTGGCTGGTTGAAATAAGTTGTTGACCCTGTGCTCTTTTGAACAACTTGTTAATCAATCAAAAAATGTTTTTTCAAACTCAACAATTTTTATCTTGGCACTGAGACCTTAAAAATGAATTATTTTTCATGATGTGCAAGTAATTTTTTGATCTTGAGATTTTGGGTTTGTTTTTAACAGTGGAGCAACAGTTGGAACAACTACTGTGATAACAACAACGGCAGTAACATCAGAAGCTGCTGAACCACAGACAACACTAATACCAAAAGAAGAGAGACAAGAAGAGGTGAAAGAACAACCAGAAGTAGTGGTTACAGAGCAAGTTGCTCCAGTAGCTGCTACTGCTGGTGCTGCTACTGTCACAGTGTTGGACAATGCTGAAAAGGAGCGGCTTACTCAAGAGATTGCAAAACTTCAAGAAGAGATAGAAAAGAACAAAACAGAAGCAGCCAAGAATAAAGAGGAACTTGAGAAAGAAAAAGAAAGGATCTTGAATCTGGAAGAGGAAGTCAGCCATCTTGGCAAGGAAAAAACAAGATTTGAAAAACAAGCAACAGACAATAAACAGGTTTTTGTTAGACATATATTGTACACTGCAGAGACCTAAATAACTACAATCACTCAAACTATTAGATAAACAAGGCTGCTACTCATTTAGCTCTGAAGAAGTTACCTGCTTGATTATAGTTTGTGCAACCAAAAAATTTAGTTGGCATACAATGTATTTGAATCTCAAGCATCACCTTTACATTAGAAAGAAACACGAAGGGCAAATGCTATCAATAATGTGTTTTTTACACACCAGGAGCTTCGTGAAACCAGACAGCAATGCACAGCTCTGCGAGAGCAGCTTCAGGGCTTGCTGGCTGCCACAGCAGCAGCAGGGCAGGTGGACGATAAAGAAACTGAGGACAAGCTGAAAGCTGCTGAGGATGAGAAGCAGGCTTTAGTGGATGAACAAAACAAGATGAAAGAAGAGTTTGAGAAGTGGAAAGAGCAATATCGACAAGATCACGAAGGGGAGGAACCAACTGAAGACGACAGGTTTGTGATGCTTGTTAACACTGTAACTTTATTGAATTCGATCTTGCAAGCGACATTAGACTGTAAACCATGATGAATACACTTGGACATTACATATAGCTTGAAGCCAGTGGCTATAGAGACAAGAATATGTTACTTTATAGTTTAGCAACTTTGTCTGGTATATAGGTTGGTAGGTACCATGCTACAGTATAAAAAGTGCAGATTTTAAATATCAGCGAAACCAGGTTCATCACTTAGAGTTTACCAGATGTAATGTTTCTTAGTTATTTAGTTTGTGATATCAGCAATGTTTTTTTGCACATGTACATTAAGCTCTCTATTTGACCACATAACAATGGCAACTGTATCAAATGAGTTGAGAAGTAAAGGAAGCAGTATAGAATGATATTATTAACAAATTATCAGACTGTACAAGTCATGTAGTTGTGACCACTCTCAATGCAAACTGTAGTTTGGCTGCTGTGGTTGGAGAACAATCTTATTGACTCTGCCAAGTGTTATAACGACTCTATAATAGTATTGTGTTTTCAAGCTGGTGAATAGGATCGATTTGGTACTCAGACCTTCATCTCTGTTGTAACTAACATTTGCTTGTTTGTGGTTTAGGAGTGAGGAAGTCCAAGCCATGATGGAGAAACTAAAGCAGGAGGAAGAGAAACTTAAAAAAGCTGAAAATACAATTGCCGTTATGACAATGCTGAAGGAAGGCACTGTTCCTGAAACTGTTTCCACTGCAGGTGAGCACTGACTTGTACTGCGGTGTTGCAAACATATGTTTTATCAGAAAACCATGACGCTTGCTTCATTTGTTTGCCACTTATTTTTAGGCATTGCTGATAGCAGTAGTAGGGTCGAAGAACTTGAAGAGAGAATCAGCCAGCTTGAGGCAGCTAGAGATGAACTGGAAGTATCAGTTGAGAAGTTAACAAAAGAAAAAGAAGCTCTGGAAGAGAAGGTCTCTGAACATGAGGAAAAAAACAAGGGGCTGACAGAGAAGAATGCAGAGCTAGAAGAGAAGGTTAAAGACCTGGAGAAGGAGGTTGAGGAGCTGAGAAATGAGTTGGATGAGATTGGAGATGGGGTTCCTGTGGTGTCTTCTTTTTCTAGTGATGGACAAGATGTAGAGGTATGGAGAAGATTTAACCTCATAAGTCTCAGACTTGGTATAGAAATTCTCCCGACTGAATGGCATACATTTCTTGTAATGGTAGTTCTGGGAATTTGGTTGTGCATCAAGACAGTATCCCCAAGTTGATTGCACTGTTTATTCTTATCACCTGTTTGACAATGTGTTGATTTTGAAAGGAGAAATAAGGTCTTTTTTATGAAATTTATAAAATGATAGTGAAGAGCCTACGGATACTGAGTGAAAAGCTTTTTACACCATGATCGGATGGCAGATCAAATCACAAGCAGCTAGTTAATGTTACAGGGTCCAGTTTACCCATCTTAAATCTTATTGGTTTTATGTCACAACACAGTAACATGTATTCATTTATACTTCAGGGAATGTCAAGCAAGCTTGCTGAATTAGAAGAAGAATTGGCAAAAGCAACTAGTGACTTAGAGCAAGAAAAGGCTACAACATCAGCTCAAATAGAAGAGATTGAGGCACTCAAGAAGGTTTGTAATACTATTTATACTTGTAGAACAGATTTTTTTTATTACATGGTGTAGTTACATTGACAATGATATTTATGGTAAGCTGGCAGTGGCATCATCAAGTGTGATTATTTCACTGTTGGAGTTTTCTGAATTTTGGTGGTGGAGTCTCTCAGAATACATGTAGGAAAGCTCAAATCAATTTTCAAAATGGTCTTGCTTTGATTTAGCAAATTTTAGATCTCATCAATTTTTGACCACTGTATTGGAAGGAATATCGATCTCTGAACCTTAAACTGTTTAGGGCTTGACTTTGTCTAGATTAACTGCCAGGCAATACTATGAGGTAGCAAGTGAATGTAACATCATAGACTAGAACATACTGTACTTGGCCAAAGGACTAAGTAACGTTGTGCCTGTAAGAGACACAGTCATATGATTGTATTTCTGTGTAGTAGTATAGTTTTGTTTTTAGCTTTAGGATGCTCAGCATTACCATTTTTTTTAGGAGCTGGCAAGTTTAAAAGAAGGGTCTTCTGGTGAAGTGGATGAATTAAGAGTACAGCTAGCATCCACAAAGGAAATTTTAGAAGCTGACATGAAACAAAAAGAAGAAGTATGTAGTACTTTAACTATATTTATACATGTAGCTGGTGGTTTTAATGTAAAAGAACTTAAACTTTTTATTTTATAACAACAGGGTCTATTTGGCATGTGTCTCTTTCAGTACTTATCCAGATTTGAATTTAGTCCTGGTGTGCAATTCTGCTTTGTTAAAATCAATGTTTGCTGATGTTTAATACTCGTGATTTATTTTACTTAGGCTCTTGCAGAGGCAAAGAAGAGAATTGAAGAACTAGAGAGGAAGCTCTTAGAAAATGTTCCCATTGACACAGCCAAAGAAATTGGTGCTTATCAGGAGAAAATGGTAAGTGTACAATTTTTGTTAGTTTAAGGTTTGACTAATAAAACAGACTCAGTGATCAACATTAGTGTAACCTATGCTAATGGCAAAGGCAGACACTTCCACTGGTGCTGGTAATTTTGTGTTCAATAACTAAGACTTGCCTTAAATATTCTTTCAATTGGTAAGGCTGTTCTTGAAAAGGACAAAGAAAAAGCTGTGAAGGAAAGTGTGACACTCAAGGCATCAGTGACAACCCTAACAGCTAAAGTGGAAACATTGAACAAGAATATTGCACAACAGAAAGAGACAGAAAAGCAGTTGCAGGTCAGTAAAACTGTAACATTTGCTGCTTCTTGAATCACTTTAATGCAAGCAGTGCACTTACTACCACAATGTTTAAAATTCTGTCAGTCTCTTCCCTATTGTTTAGTAAAATCTTACTGTTTGTACTACTGGTAAACCTACTCTACAGTTACCAGCTGAATGGATTAGGTTGACAAGACAACTTATTCAACTTATTTGCTTTCATTACACAAAACTGAATGACTGGTTTCCTAACTCTAATTAATGTAGTGTATTAGCTGACTGACTGACTGACTGACTGAATGACAAATCGACTGACCATTGAACAGATGGAACGAGCTAACTAGGAATTAAGCAATTGAACAAGCAGGCAAACAAGCAGCTAGAAAGCGACCATTTGATCATCTGATGAACTGACTGAGTGACCCACATACTGAGCAACTGACCCACCATCTTACCCACTGAGGGACCAGACTTGTGGAGTGACCTGCTGACAAAATGCCCCACCCACCAACCATTCAGAAAGAAAATGATCAAGTTACTGACTAACCAAGTGATTGTTTGAGTGACTGATTGACTGACTGAATGACTTAGCTTAATACTGGTAGTAACATGTACTTGGACTGCATAAAATTGTTCTGGTAAATTTGATAATAAAAAGCAAAATCATAATAAGCACTTCTGTACTTCATCATACTATGTTTTGTAGTTCAAGTAATCCCCTCTTCCCTATATTTGCAACAGGATGCAAACAAAAAGATACGTGCTGACAGGGTAAAAGAACTGAAGGATGCCAAAGACCAGGCTGAAGCAAAATCCAAGAAACAAATAGACGAAAACAACAAGAAAATACAAGCTCTTCAGAAGAGGGTTTGTGACAAAAGTTTATAATGTTAAAATGAAATGTTAAAATGTTAAATGAACTATTTCACTTCTTAGCTCACAATTCAAATTTCCCTTGCTGATTACGTTATATTTTACTGAACGTAAATTTGTTCTGAGAATTTGTTGGCAGAGCAAGACAGAATTTATTCTTTATTTTCATCACCTGTCTTCCTGATATTGTATTGATATTGTAAAGGGGTGTTTCTAAGGGGTGTTTCTAAGGGGTGTGTCTAAGGGGTGTTTCTTTATAGAATTGAAAAATACTTCTACCCTTTGTTCTGCTAGTTTACTAATTGGTTATGATTATTAAAAGCTGTGCCATTCTCAATAGCCCAGATTCTGCATTTTGATTTTTCACTTACAATATTGTTTACTTCCCAGTGGCATTGCCAATTTTCTTGTTTAGTACTTTTTTCATATATTTATTGTTGGCATGCAAAAAGAGGAGTGCTGAATTGATTTCTTTATTTTTGTTGCAGATTAAAGAACTTGAAGCAGGTGGAACAAAACCTCAAGATTCAAAGATTGATACTGGTTTAGGTGCCAAAAGAAAGGTAACTTAATGCTTGACACTGTTTATGAGTTGTTTTGGTTAATTAGTAAAGGGCACATATTCTCCTTGAGAGTAGTGATTCCTGCTGTATGCTGTAGTTTGTGGCAAAAAAGTCAATTTGATGTCTGTCTGTCTATAACTACCACTGTAGCAAATTTTGGCCATTTAAGGTATGGTTGTTTTCATGTGATAGAAACAGGCAGGATTCTTTTCTTCTTTCATGAAAGGACTCAAGAGCAGCTGCTGACTTAGAAAAAGTAAGCAAAGAAAAGGAGAAACTACAGGCACAAGTTGAAGCATTGAAGAAGGCTGCACATGTAAGGCGTCTGTTACACAAGCAGTAAACAAATCTTTTTGTTATTTTCTGTATCTCTTTTTTTTTGCCCCTTACTTTCTTTCTGTTGTTCCCTCTCCCTGCCTTCCTTCCCTCCCTCCACTCTCTCTCCTTTCTTTCTGATGTTTGAACATAATGTTTTTCCCCAATTCGCATGTGCTGTCACTCATTTCCATTTTTTCCTTTCCATTTTTTTCCTTTCCAATGTTGTGTGCACCTATCTTATCTCTTTCCTTTCCTGTTCTTCTTTCTGTAAGTCAGTACATGCTTTGCATCTTTTCTCATCATGTAGCGTATAAAGCAGGTGTAATTCACTCTTTATCATCTGTGTTCTCTCTTAGGAGGATCACAGTAAAATCAAACAGCTTGAAAAAGATGTTAAGGAAGCTCAGTCAAAGGCCAAGCCAGCTGGTCCTTCTGCTGAAGAGGTATGTGTTGCAATTATTCTGCTTGTTTTCAAAGTTACCTTCTCCCTGTTACAACACCAGTTTTACATTGTTTCCTGACAATTACTGTGTCCCCAAATTAATTTGTAATAGAGAGCTGCTGCCAAGAAGCAGGACAAGCAACTTAAAGGTGTGTAAACTCCTTTTCTTCTTTTATCCTTGTTGCTGCATGCATGTCATGTCTTTTTTTTTATGCAAACTTTTCAGGTGAACATTGAGGTACTTGTTTAAAATGGCAACCCTCAAATTGTTTTTCAATCTATTGTAGACTTGCAGAAAAACCTGGACACGGAGAAAAGGAAGTTTGAGAAAGTTAAAGAAACTCTAACTAAAACTGAAGAAGAGTTGAAAGATCTCAAGAAGGTTTGTTCTTTTTGTTTTTCCGTTTGCTAGGTAACCCTTTAAGCCAAAATGTCAGCATAGAAATTCTTCTGACAGCCCTCCATACACTTTTTACAACAGTAATTGGGAGAATTTGTTTAAATATCAGCTAAATTATGTTTTTGCGAAAAACGTTTTATATTTCTGAACTTTTTAATTGGGGAAAAGTAGTTTTTCATATTTCTTTAACCATTTGGGAGCAAAGTGTAAAACCAATGGTGACTTAATTCACACTTGCTTTCCAGCACTTGGCAATATTCCATATTTTGGCTTTTATTCCTGATTGATTCTTTGTGTCATTTAATTGACAGTGATTGTCAAGGTTTTAGTAATGACAGTCAGTCACTAAATTGATGTTTAACTTTCTTATAATTTATTTCCGGTAGGAACACGATGCTCTTGTAGCAGATAGCAGAAAAGACAAGGATACTCTCTCTAAATTGGAAGTGGCTGCTCAGGTAGATTGATCAATCGATCATAATTCTGGGACATTTTTTAATTTATGACTTTGACAATACCTTCAATATCAAAAACAGATTATTGAAGGTATTGCTTTAATCTTCAGTCCCAGTTCAACCCTAATATTTCCTTCCATATTCCCATAGATTTATTTTAACGTTGCTTCTGAGAATTCAGTGTTACATCAAGATAATACACCATAAAGTTCTGAATGACGACTTGAAAGTACCAACAAAGTTTACCATTGTCTGGAAACTGCAAATTTGGGAAGATTGACTTTCATCCATTCTGTCTCCAAAATTGCTGGAATTTTTCAGTAAACAAAACTATAACAAGCGTGTGTTTTTTTCTACCTGTTGTTTACGTTTGAAAAAAAAACTAAGTGATGCAAGACCACGACAGGGCTTGTGATGTTTCAACATTCCATTTTGTGTGCCATTTGTGTGTGTAGGTGTTCACATTTCACATACATATACGGTTCATGTTCTAGCTAGCCAAAGGTCGATTTTTTTTTCCTTTTTATCATGATTGGTTCTTGATGATTAATTGACTTGTAAGTAGTTGTTGGATGTAATATATCTGATCTTGTTGTTTTGACTTTTGTGTCGGAAACAGGAAGGCCTTGCTGCTCAAGAGAAGGTGGATGATCTGACCAAAGAAGTGAAGGCTCTTAGAGAAGAGAACAAAAGTCTTTCAGATAATTACAACAGTGAAAGAGTAAGTACCGTGGCCCGATATTTTGTTCTAGGTGCCCATTCCTACAAGGATGTCCAACCAATAAATAAGTACTTAATTTACAGAACATACTTTATGACATTAGTTGTGTCATTATTTTATGTCAAATTAACTTATAATCATGTAAATGTTCACAAGTTTGTCAATGTAGATGTCTACAAGCGCAGAAGCTGGGAGTCGGGGCAGGGGGTGGTAGGTCATTACCCTACACTAGTTTTTGGCAATGCATGAATATAACCCTGATAAGCATATGAACATAATTTTAAAAAACTATCACGACAAAGGGTGAATCATCTTTCATACATGGTAAAATAGATAAAGGTCTGCATACGAGCCAAGTGGCCCATCAGTGGTTTCTGTACATGAAGCAACTAGGAGTATTTCTACTCCCCCCTGTATGTGATGCTAGTATATCGCAGGGCATTAAGTTTGTTGGTACTTATTTATACACCTTGCGTTGTGTTCTTGTGTCCCAGAACACAATTCAGTGGCTTGGGTGTGGGATCAAACCCAGACTGCTGGATCCAGAGTCCAGCATGTTAACCATTCTACACCACTGCACCTTCACAGTGATGTTGATGACAACCAGTAAATTCATCTTTTAATCTTTTCCTCCTCTGCAATAGATTTTGCGTAAGAAGTATTACAACATGGTAGAAGATATGAAAGGCAAGATCAGGGTGTACTGCAGGGCCAGGCCTCTAAGTGGATCAGAGAAAGAAAGGGTAAGATTTGGAATGTTGTATCCAATAGTGCAGTACACTGCTAGGGATTTTGTTCTGATATGGGAAGGTCTTGGAATCGACATAATTTTAAATACTGGACTCTAAAGATGTGGGATATGTCTTAGCCGTTCATGTCACTCTACAGCTGTGAAAACCTCTTTGATTCATTGTCATTCATACAGCGTGGTTTATCGTATGCTGTGTGAGATGGTCATAAGACTTACGACTATTACTTATGTACATGAAACCCTTGTGTGTTCTTTGAAGTGAAAGCTTTTGAGCAGTACTTTCATGTGGTACTGTTTATTGTGCTGTACGAGGTAGGTCTAACTTTTTAAGTCCGTTGATGAAACCCCAGTGTGTGACAATTCAAATGAAAGCTATTGAACAGGACTTTCATATGGTACTGTTTATTATGCTGTACAATGTGGTCCTTATTTTCAAATCTGTGGATGAAAACTTATTGTATGACCATTCAAATGAAAGCTACTGGGCAGTTCTTGCTTTTAAGTCTCCTTTTAGGTATTTAAAATCAATGATTCTTTTGATCTTTTTTCTCTGTTCAGGGTAATTATTCAGTGATCAAGTCTCCAGATGAGTACACTGTTGTGGTGGAAACACCTCGTGGTCCAAAGGACTTTCAATATGATCAAGTGTTCACTCCTGATCATGGGCAGGAGAAAGTCTTTGAGGACACCAATGTAAGTACCACAGTTAGCATACAAATGTTCTGTTTGAGAGTATGATCAGTTTATCTATTCTCAATACGTGCCCAACTTTTTACTGAAAATTAGAACCAGATTTTCGCGGAAATAAAACAGCCTGGAGTAATGTTTCCCCTCTTATCTATCCCTAATCCCAGTGGTGGTTCCAGATCCGTTATGGTATGTTTCGTCTGATAATCTTACTCTTAAATAAGGACAGTTTTGCATTGGAGTTTCTCGTCACATCATCAGAAAAGCGGCAAGCAAACCTGTAACTTCACTTAAGCCTCACCTGTGTTAATCACTTGTTTTTGTTTTTTGTTTGCTTTTTTTTTTGCTTTCTCAGAATCTTATCCAATCAGCTGTGGATGGTTACAATGTGTGCATCTTTGCTTATGGGCAAACAGGCTCTGGCAAAACATATCCTTTAAACTGGAAAATGAACCAATGAAACTTTGCGTTTTTCGCCCCTTCCTTCGTTCTTCTCTTAATGTTATCCTACCATTCTGGAAATCTCTGGCATGTCCCCTCCTTTTTGACCATTTTCTTTCTCCGCAACAATATTTTTTACGCATTTAATGAATCGCGCAACAGCCTGCAAGTACAAACTGAAACTGGAAGGAGATATGAATTTTTTCCTTAACGTTGCTTAATTACACGATGATTGGAGACAAGGAACTGAAATCGCCCGGCATTGCTCCACGCGCTATGACAGCCATCTTTAGTTTGATGGATGAACAAAAGTGAGTTTGAATTATATTTGTAGAGTAGCTAGGCTTCACTTTATTCTGTTCACGTATGAGGTTTGCACGACGCGTGGTTCTGGCAAAACCGAAAGCACTAAACGCGGGAGGAACTAAAGTTACTCAGACGTGTGCATGGCGCATGAAGCGGGATCACGCGCGTGAAACATGAGCTGTTTTCTTTCTTTCTCCTGAATGCTAATAAAGAAATATAGCGGTCCACATGGAAATTTCCTTCCATCAGTCGTAGCCTTTTTGGTATTTACGCTAACCGGTGCGTAAAAGTAATGCTTAGCTAGCGTACTAAACGTCAAGTTTTGTTTTGTCTTTTTTTTTATCACCGCAGTGTGCCTTTTATTTCTACTGAAGTTGACATGGCCTAATAAAAATAAGAGTGTTTACTATTTAGCTAAGCGCCTCCACAAACTAGACGTTTAGTTGTCGACAACTGAATGTTATCGATAACTCAAAAACGTAATATGTGAGATGAGTTGTCGACAACTTAAGGCTAAATGTTTAGTTGTAGACAATTAAGCAGTTTCCCTTTTCGAAAAAGGAAACTGCTTAATTGTCCGCAACTAAATGTCCAGTCTTTGGATGCCCTTAGGCGACAAACTTTGGCTGAGAATACTTAGGAAATTGAGAATGTGAAAGGAGATGAAGGGATCTTTCGCTTTTGGCGTCGTAAAGCTTCCTCGCGTCAAAACCAATGATGTCTTAGGGAAGAACTTGCATAACAAGTGCGGTTTATTTTATGGAAATTAAGGGGAAAAGTCTAAAACTTTAAAAACATGATTTCTTTTACCCCTGTATTCAGAAGTAGGCTCAAAGAGCTCTTTGATTCTAACTGCTGTATTTACTTCTGTTTTCAGGTCCAAATTCTCCTTTAGAGTTCACTGTTACATGTTGGAGTTGTATAATGACAGACTTATTGATTTATTGGCTCCACATGGAAAAGATGTATCCTTTTTTACATTCTAATTGTAAATGTTATGCATAAGCTGTTTTCTACTCTTTTTGTGAGTTGTTTTCACCTCCTGGATTTTTCTCAAGTGAACATTCCTTAACTTTCCTAAGCCTGCGAAACTTGACATCAAAAAAGACAAAAAGGTAATTTACCTACTATTCTTCAAATTTTCTTTTGGAGATGATCTAAATTGTAATTAAAAAGCCAAGTTGTAACTTTGGTCTTGATATATCCACGTTAAAAACTGTTGTCAGTCTTGAACCAAGAAGCTGCTTCAAAATTCAAAATGGCGGTCATTGAACCTTGCTGATATTTCGTGTCGTTGTATTGTTTCAGGGTTTCGTGTTCGTCCAGGGATCTGTAATGATGGAGGCAGCGACCAAGGATGAACTTTGGGAAATATTTGAAAAGGGCTCGGAAAACAGACACGTTGCCTCGACGAGTAAGGAAGAAAACTAATTTCCACAATGTGGCAAAAATACAGAAAGTCAATCAAGAGCTACTTATTGTCTTAATACACCATCAAATTGTTTGGAACTAAGATTAGAAGACACATGGAATTCATATTTTTTCCTTCTTTTACTAGTAAAATGAATGCTTGTCAGGCTCTCTGGGTAGCTCATCTGCCCTCAAACTAATTGGGCTGTTTTGTTTTTCTGTGCTTTGTGTATCTCATCACTATTCATAAAACCAAATGGGATTTTCTGTTTTCAGAAATGAATGCCGAGAGCTCGCGGTCTCATCTTATTCTTGGAATTGTTATCGAAAGTACCAATTTAACTTCTGGTGCCGTAGTGAAAGGCAAGGTGAGTAAGACCAATTCCAGTTAGTGTGACTCGACTGAGAGATTTTCGTTTTTGACAAAGTGGGTGCTGAAGATCTATTGTAGCTACTCTTTGATCGGTCTTAAACGAAGGAACATAGCTTAATATTGGCTAGAATTAGAGGTAAAAATCGGTTCGAAATAATAGTCATTTTAGCGACCAACTTCTAAATTCTGCCCTCCGTAAATTCTTCTGGTCCAGCAATCACATGCAGTGTGTTCCAACCAATCAGAATGAAGGTGCCTCTTTCCGACCAATCAGGTGAAAAACCACCCTACTTACGGAACCTTTTCCGAACTTGGCAGCCGCCATATTTCCCCGCACTTGCAACCTGTGACGTTTTTTTCCCGCGCTTGTTATTGTTTATTTGTTTTTCGTTCTTTGATTAAGTGACTCCAATTGTTTGTGTGAGTTGAGATTGATTGTGGGCATGAAGACTGAAGCTTTGTGTTTTGTTTCAGATAAGTTTGGTCGATTTGGCAGGCTCTGAACGTGCTGCTAAAACTGGTGCAACCGCTGAACAACTTAAGGTGATTGAATTTACCTCGCATCCTCTCGCCTTCTTTACTGTAAATTTGATAAATGCACCGCCCATCTCTTCCGTTCACCAACCTTACCCATCCATGCTGTTTTCCGGCTTATTGCAACTCCTTTTAAGCTCATTTTGCTTTTCAACGCCGTTTGACAATCCTCCATTCGTAGCTCTTTCGGTTTATTTTGCTTGTTTCTTGTGTTTCACAGGAAGCCCAATCCATCAATAAGAGTTTGAGTGCCTTGGGAGACGTGATCTCGGCTCTGTCTAGCGAACAGCAGTTCATTCCGTACAGGAATAACAAGTTAACTATGCTTATGCAGGACTCGCTTGGTAAGAGGCCCGGTAAAATAGTTTTCGAAATGGTTGGTGTCCTTAGTGTCAGAAAATTACAATTAAAAGATCGTCCAAGTAGGCGTAAGTATTCAGTATTTTAGAATCTTGTGCTTGCGCAAAACAGGCGTTTTATTTTATGTTATACTTTGGTTTGATTTCAGGTGGTAACGCAAAAACTCTTATGTTTGTGAACATTTCACCAGCGGACTATAACACAGATGAAACCGTGACGTCGCTTACGTGAGTCGTAATATCAAAATCTGAATTCTCTTCGCTACTGCTCACTCATTTGCCACCATTCTCTCAGGAGAATTTGATTCTAAGTCAAGTATTCTGTGCTGAGAGGATGAAGTGTTTAACTTTCAATGTCTACCTTATGATATTTGTTAGCTGCTGTCAACTGTCTACGAGGAACTTGTTTGGTAACTACCTGCAGTGCTGTGAGACAAGTTGTGCTAAGTTCTGTTTCCGTCGTGGATCTCAGTAAAGAGACTATCTACAGGCAGGATGGGCTCCTGCTACAGGCTACGTTGACCTAAAATCTACTGCTCAATTAACGACCGATGTTATTATTAACCAGTGTCTTGCTTTATCTTCACAGGTACGCGTCTCGAGTGAAACTCATCACTAACGATGCTCAGAAGAACTCGGAAAACAAAGAAATCAACAGATTAAAGGCGGTAAGTAGCTGACGTTCCCGTGAAATGTTCACTTGGGTATTTTTTCACCTAACTCCTTTTTCGCTTTTATCGTAGATTATCGCCAAGCTGAAGAAAGGAGAATCAGTGGATGATGCTGATATTGAAGAATAATCTTGCCGGTAAAATTTGTAACATAATTTTGGTTGTGGAATACCGAGAACGTGATTGGAATAACAGGAAATTCCAGATATCTCCAAGATTGAACGCTAATGAGATTCAAATTCCTTATGATAAACATCACAAAGTGTCCTCATTGGTAACAAGTCACCGAAAACACACACAGTTCTGACAAACATGAAGTAATATGAAAATGTCAAATAACCCTGCCAAATATGAAATACTATTAAACAATACTTGCGTTCAATCCTGGCCATGAGTGGGAAATTCTGTACCTTATTCTGTAAAGGCCTCAATATTAGGGCCTTGCCTTATTATGAAGGGTTCGGTATTATTACAGCAGCCCCGTATCTGGGCTGGTCTATTCTAGAGAATCCCTTACAGATAGTTCATTACAGAGATCCCATATCAAGGTCTCTCATCAGTTAACCCGTTATTGGCGTAATCTACTGTACGGCCAGCTACAATTTGACAGCTATTGTACTTTCGTCAAAACGTCACGTGATTTCTCGCCATAAGTAAGTAAGTAACTTTATTTCAACTCGGGTTGATGAACCATGTTTTCTGAAAGTTCAGGTAAATTTAATAATAAGCACTTGTATTTCTCTTTCCATTCTTCTACAGGGACTGAGGTGCGGACTCACTTTCCTTGGGAATTTCAGAACTGCTGAAGACTATCCGGAGTGCAATAGTTCTGCCTCCAAGTGGCATGAAATTAAGCGCTGATTCTGTGTTAGATATTTTCTTGGCAGGATTTTTTAATCGTAGAGACTGTAAATAGTTTTTGTACAAAACGTAGAACGTTTCCAAAGATGCGCTATTTTTTTTACGAACTGTATAAAGAGTTTCATACTATTTAATATTTATTTTTTGGCGTTTATCAAGCTGACGTTATCTATCCAACGTCTTAACATAAGAATTGCTGGAAACTTTAAAGATGTCTGAAATTAGACTTCTCAAATCGTGGAGGAAAAGTAATACTGAGTTCACATGCCAACTGGAATTAACTCTAGTTTTTTCGATGCGACTCTTCAGCGACTGAAATAGTCAACTTTTATATACCAAAAGCACAGTACTCTTGATAATTTCTCAGCATTGCGCAAGTTCTAGGGTTGCTAGTGTCACGCGATGGAACTTCAGTCGAATTTTGCATCAAGACTGCTGCCATCAGTTCACCTTAATTCTACGTCTTTCTTAGCTAAAGCTGTTAACTGGATCACCCGATAATTGTAGTTTCAGAATGTAGTTCCAGATCAAAATCACTTGCCTAAGAGAATCCTCTTTTTCCCTTATCGCGTAATTGCGTGACCATCCTAAGACAGATTCGCGCATGAAAGACTGTTTCGTAGGTTTCTGAGTCGTGTATTACTAGACTCTTATTAATGTACTAAAACTGACTAAACCATGACTTCAAATAGTATTTAAACGTGATCAAAGTGATCACGGTTCCCTTATCACCCTCATAGTTCAAATACTGATAAGTACACACCTTACTAATTAAAGGTTAGAATTTACCGGCATGTTAAGTGATTAAAGCATGTCGGAAATATTTATTAATGCGAAAGGTATGTAACTCACACGTACGCTAACATGCCAATAAATCTGATATTTTGATTAGCTCTCCGCGACACATTTCTTTGTATTTTAGTATCTTCTCGTACAAAAAAGAAACAGGACATGAATAAACTTTATCAATTCTCAATTTCATATTTACCAAACTTTCGTAGAACCTAAATTTGTTAACACAGGCAGTTGTGTAATAATGACCCGTTATTTCCCCTGTGACGTGTTGACGTCACATTTATCAACCACAAGTATTCAACTACCGAATTTAATGATATAAAATCCGTGCGACTACCTTATCGCACAATCAGTCATAAATTTGGTTCCCTCTCAGTTTAATGGGGAAATATTGCAGACCGTCATAATTTCTGTCAAAGCGTGACAGCTATGGATCATTGCGTGACCTGAGCAGACTGGCACAGGCATAAATTAACCTTTTTCGAAGTAGCTCGAAGTAATTTTTTTCCCGTTGTGAATGCCTTGTTAGAGATGAAAAAAATTATTTTTATATATTGCAGGATCGAGCATGTTAACTTGTTATCGCAAAAACATAAATTTGTCTTGCTTCAATGAGAAAAGCCGTATTTAAAACACGTTTCACGCGAATTTTTTTGCTATAAAAAGTTCCGTATCAGAAATGGTCTGAAATATCTTCATTGCACTTGTTGTTCAGTATGTACTCTAACTAAAAATGTGGGTTTTACGATTGCAGCAACCTTCAGATAAACGTGTTGAGTACACATCCAACTTATATATGTAGTTTTTTTCGTGTTTCGGGCTGTAAAATAGTCTGAATAGTCGGGGTAAAGGGAAGAGACGGCTGAAATTCAGATTAGCTGTAAAACCATTTTATAATTTTATGCCAATTTTTCCAAAGCTCTCATTCCATATATGGAATGGCACGCAACCGGCTTAGAATTTTGGGAATCTGGGCGTCAATCGATTTCCTTTTAGTCCATCGCTTGTCTTTCGAAGGCTGCACACTGTTAGCAGTTTTATATTGGTTTTGGTCCAGTAATTTCAAACAAACAACATGGAACAGATCAAGAAGAAGATGGCCGTTCTTCGTGAAAGTCTTGCCGAGGCAGAAGGTCGGGCTGACAAGGCAGAAGCAGAATTGAAAGAGGCAAATGAAAGAGCGTCAAACGTGAGTCCATGTTTTAATTGTAGTGGTCTTTGTTTTGTATTGGATTGTAACCTCTTGCTGCGGCTTGCTACCATGTAGTCGAATTTCAAAGAATTGCTGGATAGCTAGAAGTTCGGTTTACACAGTAAAATAGACTGCTTTCCGGGGAAATTATACTTGTGTCGTGAAGGTTTTTACAATGTGCATTTAGCCCAAGAACAAAAATATGGCTGAAATTCCTTCGGTTACCGTGTTCAATTGGTAAACGCAAAATAGATCATATTTGTGCACCCGATCTGGCATTTTTGCAGGATATCTACCGCTATGTCGCTAGCTTATCTGTTTACAAATGATACTTTTAAACTTTAAGAGGGCTTTTTCATATGATGTCTACCATGAGGTAAGGTCAAACGTGAATTACAATGATGCTCCGGTTGAATTGTTTTGCCTCTTTCATACTTGGAAAAAACCGTCATTGCATTGAGTGTTCTTGAACATTTATTATAGTAAATCGGTCAAACTCTAGAGAAGAGTTATATCTGGTAATAAGTTTGAGGCTATCTATGGTATTGTCCAAGAAACCTTGCTCGGAGAAGTAAGACATGCAAGTCTAATCGTTGGCAGTATCACATAACCATTAAGGTTGATTCCATTAACCCTCAGCTCTCGCAAAAATTAGGTATGCCACAATCGCAAGAACACCAAGAAGTGAAGTTCTACGTTTTATCGTAGTATAATCAACTGGTGTATAGAGGAAAAAGTCATATTAGTCAACCTTTGTCCACCTTGTTTGTGGGAAAACAGTGAGTCATTCAGCATAGGTCATATTTCTCTCTGCAAATATTGATAAGCTTATCAAAGAGAGGCTATTGAAATTATGCCTTATAAATGATTTGATCAAGTTTCATGCTCTGTATCGTGGTATTAAAAACTCAACTTTGACAAATGAGTCAAGTTCAAAGGTGATTTTATAGTTTAAGTTGTTATTATTTTCTGTTTTACAAAATTAGTATGTCACCTTTCCAGCCTTAACATCCAGGTTGTTCTGCCCTCTATATTTCTCAGACAATATTCCCATTTTTACCCCTGCAAGGTATTGGCCAAGAGGCTAAAAAAACCTGAGGAGATATCCTAGTAGTCCCGGAGGGAATAAGGAGTTAAATGGCATGTGAAATTTATTGAAAATGGATTTGTATACAGAATGAATCTCAGTTGAACAGTAAGAAGGGTTGTCAAAAGTAGCTTGCAGCCCGCTACCTACTTCATGATTTTGGCCAGCCACTCTGCTGGTCTGTTTGTCTGATTCCTCTGAGTGAGGCAGCCAAGGCAGTCTCTAGTAAAATGTTGCAGAAGGTGGGCTTGGCAAGATGAGAATATTTGTTGTTCTTGTTCCTCTTTTGAAGCTTATGATGTGTTGTTGTTTTGTTTTGAGAAGAAATCAGCCAGAAGTTTGAGTACTTAACAAGTGGACAACAAATTTGTACCAAGATTATTTACATCATTTTGCAAACTTCTGTGCAACTGTTTTAAATATTTTCTCAATAAAACATTTCTAACAACACCAAACGTCGAAAATATAGTTTGCAGTTCATGTGAAACACTTGAAGGTATCAGTGAAATGTGATGGAAGGTATCAGTAAAACTGATGATGAAATTTTATCTGTGTTTGGACAATTTTTCTGAACTGTGAAATTTATTTTCGCGAGTTTCCATGGGAAATTGTTTCTTGTGTTATTCCAGGCAACTATTAATATCTTTAGCTTTAAGAAAATGTAAAAAGGACTGTAAAATACCTAAAATTCTGCTGGTACAAGGTTTTTGTCCACTAAAAGCCGAAATTGCTTGATTTGGAATTTTGTCTTAAGTTATTTCTTTTGAATGTTAATCAGGCTTAGAAAACGAAAAAATTGAGAGCATTGGACTTGAAAGAAAAACAATCCAAACTTGAGTTTTTGGACAAAGTAATTGCCAGACTCACAGATAAATCCGGTTATTCAGACTCGATCTACAGCTTAGAAAGCAACATACTGACTCGATTGCCAACCAGAAGTAAAGAGAGCAGTAATCTTTGCAGCTTGTACAGTGGAAATCATTGCCTTATTTTCCAGGTATAACCTTGTTGCAGAATAGCTCCATTGTTTAGTTTGTATGTCAAACCACTGAGAAAGTTCACCTATTAGTGTACATAGGACTGACAGTAATAAAACTAGTTCAAGTAATTTGATGCTCTTTGACCATTCCTCTAACATCCAGGTGTTTTTTTATTGTTATTATTTCACAGCAAAATTGTAAGAAATATATCAAGTGATGCACTTTTTAAGTGACACAACTTGAAATGGACCAATCAGAGAGTCTTTGTCTTAGTTATATCATACAACAAAACTGCTGTAGTACTTAGTATTGTTGAACTATTCATATTTAGGCTGAAACAGAAGTTTCTTCCTTGACCAAAGAGTTGCAGCAAATCGAAGATGAACTTGACGCTGCAGAATCCCGCTTAGGTTCGATAACAGAACAACTGAAAACAGCAGAGGCCCAGGCAGATGAAAGTGAAAGGTGAGAATTACAGTTTTGCTACTAGGCATGCTCATTTTTACTCACATTATATGATTGAGAGCCATTACTTACAGCTGTATATATCTACTTGCATATCTCACAACCACATTGGTGGAAGTAGTGTTGTTTACCAGTGATTATATTCGGTGTTAGGTGGTTAAACTTTGTGTTAGCAGCAGTAAATTTTACTTGCTACCTCCTGTCAAAGAGCTAAGAGTGCACTGTGTTTGGATAGTTTCTGAAACAAAGCATTATACTTCATTCAAAGAAGCTTTTGGCATACATTACACTAAACTACAACCAAGCCTGGTTTAGAAGCAAGAACTAGCACTTATAAGATAAATGTACCAGTCTATCCATGACCAGTTGCAAGTAAAACCTTTTGTAATTGTTTAATATGATTTTTCTTTCAGAGTAAGGAAGGTCCTGGAGAACAGGGGAATGGCTGATGAGGAACGAGTAAGGGATCATTCTCATTTCATTTCCACTTATGTATCTAGGTGTTGTTCAGAAAGGTTGTGATACATGTAGAATGTGTGCACATGCATTTTAAGTGAAATAGAGCTGTTCACTGTGGCTTATTCGCTGTACACTGTAGGTACAGGTCAACATGGTTTCCACTGCCAGCTTTTGAATTTGGCCTTTTAGAGTTTGATGCCTTGGTAGTGTAGATATGTAGATATGTCTTGCTCATTTCTAATTAAAGATGTTTATCAAGATATAGACAGAAGGAGATATATACAGTCAAACAGGCGTTAAGCGGCCACCCTCAGTCTAGCTAGTCTCAAAATTATTGCTAGTAAATTACTGTAGACAAAACTCCTATTAACTGGCCACTGCTTCTAAGTGGGATTTAGTGAATCAAGAAAATAGTGATATGTAATAGTGATATGTGCAACAGTAGTCACAAGCCTTCAGGCATACAGTTCTTATAATTGAATAAATTCATCTGATGACAAACCACTACTAAGTGGCCAACCCCTATGAAGCAGCCACTTCCCTTTTTCGAGGGTGGCCACTTATAGGAGTTTGACTGTGTATTTATTATATAAAACTAATAAAATACCAGGTGAACTTTCACGTGAAGATAACATGTTATCTTCACACATGAAATAACAGGTTATTTTCACATGTGAAATGATCACTATTACCATGGTTACATAATAAATCACGCCTTTTGCAGTGAAACTGAAATGGTTTGGTATTTCATTGGTGTTTGTAAAATAAATAGGACACTACACGGCCACTTGAAGATACAAAATTTCTCTTCTCGTTCACTGCACTCATGAAATATTTTTTTTATCTCCATTTGGCCATGTATTGTTTATATATTCCATAGCTTTTGAACTTGATGTTGGCAACATGATCACATTTGCTTGTTGCATCGTTCTTGATGTTGTTTTGTTGTTGTTTTTAATCTTAATACACAGTTTGGGTTGACCAAAATTAATTAAGTATACCTTGCAATTTAACAGCAAAATTAAGCTTTTCACAGCTACCTATTTGAACCGTAAAGAGTGACATATGAGAAATCTTTGAGCATGTTGTTTGCAGTGGATTTCAACATTGTGTGATCCTGACTTCAAGTTGATGAAATGTCTTGGACCACCACCATAACACATATCTCATCTATGTCAATAGCACTCGAGTGTTGACAAAAACTGTCAAGATTGACCAGAGGATATACCAGAGTCTGGTATAGCAGAAAGAGCACTGTTTTCTCTCTCAGACTTTCTCTTCTTTTACACTGCCCCTATTTTTCTCTTGCTGATTTTCTCACTTCTCCAAACTAATTAAAGGCCTACAGTAGAACAGGCTATAGATTAAGTTAAACTCTCCTTGAAATTTTGGTTCAATGACAGCCTTGATCACACTAGAAATGAAAGGTCTCACACTTTGAAGATAGATGACAAGATGTATGGGTTATTGACCAAGTGTGAGGTCAAGATGGCTGGATATTGGCCAAGTTCTTTTTTTGCGTGTTTATGGACTGAGANTGCCGCACAGATAAACGAAGAGCTACTGTAAAAAGAACAGA